TAATAAACAGGTTATTAGAAACGTTGTCTCTTGAAACGTTTCTTTGTTACTTTGTAAAACCACTTTAAAGTCTCTAGGCACTGGACTACCAACCCATTAATCAAATATAGGCTCAGCATTGCATCACATGTTCAGTTTGTCAGGAACTGTAGCCTAAGTTTGAGAATAATAGATAGATGGTGTGATGTTGGCCTAAAAAGAGGTCAGACCCACCACCAGTGTACCATATTGACATATGTTTATTAACAGGTGAGTCAATGATACACATGTCAACACTACTATGTGTTGTTCACAACTCAGTTGGTAGTAAAGCTTGGTACATGATTTGTCAAAGTGAGCTATTGGCCCACCGTATCACATTCTGTGGTTGGTGATAATAGTCAACATAGCTACATTCTTTGGTCTAATAAACAGCAAAGCAGAGAAATCAAGTAACACACAATATCAGGCCTATTGTTTGTTTTGTGCTTCATATATAACCCCTATACATTGAATACTGACATATAGGCCTAATTGAGATAGTGACCAGAAAGGATATACGGTATGAGGAAAAAAAGAGATGGGTATTAATTTTGTGGGGAATGATTCTGAATATTTTTAACCATACTTTCAACTCATATAAGAAAGAAACATATGCAAAAGCATAACTTACACAAGCATTCATTTTTGTCCATATTACAATTGGCACAATTGGCCCAGAGTCGTCTGGGTTTGGCCGGTGTAGGCCGTCATTGTAAATAAAAATTTGTTCTTAACTGACTTGCCTAGTTAAATAAAAGGTAAAATAAAAAATAAAATAAAAATTACAATGTATCAAAAGATCAGAGGTAGATTTGTAACAAAATTAAACAAATGCATTTCTGACAGTAAGTCCTGGTATTTTTCCCACAGCCTACACTGAATATTATTATATTTGACACTAGTATCACATGCCTTCAGAAACACAACAGAGATATCAAAGGTTTATTGAGGTTGCTTGAAGTTGTTAGGGCGTTTGCCTGTCCTGGTAAGTATAGATAAGGTGATTTGTTCAAGAGGCGCTGTTGTCACCTACATACAGAGTAATATACCCCTCCTGCTTTGAGTTCAGTATTATCATGTTATACATACCACAGTACTTGACTTGAGCAGGAGCTCACCGAAGCTGAGTACCAGCACCTCAAATTTTCTACAGCTTGAGCTCCTGTACCTCTTATAGAATATTAGCTCAAAAGTATTGTGGAGCTCCTGCACCTAAATATAAACAGTAGCGGCACCCAACATGAGTACCGACACATATTTCAGTTCAAATTAAGCACTGTAAATACACAATATCAATGCATAGAATAACACAAAAATGTCTGATATATTGGTGCAGACAATGTATTATCACAAAAAATAAGAACAGTCAACAGTAATTCAACAGCATTTCTATGTGAGGAAAACATTACATTGCAAACTGAAACAATGAAATCATTCACACAAAAACTTGATTAAAAAAACTAAGAAATCATTCAAAACAATCTCATAAAATGAATGGACAAATCGATCTTGATCCAAAAAAACTCAATTTTCAAAAACATCTTGAGGTAGACTTGTATAGATTCTTGACAAGGCATTTCTGTCTCGTTCTCACACAGTAAGAAAAATGTAATAAAAAAACTAACACCCACCCTAAATGACATACAAAGAATAGGCACATTGTCTGGACTCTTGAAATTAAGGACCATGTTACAGCCTAAATACATGAAGGGACAAAATACTAGGCTCAAACGGATATGACTGTGTGTGACATCAAATGGCAAATGTCATAGCCCATCAACACAAGCTCTTGAAAGGTCATCAACAAGGGCGGACTGGGACAAGAAATCCCCCCTTGTCATTTCTAACACACCGGGCCATTTTTTTTCTTGAACCCCCACACCAGACTATTTCTTCCCTAAAGGCCCCCATTATTAGCCAGATAATGATACATTTGCAGTTAGACAGGCCCACTGTGCTAAAAATGGACCAGCCATGTGACATTTGCCCGAAATACCAGATGGCCAGTCCACCCCTGGTCATCAAAATGCTTTGTCTACAAAGGGGCCCATTCTGTAGTCCCTATATGGAGAGGTGAGTCTACTCTATTCTAACTACTGACTACCATGTAAAGTAAACACGGAAATAAACAACATTATATTAATATTGTGACGAAGCTGAATATGTACAATAACCACAAAAAGTGGGGAGGTCGATGGTTTGCTGCTTCAGATTGGTCGTGTGCCACTTCCAGAGAGAGACCAGAGAAGTAACTTAGGGTGTCTAAGGAAATATCATGCTACTCTACTACCTACGCTGTCTTACAACTTGATCACCAATTACGTCAGAAAAAGAGAGCTAAACTAGAATTTAACATTAAATATAGCTAGCTGTACTACAGTAACATCATAGCAATGTGTAAATAGTGCATTGCCCTTTTGGCAATCAATGTTCTGCATGAATTTTCCGGCAACCCAGCCTATAGGCTATAGGTACACACAAAAAACACTTTACCACTCCTTACAAAGTAGCTCCTCTTTAAAAGGGGCTCCCTGAGTTCAACATGAAGATTTCAGAGAAACTAAAGCCCGGCTGCAGTCATAACGATCAATTAGGTATCTTTAAGAAATACCAATACTCCTACACATGATTAGTGCAGAGTATTGTTGCATTGGTTGAAGCACAAATACACTACATGACCAAAAGTATGTGGACACCTGCTCGTCGAACACCTCATTCTAAAATCATGGGCATTAATATGGAGTTGGTCCCCCCTTTGCTGCTATAACAGCCTCCACTCTTCTGGGAAGACTTGCTTCCATTCAGCCACAAGAGCATTAGTGAGGTCGGGCACTGATGTTGGGCAATTAGGCCTGGCTCGCAGTCGGCATTCCAATTCATCCCAAAGGTGTTCGATGGGGTTGAGGTCAGGGCTCTTGCAGGCCAGTCAAGTTCTTCCACACCGATCTCGACAAACCATTTCTGTATGGACTTCACTTTGTGCATGGGGGCATTGTCATGCTGAAACAGGAAAGGGCCTTCCCCAAACTGTTGCCACAAAGTCTAGAATGTCATTGTATGCTGTACTGTAGCATTAAGATTTCCCTTCACTGGAACTAAGGGGCCTAGCCCGAACCATGAACAACAGCCCCAGACCATTATTCCTCCTCCACCAAACTTTACAGTTGGCACTATGCATTGGGGCAGGTAGCGTTCTCCTGGCATCCGCTAAATCCAGATTAGTCCGTCGGACTGACAGATGGTAAAGCGTGATTCATCACTCCAGAGAACGCGTTTCCACTGCTCCAGAGTCCAATGGCGGCGAGCTTTACACCACTCCAGCCGACGCTTGGCATTGCACATGGTGAATTTAGGCTTGTGTGCGGCTGCTCGGCCATGGGAACCCATTTCATGATGCTCCCGACGAACAGTTATTGTGCTGACATTACTTCCAGAGGCAGTTTGGAACTCGGTAGTAAGTGTTGCAACCGAGGATAGACGACATTTACACGCTACGCGCTTCAGCATTCGTCGGTCCCGTTCTGTGAGCTTGTGTGGCCTACCACTTTGCAGCTGAGCCTAGACGTTTCCACTTCATAATAACAGCACTTACAGTTGACCGGGGCAGCTCTAGCAGGGCAGAAATTTTACAAACTGACTTGTTGGAAAGGTGTCATCCTATGACGGTGCCATGTCGAAAGACACTGAGCTCTTCAGTAAGGCCTTTCTACTAATTTGAAGGTGTGCCCACATACTTTTGTATATATAGTGTATATTACGAAGTCAACTGAAAATGAAGCCCATTGAAAGAGAAACTAAAAAGTTAAGCATAATTGTTTGCTTAATACGACCATGAATCTATCAAGAGGCTAGAACCAAAGCCGGATGCTGTTTAAATAGAAATGAACTACAAATTGTGATACTGTATCAATTAGAAAGAGAGGTTTAGAGTGACAATGAATAAATAATAAATATAAAAAAGATAATATCTATATACATGTAAGTGGTGTAAAGTATTCCAGCCACTCCTGTAAAGGAGGAGTAAATACTAAACCTATAACCATCTTATTCAACACTTGAGTCCCTTTATCATAGTACTCAATCATGAAAATATGTCCTTAAAGAAAGCAAATAATGCTCAGGTCCATCCAAGAAAGCACATGTAATGCCTTTGGCTTTCTAAATAGTTTTCAAGTACAACGAGACAAAGAGAAACAAGTAATGTATTTGGGAAGTGTATGAGAACACCCCTGATATGTAGAATGTGTTAGAAGGCCATGTTTACATCCATAGTAAAAACTATGGGACAGACAGACAGACAGACAGACAGACAGTCAGACAGACAGACAGACAGACAGACAGAAAGACAGTCTGCCATACAATCAACGCTGGTCTCGCGTTTAGCCTTGAGTCAAAGTTTTGTAAAATGCATGGGAAAAATGCATGGGAGGAGGCTACATCCAACCACCCATGAGACAAATGAACAGGCTATGGCAGTTATGACAAGCTGTATTGTACTCAGTCCAATCGGCAACCATGGTGTACCAACATTCATACAGCAGAAAGGGTTCAAACATTCATTTGGCCGTAAAAATGCACAACGACTTATAATACCTGAAGATTTCAATAAACAGAAAGATACATTCCTTTTTGTCCATGAAACAGTCTTAGAGTCAGGACACCTATATCTGTACATTCACTTGTATGATTGTATTTCCTTTACCTTTTTCTAACAAAAGGTTTTTGGGAAAACATGGTATACAGTGAGAGAGCAGAGCACTCACAATCATCTCCAGGAAAATCAAGATAGGCTACCTCTAATTTAGCTGCAGCAGGGAAAATACAATTAAAACACTGAGCTAACTCTCAATCTCAACTATCACATCACTAAAAGTACAATTTTCTTGCTGTTCGTGCGATAAATAAAGACAACCTGATGTAGTTCCAAAAGCAGCATTCCAATGAAACCTTTTGATTGGCTGAATCCCTGAATCGATCAATCAGAGTTCTCCCTGGGGGGAAAGGGGGCGTGGCTCTGCTCCTTCTTCCCTCAGTGATGATGCTGTTCCCTGAGCGCCAGAGGAGGACTGCTGTGCTTTGATTGGACAGTTGGCCACCATGTGACTAATGCTCAGGCAGAAATGGCACTTCTTGGGCTGAGGAGGTAGCTGGCATTGTTTGGCATGGTGGTCAGGTCCTCCACAGTTGTAGCATCTAGAACACAATAGGAGAAGGGAACACACTAATACAATGATTTCAGACAGTTAACACATTCTTCCACCAGAGAGCAGTGTTCTCCCACATATAGTTTCAGATTCCTGAATTTCCTCAGATCTCATCTACACTGAACAAAAATATAAACGCAACATGCAACAATTTCAAAGGTTTTACTGAGTTACAGTTCATAGAAGGAAATCAGTCAATTGAAATAAATAAATTAGGCCCTAATCTATGGATTTCACATGACTTGGCAGGGGCGCAGCAATGGGTGGGCCTGGGAGGGCATAAGACCCACCCCACCCACTTGTGAGCCAGGTCCACCCACTGGGGAGCCAGGCCCAGCCAATCTGAAATATTTTTTCCCCCACAAAAGGGCTTTATTATAGACAGAAATACCCCCCCCCCCCCCCTTATGGTAGAGAAATGAACAATAAATTATCTGGCAACAGCTCTGTTGGACATTCCTGCAGTCAGCATGCCAACTGCATCCTCCCTCAAAACTTGAGACATCTGTGGCATTGTGTTGTGACAAAACTGCACATTTTAGAGTTACCTTTTATTGTCCCCAGCACAAGGTGCACCTGTGTAATGATCATGTTGTTTAATCAGCTTCTTGATATGCCACACCTGTCAGGTGGATGGATTATCTTGGCAAAGGAGAAATGTTCACTAACAGGGATGTAAACAAATTTGTGAAAAACATTTGAGAGAATTAAGCTTTTTGTGCCTCTGGAACATTTCTGGGATCTTTTATTTCAGCTCATGAAATAATGTTGCATTTATATTTTTGTTCAGTATATTATAAGATTAAGTCAATCTTGAAAAAGTATCAGCCTTAATATAATGATTGCCTCTTATGTATGCATAGCTTATTTACTGCAAGATTGTATGTGTGTGTGCGTGTGTATGTGCATGCTTGTGTGTGATCATTTTAGGAGGTGTATAGTGCATTAAAACCAATGCCTTAACACATACATTTCACACAATCTTAAATCAGTAGATGTTGAGACTATAGTGACAATGGGGAATTTTGTGATTGCATTAACTCCAATGCAGATGAAGCACTGGAGCATCAGAACCTCCCCAAGCTTACTACCACTTCCCTTCTTCCTCTGTCCTCTGCCCTTTGCCCTTTGCCTCTGAGTCCCAACCCCCTACTACACACACACACACACACAAACCCTCTCCTAGGGGGCCGTTGGTTATTGATCAGTGTGGGCACCAGGGTGGGAGAGGAGAGCAGAGGGGGCTCTTTGTTTAAATACTGCACCCTGAGCTCTAACCCCTGACCCCTCTTTCTCTCTGGCTCTGCCTTCCCCCCACCTCATTTACACAACACACCCCACTGTTTCCATGGCAGCCATGACCTATGACCTCTCTCAGGGCACTTACATCTGGTATCAATTAAATGGATAGGATCCTTTTCCCTTTTCTGCATCCCCTATTCCCTCTATACATCTGCATCCCACTGTTATGTTTGTGAGTCGGCGAGAGAGACAGAGAGTGTTAGATACACTCACATCTATGTGGTGTTTGATGCCATAAGAATCAATAGGCACATAGGTGCCGATTCAGACCTAGGAAATGTACACCTTTCTTACGCACGCCTTCCCTACGCGCTTCTCAGTAGTTGGTATTCAGACTTAGCATATGTAGGTAAGACTTGAATGTAGACTATGGAGAATGCGTTCAAAGTATAGAAAGATAGCCATGAAAATATGCATATGTCTCAGTTTCAGAACCCATGGGTAGATTTAAAAACACTCTGATTTTACACATGATTTCTGTTTAGAGAATAATCATGAATCCTACTGCATGGAAAACTTTACGCACAAACCTAAAAAAGTTGGTTTGATTCATTCTGAAAGTTGCCACATTCAGTTCATTAATGGTAACATTGGAAGTAGTATAGCCTACAATATAATTATATATATTATGGAGAATAGTATACAATAGTATGATATAATAAATATACCCACACTGCTTAAGTTCAATGTCAGAATATGCGTAGAGAGAAAAGTGCATAAAAAGGGAATAAAGTTATATTTATACGGGTGTAACTCGGTTCTGAATTTCCCCCAAAGAGGATAAATAAGTCTGTTTGATGTCAGACCATTGTGGCTAAAACGGTAAACTTGCCAACTTTCATGATGATGATACCAGATATTTTCAGTGACTTCAACACCCTCAGATTATTTGTAAACAACCTTGCCAGATAAGGTTGTTGTTAATATTGCAGCGATCTTCATATTTAATACTATAAGCAGAGTGTTACAGTGTTTCCGAATCATGGAATTATTTTGAGTGAATGGGGATATCTGGAGATGTATGGTTAGGCTATGCGCCATTTAAAGATGTTAATTGAACTGTCTCACCTGTCCCCCTTGGAGCGTCGTTTCTGTTGCCCCTTAGGTCTCTTCTCACTGCCCAAACACTGTGCTCCCCCTGGCCCCGTCACAGTGACAGACTCTAGGCCTTTAGACGACTTCTTGAAGGTAAACTCCACCTCCTCGCCCTCCTTCAGGCTACGGAAGCCCTCCATGTATAGCTTGCTCTGTGTAGGTTGAGAGGTGGAATGGGTGGTTAGGGATCAGGGTTAGGAAACTGTTCCAAGGCCAGAAGACCTCCATGTCCAGTTTGCTTTGTGTAGGGGAGAGGGATCATCAGTGTGGTCAGAGGAATGTTTAAGAACGGCATGAGAACTGTTCTAGGTGAGGGTAGAGCGGGAGCTTACTCTGTGAGGGAATAAGTGGTCAGGGTTGGAGAAAGGTTCTTTGGTCAGGAAACTGTTGAGAAGATATGAAAACGGTTCTAAGCCTGTGAAGGACTGTGGAGAGCAGTTCTGAGGCCAGATAGGGTGCCCATCCTGTGGCTACCCGGTGTGAATGCATTCCCCAGCCCAATTCCCAGCCTGGTCAAGAAGCAGACACAAAAAGTAATTTTTACTCTGCCATTGTTTGTGCATATAGCTGGTCCGCTTCACATGTTGTCTTCTGAGGTGATTACAGCTAAGAGCTGTTCCTTAATTGGGTCCTACATCCATACATCAACATTCTGCATAGGTTTCAATACATCAATGGAAACATCCAGGCCCTCTCTCTCTCAGGGGCCAACCCCCTCAGCCAATCCAGATTCCAGTCCCATTGACAGCCCGGTTAAAACATCAATGACTACTTACTACACTCCTCCCCCTTCAGAATGTGTGTGTGGACAGCGTTACCCCTCCCCCAAGGTAGTCACAGCATTCCAAGCTCCAACCCCCTACCCTTCCTCTCCACCACCACACACACAACAGCCAATAGACTCTCCAAAAGAACTCCATCTGGTCAAGTCCCAGACTGACCACTGCTAAGGATGCTGGGAAATGGAGGGGGGAGGTGTTCATTTTTGGGATAGCTGGCCAAAGGCACATAAAGAATGGTTTCAAGAACGTATGTGTCCACCTTGAGAAATACATTTCCTTGCCATTGTCTCCCTTAGTCCAGGGGCTCTGGAAAGGGAAGATTTGATTTCGTGGCAACCAATCTTCTTGGCAACCAATGTGCTTTGTCAAACTGCCTGAACAGCGGTAGGTGTGACACTAATTTGATACCATAGGTGTTCCATATGTATAAGACTAAAGAGCTCAATGTGAAGAATCATGCCTTGATCAAGACCTTCCAGAGACACAGAAAGTGCCACTGATCTGTTTCCCTCCCAGATTATACTATGCTCATAGAATTTTTTTCAAGCCCATCTTAAAATGTTGTGGAGCCGCATTTGATGATGATGGTGAGAGGGCTGTGATGTGTAGGGTCAGTTTATGGCCCTTGCATGCCATCCGTCTTAACCCAGACACCCGTCTCGCTTCTGGGGGGTTTGAAGTGATCATGGTGGGAAAGGAATCCAGGTCATGATGGCCTGACAACCTTCAGCATTCCTTCCTCCTGTACCAACCCCCGTCAGGAGCTGAACGGCCCGGAACTATCCCCTGACCCCCCTGACCTCTCCAACTTCAATCACCCCCCACCTCTCCCTCTCTCGACTGCTTTCTTGTGAATGAACACAGCTCTCAAGCTCTCCCTTTCTCTCTCAATCTCATTCTCTCTCACACACAAATACACACTCTTATCCACACACTCACACACTCATAATAACCCAACACACACACACTCTTAATCCACCCCCCCCCCCCCACACACACACACACACACACACACAACCTCTCCACCACACACTATTCATTCACAGATTAGCCAGATCATTCACAGATTAGTACAAGATCACAGCCAGCAGGATTTCCTCTCTGTTACATTGACAATAGCAGCCATTGTCCAGCAGCCCCTACAAGCCCCTATAAGGGCAGAGGTGGATTAGGGGCGGGGTAATGTGGGTGTTTGATAACTTTTTTATGGGTGAATCACTAATTTTCTTTCCTTCGATTAAGCAATTTACGGTAACATGTAGTAGAGAAATTTGAGGAGAGGTCTTTGGTCCCCCGTTTTACAGAGGGCGGAGGGCTGGGGGTGGATGGCTGGGGAGGGTGGATGGGTTGGGGCTCCGGCAGAGGGGCTGGGTGGATGGGTTGGGGCTACGGGCAGAGGGGCTGGGTGGGAGTCAGGGTATGGCTAGTCTGGGGTGGGTGGGCTGCCACACGAGAGGCCAAGTCCCCTGATGTTTGAAGGCCTTTATAACAGGAAGCAGGGTTGGATGGGGACTGAGAGGAATGAGCCTTGTTATCTCTGTTTAGACTAACCCCTGTCTCTCTGTCTACTCCTTTTAAATCCAACTGCTAATATTAGCACTTTCGGACCAATCCCCCATGTAAGTCAATCTCCCCCGTTTAGCATGTTTTAAATGTCATGCCCCAACTCTACCGTGAAGTCACTCAGACCTCTACCTTAACTCAGGAAGGATGGAGGAGAAGGAAAGACAGCCTCGGCCGTTATGGTACTCAGGCCTGTTGATCATCTCCAGGTTCATTTGACAAAACAACCCTGGATTCATTAGGCTGTCCTTTAGGATGCTTAGCGTTCCATTCCATTTGAAACAACAACTAGATCCTCCTGCTTTACTAACTTGGCTATACATGACTCCTAATTCCAACATTTTAGATAACATTTATTCCCCCAGGATTTACTGTCATTCATGTATCTGAACCCAATCTTTGTTATTTCAAAATCAATATTCTCATTCAAGACCTTTCATTTTCTGGTAGGTTTATTAAAACACCAAATACAAACAATCTAGTCTTATGAAAAAGTACTATTTTTTGTCTGTAAGTGTTTCATTCATTAGCTAGTTTTAGGGCAATATGAGAATCAATTTCCCTAAAGGCTACCATAACCCTGCTTGAAACCTAATCAGATTCAACAACTGATCGATTAAACCAAACACTTTTGTTTTTGGCTGGCTTACATCTTACTTTAGAGAGGTTATTTCATATTATGTCGCTTCTTGACAACAACATTCAGTTTCTTATTTCACAACTGATTTCAGTTGCCATCATGCAGGTCTCGGATTCCAGTTATGGTATATCATCTGAACATAGGATCAACAAAATCTTGCTTTTGTTTTTTAAGCTACTTGAAAAAAAGGCCTACCCATTTTAGTAAAGGCTCAAACTAGAATCAGCTGACTATTTCAAGATAATGTTGTCAAATGTTTAAAGAAATTAAAAGTCCTATTGCCTCTTGCTCAACATATAAGCTATGAAAACATATAAGCTATTAATTCGTTTTGAATGAGTGCAGGAAAGTGATTTTTCAAGCACTATAAAGAATGATCGATAGGCCTATATATTTGCATGATCGATCAATCTCTAATCATGAATTCAAATGAAAATGCTAAATCACGGAGGGAAACGAATAATGACCTTCCTTAACGAAAACATCACAAAAGTGGGATATTTACATTGTTGATAAGTTTATGACATTCACTTGCACAAAAACGCGCCAAGGGGTTCGAGCTCGAGCCAGGCCTCAATGAACATCAACACCACATTATTCGAGTCCCAGACGCACAATAGACCTCACCTGATGAACGAATACATCGACAGTCTCCTCGAGCGGTGTCCCATCTCTGTTGGTCATGGACAGGAACCCGAAACCCATCCGGACGTTGAACCATTTACACAAGCCACTGCCACGAGACGAACCCAGATCCTCCTCGGAGCCAGTGGCTTCCTCCTCTTCCGTCTTTGCACAGCCCCCTTTTGAGAGAAAATAATGTCACTCAGTCAGTTTAGAAAATATAGATGTTTGAAATATGGCATAACTTGTCAACAATCCTGGCAGGAAAACGAGTTGGGCAGGCTCTTACTCGGATGTTTTTCAGAATCAGTTCTTTGGTTGGACTTGAAGAAGGCATTTAATGGGTTGCGTAATGGGAAAGAGCTAGAGAGCCGCGCAGCAAGCTAGGAACACGTGTGTATAAACACTGTTGATATTCGAAACAATGTCGATATATTATCCAGACGATATTTTAAAAATGATTTCGAAAAGCTGGAATATCAGACGGCCTCTTTTTCAAGTAGTTTTGAAATGGAAACATATACGCTAATGGTGATAATAATAATGAACCTGATACTTATTATACATAACAAGACGATAATAATGATGCATTATTATAAATAATAATATGCGTAATAAATATAGGTTAATCGAAATAATCTCGTCAAAATTAATCAATTGAATAAATATACACTTTTTCAATTGATCCATAATTTACACCATACAGGCCTAAATAATTCCCAAGCACGTAAGGGATTGACTCTGATAATGTAGCCTAAATAAATGTTAGCCTTTTCGAGCCACGAGAACACAATATCTTTGAATATTTTGAGAAAAAAATATAGAAAATATTTAACTTCAATATTCAGTTACCAATTAAAAGTATTAAGCAAAATGTATCACCTATAGTCATAATTTATCCCAAAACTTCAACGCAAGCACTGAAAACCATTCTTCCATAAAAATAGATAGTAGGTCTCAAATCGAAGAACAAATAATTACAACAACATTCTCAGGCATAAGTGTGTTGTTGCTTTCGGAGAATGTTCCTAATCTAAACACTGATGAATGATCTACCTGTAAACTGCTGTTCGGAATAAGAGCCCATCCCTTTCCCGGGTATATTTTAATCCAGGTTTACCGTGGCATCCTCTACCAAATCCCCCTGCCCTGCCCTGTCCACCTCCAACCCTTCTCCACTCTACACAACAACACTTTCCCGCATACGGTTTAACAAAGACGCAGAAGAGGAACGGAGCAGCAGTGGAGACAAACAAAGAGGGTTGGAGATACTTTCGCCCTGACAACCAGTGGTGTAAAACTGCTGGGAAGCTTTTCTCAAATGAATCCCCAAATCTGAAAGACAATGCAATGAAACCCAACCCGCCCTCTTTTTGTCTCTTCTCATAAAGAGATCTTTCCATCGAATCCCCCCCAAAGATCTTCAAAGAACCTTTGGAACCATTGGAACAATTGCCTGTACCTTCTGCCATGGTTTGGGGGGTTCCTGGGTCTCCTACAACTCCAGAAGAATCAGGCAATAAACGCTGGTTGTATCGTCAACATGCACGTTTTTCGGTAATCCCTCTTTGGGAAATATTGTATTTTCCTTCTCCTGGTCTCTTGTACAATACGGAGAGCGAGCCCCCTGTGACTCTCCTATACCTCTAATATCAACCCCCACCTTTTCGGTCCAGCCCACCACGTGATGCTCAATTGCAATCTTCTGCCTGATAAATTAGACATTCCACGGTGATAGGGCCCAAATTCGCAGAGCGACCAATCAGCGGCAAGGACCACCTAGCTGTTAGCAGTGGGGCCTTGAGGGACCCCCACCCCGTGCGACCCCCCCTTCCCGGACAGGAGAGAGCCACAACCCCCACACCGCCTGGAGCGTTTGAATATGCGGATAGTCAGTCACTCAGGTGCATGGGTTCACGGAAACCATTCAAATTAAACCTTGCTCTTCCACATTCCACACCACCATGTTTGAAGTTAAAACGAAGGACATTTAAATCCAGTAGCATAAATCAACCTATAGCTGTGTTCTGCTTAAGTGTTTGTTGCATTCACACATAAACACACTACAAAAGTCACATTAAAATACATAGATAAACCAAACAGAATATAGGTTGATATCAGAAAAATACATTTAGCAGTGGGCAGGAAAAAAATATAAGAGTTTGAAGTAGCTGGTCATACAAAAAATATCCAGGATATGCCTATATGAATTCACCTTTGTAATTTCGTTTGAAACAATTTGAGCTAACATATTTTGCTACTGTCAGGACTACTATCGACTACACGCTGTAAACAAAAGGAAATAAATAAACACCTATCTCTTGAGATATTCGTTCCACACAACCCTCCTGTGAATGATGCTCTTATAATTGACCATAACTTGTTCGCTATTGTGTCCTAGCTTGGGGGATGCACGGTCTGTGAAAGGCCGTTTAATTGACTGATTTCCCTCAGAATCGCTGACGGATGCAGATAATGAATGTTAACGTAAACAGAGGGATTGTGTTGCCTTGTGTGAGAGGATATAATAATAATAATATAATATGCCATTTAGCAGACGCTTTTATCCAAAGCGACTTACAGTCATGCGTGCATACATATTTTTTTTTTTGTGTATGGGTGGTCCCGGGGATCGAACCCACTACCTTGGCGTTACCAGCGCCGTGCTCTACCAGCTGAGCTACAGAGGACCACAGGATCCTTCTAGGCTACACTTACAGGCTATATGTAAAACCTGTCTGTCCTTTCACTGATTTGACACATCTTGACACAGGTATTTATAGCCTCTGAAACCCAATGGTTCAGGAACCCTTCTGAAGCATTCGAATAATTAGCGACGAAGAGTCACCTTTACCGGATCTGCGCTCTAACTCAGCCATTAACGCTTTTCAATGGGAGCTGTCATTTCATTAACAATGCAGGTGTCATCCGGCTTTCCTCGCAGCACTGACTACACAGCATTAACTCAACAGGCTACAAGACTTCATTTGATACAAGTCAATTAAAATGTCTGCTAATTAAAATGACTAAGGGCGGCAGGTAGTTTAGTGGTTAAGAGCGTTGTGCCAGTAACCGAAAGGTCGCTGGTTCTAATCCCCGAGCCGACTAGGTGAAAAATCTGTCGATGTGCCCTTGAGCAAGGCACTTAACCCTAATTGCTCCTGTAAATCGCTCTGGATAAGAGCGTCTGCTAAATGACAAAAAATAATAATAACTGTTGGGTTGTGGGAATGATCGGCACCATAAGTGGAAAGACTATATATCTATCTACCTGTTGCAGTAAATCGCCTGACAAATATAGTCTAGCCTGAGTGATCTATCTGACTCACAGGCATCAATAGTAAACCGTGGTTTCCTTCTCGGATACTTTGAAGGGGAAACGGAAACCAACCACACGTTGTGAACCTGACACTTTGAACCTCTTCACATGCACCCTCCTGCCTTACCCTTCTTCTTTACATGTGGGCCAACGAGCCCAAGTGTGACACCTGTGAGATAAGGCGCCCTCATGATTAACTGGAAGTGGAGGAGGGAGTCATTTTGGGATGGACATAGGATCCTCCATTTTACCAAACCATGAATCATCCTAGAGCATGACCCACTGGAGAGATGTAGACAGAGAGAGAGAGAGAGAGAGAGAGAGAGAGAGAGAGAGAGAGAGAGAGAGAGAGAGAGAGAGAGAGAGAGAGAGAGAGAGACAACCCATATTTATGTTTATTTATTTTCCCATTTGTACTTTAACTATTTGCACATTGTTACAACACTGTATATATACATAATATGACATTTGAAATGTCTTTATTCTTTTGAAACTTCTGAGTGTAATGTTTACTGTTAATATTTATTGTTTATTTCACTTTTGTTTACTATCTACTTCACTTGCTTTGGCAATGTTAACATACGTTTCCCATGCCAATAAAGCCCTTAAATTGAATTGAATTGAATTGAGAGAGAGAAAGAAAGAGAGAGAGAGAGAGAGAGAGAGCTATGGGGAGAGAGAAAGAGGGATAGAGAGAGAGAGAGAGCAAGAGGGAGAAGAAGAAGAAAGAGGGAGAGAGATGAAGAGAGAGAGGTGTTAGCTAATTAAAGCTAAATGACTGGTTTCATTCAAATTCTCCTCTAATAATCCACTCTCTCAGGCCTGCTACTACACTGCAGGCTTCTCTGGGTCACCATGGAGATGAAGGGCCCTGGATCTGTCTGTCAGAGAACAAAGAGGGCTGGCCTTAAGGTGACCCGTGCCACACACAGGGGCTTAGTAATTACAATTCCTCGACACGTGCTCACTGGTCACACACACTGCAACCCCCCATCCAACTGCCACACTCGCATGCTAGCAAACACACAAATGCATACACCCACATTACCAGATGTTATGTAATAGTGACTGAAAGGGCTGGGGGGTCTATGTATCTTACCTCTCTCATAGTTGTTGACCATCATTCCTCTAACAGCAGGCAAGATATCTGTAAGATTATCTACAACCAGGCTGCAAGGGTATATTGTGTTTCTCTTTTGACGAGGGTTCATTAATTTATTGTGTGTGTGTGTTGTGTGGGGCATGAAGTGTACTGATCAACATTTTCATATCAAGAACTGCTTTGAGGAGTACTTCACCTGAGAAACACACATGTTAGGGGCCTTGTGGATGGTTGAAGGAGAAAACAGTCCAGTGGCTCCACATGGTTTCAGCTGTCAACTCCCATCTCCCCCCCCCCCCCCCCCCCCCCCCCCCCTCCCAGGGGACACAGCACAGATCAATAAGCTGATCCATCTATACCTGATCCATATAACATACTATGACACTCTGTCAGATAGCCCTCCCTCCCACAAAAAAACATTTAGTTAGAAAAGCCTTTGGCTTTTACATGTAGTTTTTTTCAATTACTGTGGTAAATTTTTCAGATGCACGTGGTTTATTTTCATAACTGATAACACTTGTCTAATGTTCAGAACCTTTGATTGAGCATTCATTGGAGTTAAACACTTCTTTCACCCCTGAGTTATTTATGCAATATCAAGTTTTTTGTGAAATACCATGAGAACATTTTCTTTAGTCACCAATACATCAGATAATGATAGGCTCACCATTTAGTCATTTTAACTCATGCAATCCAATAGCAAAAAATGCATGATACAATTTTCAAAACGGATATTTTTGAAATACTGAATAGAAGGAATAATAGAGGTTAAATACAATTTTCCATACAGTATTTAGCTATGTACCAGTATGTACCATTTTACTGCAAATGTTTTTTTTGAATCATTTGTTTGTATCCAATGTAAAGTTTGGAGCATGTTGAGAAAAATGTCAGTCTTACAGTTTCAGTATCCTTACTGTAAACAGCACATATGTAGAAGAAATCATAAGATATAGGGGTATTGTGGCATGTACTGTAAAGCAGAAGCCTACAGTTAAAAGGTATTGGGATAGCCTGGTATGCCATTTCTGCCCCATGCAACATTGCACAAGATTAACCTTTCTATGTGACTTGTTACTGTAACTGCTACAGTTTCACCTCTCTCTCTCTGCTTGACAAAATCATCAGCTTACAGTGTATCAATGAAACTCAGATAATGAGTGGAATATACTATAATTTACAACCCAAGTATTTCAGCAGTGCATTGTACACTACTGCACCATCATTTCAAATGGTAGCACAAAGAGTAACTCTTTACACTTTGCCCTACTATATTGAAGCACACTGGCTGATGGAGTATGATAATGACATAGTATTTACAGCCACATCCATATATGTTTTGGTTTTACCTTCCAACCTACATTTATGTCAATTGATACATTTATGATGTAAAAATATAGCATTTTACAGTGTTCAGAAGTTCTCAAACTGTATACGTAAACCAGGCATTATACAATTTTGGTTCAGTAGTTCTCAGTTTTGAACAGTTTGATTAAGTGATAGTTAAATGTATTGTTAAAAATTACAAGAAAATGTTATCAAAAGTAATGTGAAGATTGCATTGTTAAAGTCAGATACTGAAATGAAATATGTATGCAAATTGGAATAGTGATTTGGTGCAGTAAACAAGTCAATTGAAAATGTGCTTGGAGTTTTGAAACATGAGCCATTTTGTTATTCTGTTTATATTTTTTACCTTATCGTTGTGAAAATGTACCACATACTTGTGAAAATTGCAGAAAAGTGATAGAAAAAAATGTAATAAGCTACATATCCTGTACATTCATGTCCAAGTATGCTGATCGCAAGTTCCCGTTTTTTAACAATGAATAAAATGTAGCTAACAGTGTTTGATTGGTTAATGTGTTGTTACTTGTTGAAGTCAGTAACATGGAATAAGACTATTGAGAATGTTGAGAGATCTGATTAAGGTACAGTGCATTCAGAAAGTATTCAGACCCCTTGACCTTTTCCACATTTTGTTACATTACAGCCTTATTCTAAAATTGATGAAATAGTTTTTTCCCCTCATCAATCTACACACAATACCCCATAACGACAAAGCAAAAACCGGTTTTTAGAAATGTTTTCAAATGTATATATAAAAAAATGAAATATCACATTTACATAAGTATTCAGACCCTTTACTCAGTACTTTGTTGAAGCACCTTTGGCAGCGATTACAGCCTCGAGTCATCATGGGGATGACGCTGCAAGCTTGGCACACCTGTATTTGCGGAGTTTCTCACATTCCTCTCTGCAGATCCTCTCAAGCGCTGTCATGTTGGATGGGGAGCCTTGCTGCACAGCTATTTTCAGGTCTCTCCAGAGATGTTAGATCGGGTTCAAGTACGGGCTTTGGCTGGGCCACTCAAGGACATTCAGAGACTTGTCCCGAAGCCTCTCCTGCGTTGTCTTAGCTGTGTGCTTAGGGTCGTTGTCCTGATGGAAGGTGAACCTTCGCCCCAGTCTGAGGTCCTGAGCGCTCTGGAGCAGGTTTCATCAAGGATTTCTCTGTACTTTGCGCCGTTCATCTTTGCCTCGATCCTGACTAGTCTCCCAGTCCCTGCCACTGAAAAACATCCCCACAGCATGATGCTGCCACCACCGTAGTTTCACCGTAGGGATGGTGCCAGGTTTCCTCCAGATGTGACACTTGGCTTTCAGGCCAAAGAGTTCAATATTGGTTTCATCAGACCAGAGAATCTTGTTTCTCATGGTCTGAGAGCCTTTTACTGAGGAGTGGCTTCCGTCTGGCCACTCTACTATAAAGGCCTGATTGGTGGAGTGCTGCAGAGATGGTTGTCCTTCTGGAAGGTTCTCCCATCTCCACAGAGGAACTCTAGAGCTCTGTCAGAGTGACCATCGGGTTCTTAGTCACCTCCCTGACCAAGGCCCTTCTCCCCCGATTGCTCAGTTTGGCCGGGCGGCCAGCTCTAGGAAGAGTCTTGCTGGTTCCAAACTTCTTCCATTTAAGAATAATGGAGACCACTGTGTTCTTGGGGACCTTCAATGCTGCAGCAATTTTTTGGTACCGTTCCCCAGATGTGTGCCTCGACATAGCTCTACAGACAATTCCTTCGACCTCATGGCTTGGTTTTTGCTCTGACATGCACTGTCAACTGTAGGACCTTATATAGACAGGTGTGTGCCTTTCCAAATCATGTCCAATCAATTGTATTTACCACAGGTGGACTCCAATCAAGTTGTAATAATAATAATAATAATATGCCATTTAGCAGACGCTTTTATCCAAAGCGACTTACAGTCATGCGTGCATACATTTTTTGTGTATGGGTGGTCCCGGGGATCGAACCCACTACCTTGGCGTTACAAGCGCCGTGCTCTACCAGCTGAGCTACAGAGGACCACAAAGGATGAACAATGGAAACAGGATGCACCTAAGCTCAATTTCGAGTCTCATAGCAAAGGGTCTGAATACTTATGTAAATAAGGTATTTCTGGTTTTTATTTGTAATACATTTGCAAAAATTTCGAAAAACCTGTTTTCGCTTTGTCATTATGGGGTATTGTGTGTAGATTGCTGAGATTTTGTATTTATTTAATCAATTTTAGAATAAGGCTGTAACATAACAAAATATGAAAAAAGTCAAGGGGTATGAATACTTTCCGAAGGCACTGTAAGACAGTCCATCTCCAAGCCATCTGCTGAGGGACCGAATACATCAAACAGCTGTGACACTGTCACTGTTGGTTTTGCTGATTATCTGCCAATAGCGGTTGAGCAACAAAGGTACTAAAAACAATTCATTTTCACATAAGAACTTCAGATATTCTACAGTCGTGAGTGTGTGTGTCAGAGCAGAGAACATTTCTAGCTCACGTTTGACGATAAACGTTAAAAGAGCATTTTTTTCTCTGTTTTATTGTTACGTATAACGGATAGGTGCAGTGACATTTTTTTTACAAGGTCAGTAATACGGCGCCCCTGGTGCAAATTAGGGTTAAGTACATTGCTGAAGGGCATATCGACAGACTTTTCACCTTTTCATCTTGGGTATTCGAATCAGCGACTTTTCGGTACTTGCCCAACGCTCTAACCGCTAAACTATTTCAGCACATAGGACAGCGCTTACCCCTAAAGCGAACGCCCTAAAAACAAACCGTTGATGATTTTTGAAAGTTATATCTGGCGAGTCCACGAAGACTAGGCCTAGTATTCAGAAGAAGCATTCATTTATCAAGACACAACGTTGTATTTTTTCATATCAAGTCAATTCCAGAGCTACAACACGGGATTGATGATTGACTTCAAGGTTTCTCGATCTATATCGTTATTTGATAACGAAAGGTGCCCATGTTAAAATTTTGTGAACCAATCCATTGTGGTCTACCTTTCAATTCTTCTCACAATTCAAACTCGTTTTAATGATACATGGACTTCCCCTAGTGGTGACAGATGTACATGCATGCACACAGAGAGCGATGACATCTATCTCCATCATCACTAAAGACCACTGAACCTGTCACTTTCATTAATACCGTGTGGCTCGGATGCTCAGCAGTCATATTGCTCACATCAAGATTACTGCAAAACAATGTCTCTCTCGTCCCACTAGATGTCCCTCTGGTTCTGTTACAATTTTGCGGAGGCCTAAACTGGATCGAGGCTTGTTTTAATTAAATAGATGGAGAGTTTATATTTTTGTGCATGAAACCTAAAGACAAACTCATATTAAAATCCTAATGAAGACAACATCAACAGAATAACAAAATGGAAAACCATTGTGTTGGCTATATATGCTAATGATCTTTGAGTGATGGGTAAAACAAGAAGCCTTTAAAAAACAAGACAACAATGAAAAATAAGAAGTCTTAGGCTATAAAAAGCAACACAAGCACATTCAGGGGCCCTCCATAATAGAAAAGCCTGACTGATTATTATGGAGAGAGGCGAGCTGTGCCAGTGGGATCGATCTGGGGATCCTAGCCGTGGGTGTCCACTCCACTCCGGTTCCCCGTGCTGCGGCTCTAATCCCACCGTGTGAGTGGGTATCTATCTGCCTCCCAGGAGCTAATCCTGCCAATAATTCTAGCTCGTCCAAAAGGATGTGGTGGGTGGCATCATCTTTCATCTCAACCATCAACTTCAAAGCTTCCACATATTTAAATGTTTTAATGTTTTCGACATTCTCAGCCCACGGATGCTTCGTGGAATTGGAAATGTCCTGTGTGAAACGCAATAATGATAAAGAAGAAGTATTTCAAAGATTTACGATTCTGATTTGTTTGCTTCTATCTTTATTGGCAAGGAACAAAATAACTCAGAAAAGGTTTTCAACTGGGGCCACACAAGAGCCCTTAGCCCTCTCTGTTCTTTTATCTTTATTCAAATGGCATCGCTTTCACTCTCCACTACCATAAACTGACAAACAGTGTTCTACAGCCTGTAGCCATAGGCTAGATCATATAGCCAAAATCATACAAGTTTAATCTCTTTTGTTCAATAAATAATAGATGTTTGTCAATGTGTCCATATTGTAACATATAGCCAACATAGCCTATAGTGTAAACAGCCAAATGATCCGTGAGAGAAAGGCTTTTCAAATAGGAGGATAGCAAGAGAATGCAACGTAGCGTACTTCTACTTCAACCCATAGATACTGAGTTAAAGTAACCATATACAGAGCAAACAAAGGCAAAAGCAATAGGCTACCCATTTGTTCCACGCGCGCTCTATTTTCCTCTCAAAGCAGTGCGCGGGGTTAATCCATAGACATTAAAAACAGGGTTAATCCCACCCACTCTGCTCGCCCCCGCATCGCACCATCAGCTGCTAGTGCTGTGCTCAGCTTCTCCCTCCTCCTCTTCCTCCTGCTGCGTGTCGTGAGAAAACGATCAATATAAAAACAGTCTGCCTAAAACCGAACGTCGACCCCGCGCAGGCTATTAAATGTCGACCAAGTCTACCGTTCTGGAGATGTGATGGATTATAACGGGTTGTTCCCGGAAGCGCAGGTTCAAATGCATCATCAAGGGAGAGAAGAGATGGGATAAACAAGGGGTAGCGTTAGTAGGCGAGCGAGGGAACTTGCAGAAGACAAAGGTAACTGTGCTACGAACTATGTGATGAATTAATAGTCGAGAGGAACAGTTGGGAGTGTGCAGGAGGCACAGCTTGAAAAAAACTCCAGCGATTGTCTTTTGAAATATGAACAGAGAGATGCTTTCCTTGTCTCCATCTCTCTCAGTGGAATCCACAGATGAGCTCTCGGTGGTCGGGAAGCATAAAAACCTTAACTTGACGATGCCCTGAAATGGTAATGACAGTCAGTCATCATGAGAAGCTAAACCGTAACCGTAGAAACAGATATGCTCTTCATGGATATAGAGGGAGAAAGGAGAGATTCGTCTAAAAACACATTATCAGGAAAAAAAATATGGTTTGACAGGCTATAGCTTAGAAGTTTGAAGGGACATATATTCGATTCTTTGCGTTCAAGTCGAACATCGAACTCAAGCCACGAACGCTGGCACTATGAACTCTACAACGAAACGCACAAACCACTGCAGAGATTGAGTGGCTTTTCCCACATTCTTTTCATGCTAAGTGTGTATACTTGAAGACTATAGTCTACATGTTGATGGAAGAGACTGACATAGATCTACTTATGCTATAGTTTCAACGGAAGCACTCAAAGGATCTACTGTCCATTCCCCTCAGCACATAGTGGTCTATAGGCTACTTTCAGCTCTAGAGACAGCAACCAAAATGACACGGCTGCGCAAAAAAGCTTTCATTGCACTTTTCTTATTCACCCTCTTCATCTTCGGGACCATGATGGGCCTCAGAACACTGAAACCCAGCGATGGCTTCTCAGACCTGGCCCCGGGGATGGGAGAGTTTGTGGGGGAAAGAGGAGGCGACCGGAAACCGCCAGTCTCAAACGACATGGTAGTTTCCCCTGGTCAGTCCCATCTAGCCAGCGACACCAAAGTCGTTTTCACAAAATCCGACCGTGACTACAGTATATTCTATGACGTACAAATATTCTATTACCTGTGGTATGGCACCCCACAGATGGACGGTAAATATATTCACTGGGACCATGTTCTAGTGCCGCACTGGGATCCTAAGATCGCTGCCAGCCACGCCAAAGGAAGACACACTCCTCCAGAGGACATAGCCGCGAGTTTCTTCCCGGAGCTAGGACCATACAGTTCGAGAGACCCCACTGTGCTGGAGTCACATATGTCGCAGATTGAAGCGGCTGCAGCAGGTAAGGGATTTTGGCACCACTAACTCCCAAAATTAAATATTATCATCAAAAGGTGTCCTGGACATGATACTGTACCTCTCAAATATTGAAGTATTAAAGTAGCTTCACTTAAACTCCCACATTCATCTGCACCAATCTTATGAAGGGGAGGGGGGTATAGGCCTACCCTTATGTCAATATTTATACCAAAGACGGTCACTAACTGTTTCCTCCCCAGGGGTACTGGTTCTGTCGTGGTATCCGCCTGGCATTGCAGACAACCATGGTGAGCCATGTGAAGACCTGGTGCCTGCTGTCATGGACGCTGCCCACAGACACAGCATCAAGGTAACTGGTGAGAGAACCGGTATGTTTTTACACTTTCTGGTGCTTTACTAAATGAATAAATGTCTGGCTGCAGGGTTGGGGTCGACTCCATTCCAATTTAGTCAATTGGAATTTCAGATGACTTCCGGATTGGACTGAATTGAAATGGAATTCGTCCCAACCCTGGCTGGCTGGCTGGCAGTGATGATTGGTTGGTAGGTGCTTAAGGGTTTATGTTGTTCACTCAGATTGTGTAACAGTCTGTCACAAGAGACTATGTTAACTCAGACCTTTGTTGTAGTAGTTTAAGTGAGGATCAGTCATGGTCTTTGAGCCTAGCTAAATACATAGAAATATTCATGTTACCAAAACGGAGAGAGCAGCCACAGTGTATGTCATAACTTCACTGTGTTCACTCGAAGACAGATGCAATGCATTTCGTTTTTAGAGGATGAAGTGTGTGATTTTGGAATGTATTTTCCATGCATAAAACAATCTGTTCAAGCCCACTTTCTTCCTCCATCTATGTATATTATTGATGTAGACAGAGAAAACACATTTCTTCAACAACCTCACAACTCTTCGGGTGCTTCACAAGGTCCTCTGAAGGCAGACAAAACATTTTTTCAGGATTTTTAAACCGAGGGAAGACAGTTTCCATTTGAATTGGAAGAGTGTTGTACTGTTTGACTTTCAGTCTATTGAAGCCATTAGAGATGTTCTGTACATTCATGCACGCACAAACACACGCGCGCACACATCGCACAAACAGCATTGGCCTCAGAGGCATTACTGGGACTGACCATGCAACCTGAGGCCTGTGTGCATGGCACGAGAAGGTCTCTCTTTCACACACACATACAACACACAACACACACACACAGAGAGAGAGAGCGAAAGGGTCAGACACACAGCATAAACCCATAGCATGCTGAAGGTGCCTTTGACAGAACAGTACAGTGCGAGGCCAGCTACAGCAAGCTTAGTGCAGAGTTAGTTAAATAAAGCCCAAGGTTCTTCCTTCCATCCGCTTTCATATTTTGAATATGGCAGGCTTACATTCACAGTGTTTGACGTGTGGAATGAAATGAAGGATGAGAAGTAGGTCTGTGTGGGACTTACACAACAGTAACAGTTTGTATCTCAGTATGACTAACCTGAGGGCTAACGCTGCTATGTTCTGTTCCAACCAGTGTTCTAGAATCACTGCCACACAGGAAATATAGGTCAAATTGTCAAAGATTCCAGTCACCCAAGTCATAGACTGTTCTCTCTGCTACCGCACGGCAAGTTGTACCGGAGTGCCAAGTCTAGGTCCAAAAGGCTCCTTAATAGCTTCTACCCCCAAGCCATAAGACTGCTGAACAATTAATCAAATGGCCACCGGGACTATTTACATTAACCCCCCCCACCCTTTGTTTTTACACTGCTGTTTATTATCTATGCATAGTCACTTTACCCCTATCTACATGTACAAATGACCTCGACTAACCTGTACCCTCGCACATTGACTCGGTACCGGTACCCCCTGTATATAGCCTCGTTATTGTTATTTTATTGTGTTACTTTTTATTACATTTTTTACTTTAGTTGATTTAGTAAATATTTTCTTGACTCTATTTCTTGAAATGCATTGTTGGTTAAGAGCTTGTAAGTAAGCATTTCACGGTAAGGTCTGCACCTGTAATTTGATTTGATTTGAAGTAGAGGGACAAAGAGATTTAATTCCTTGCCTACTTCCTCAGTGTCGCTTCGCCGACCTGTGTCTTTTCCACTTCATATGCGCACTCACTTTCTTTACTTGATCATCACATTAAATCATCAATAAGAATATACAGAGCTTAATGTGTAAACATTAAACTGCCTCAGGCTTAGTTTATTATTACCTCTCATAATAAAAACGAAATGATAAAACAAACATCTGTGTTAAATATTTAGATGTTTCAATCACGATCAACGTCCCCAGTTTGCAGTAAGCGCAGCTACACCTAAGGGCAAAATGCTAATAGGAGAATCTGTTCCCACTACACTGCACGACGTGTGTTGTGAACAAACTGAAAAACAGCTTCTCAACCCCTGCACACACACACACACACACACACACACACACACACACACACACACACACACACACACACACACACACACACACACACACACACACACACACACACAGGGTTTATTCAGCTGAGGAAAGGGACTTATTGAACAGCACATCAGCTCACCTTGCCGCTCGGCCTCTCTGATTTCAAAACCAGCCAGGACACAAACTGATAGCCCAGCGAGCGAGTGAGCTCGGTCGCTGCCATGTCAAACACAGTGTTACCATGGAAACTGTTTATGACGACCTTGCAGCCTCTTAAAAAAAAAAAAAACAGCCAGAGAGAGGGAGTGGGTGTTCTTTCCTTTCTATCTATCCCGCCTCGCTCCGTCATTCATGGCTCGACGGTTCTATCAACAGTTGACGGTGAGCTGAAGTAGACCTTTTGCTATACAGAAGCTGAGGTAAACATCCTAGTCGTCAGGCAGTTTAAGACTGGTCCCAGATCTGTTTGTGTTGTTTCGACAATGACAGTAGGTGTTGGCTATACAGCACAAAGAGATCTGGGATCAGGCTAGTCTAATCCTGGGCTGAGAGAGGGCAGCTGCCACAGTCCTGTTCATGTCATTTGGATCATACACAGTAATCTGTGTCACAGCAACCACAGTCATCTGAATGCTGAGACTCCCTGTTGATCCTTCAAGGTGTGGTGTGTGGAATGTGGATCAGATCCAGGTCTCCCTTGAAAAATAGTTTTTAAACCGCAAGGGATTTCATCCTTGTTTGATGTATAGACCTTATATGTATGCCATATGCTGTATCTCCAAGTACGGCCCTGGTATGTCTCCCGAGTGGCGCAGTGGTCTAAGGCACTGCATCGCAGTGCTAGCTGTGCCATTAGAGATCCTGGTTCGAATCCAGGCTCTGTCATAGCCGGCCGTGACCGGAAGACCCATGGGGCGGCGCACAATTGGCCCAGCGTTGTTCAGGGTATGGGAGGGAATGGCCGGCAGGGATGTAGCTCAGTTGGTAGAGTATGGCGTTTGCAACGCCAGGGTTGTGGGTTCGATTCCCATGGGGGGCCAGTATGGAGAGAAAAAAAGAAAAAAAAATCTTTGCACTAACTGTAAGTCGCTCTGGATAAGAGCGTCTGCTAAAATGTATGGTTAATTGAAGGGTTGGCAGGTATTATCTCTCAGTTGCAGCAAAGACACAGAGTCAAAGACAGAAAAAGGCCTTAGGTAATACTTTAAAGTAGAGAGTATTATTGCCTTAAAGTAGAGAGCAGTATCGTGATTATTATCTCCAGCAGATGAAGTTCACTGCAGGGCCACTGGAAGGAATATAACTCCAAATCACATTATCAGTTTGGATAATGGATATGACAGCTGGGAGCTAGGAGTCTCTGCTTCAGTGGTCTGTTCTTCCTCATCCTCTTCCTCCCTGCAGTTTCTTTTTAAATTTTCAAGAAACTAAAACTCAGTCCACATCCTGCTCCTCTCTCTAAAGTTAGCTCCTGTCCTGTGTCATTCTATTGCCTTCTATTTTTACACTCGGGACAAGCTCTCTCTCTCTCTCTACCTTTACACTCGGCACAAGCTCTCTCTCTCTCTCTCTCTCTCTCTCTCTCTCTCTCTCTCTCTCTCTCGCTCTCTCTCTCGCTCACACACACACACACACACACACCCACCCACATCAGTGCACACACAAGCACACACAGCATTCTGTTTGATTGCTGATGTTACCTGGACCAATCCCTATGGGGCCCCAGAGTCAGAGAAGGAGGATTTATTTATAGATCCCAGCCTTCTGATTGGCTGATCCCAGCCCGGAGGCCTCTGACACACTAGTCTGACAGGATCAATATCATCCATTCGCTTGGTCCCCAAAAGAACTGGCATTCTGAATGGACACTGGGATCCATTAAATTTGAGTAACAACATATTGATTCTCTGAGCCTACTATTTAACGATGGATATGCCAGTTGGAGGATACATGGCGAAACACATTGGTTTTAACAATAATGAAGCATTTCTGAAATGCACTTCCATTGTCCTCTAAGAGTTGCTGAATATTTCCCTCTGTTCATGTACCTTAGTATTATTTTACTATGCCAGTGCATTGAACAGTCAAACTCACAGATGGTGCTCACCACTCACCACACCTTACCAATTGAATTCTGAAGGCATTGCCATACTGCTTTTTAATACAACAATGAAATGGCAATGTGCTGATATACTAATGAATGTGAACATTGCTTTTCATTACTTCTTCATTTACAGAACCGTGTTTACATTCAAGTTGTATAATAATGCTTCAAAGACCTTGAAAATGTGTATTGCAGACAGTGTTGTCCTCGTTATTAAGGGTTTATAATGATCCGTATCCCTACTCTGTTCACACAGACAGTGTTGTCCTCGTTATTAAGGGTTTATAATGATCCGTATCCCTACTCTGTTCACACAGACAGTGTTGTCCTCGTTATTAAGGGTTTATAATGATCCGTATCCCTACTCTGTTCACACAGACAGTGTTGTCCTCTTTATTAAGGGTTTAATGACGTCTTCCCTACATTGCACACAGAATGTACTGTAAAGTTATAATGTATCCGTAATCCCTACTCTGCTTCACACAGACAGTGTTGTCCTCGTTATTAAGGTTGTATTCCGTCCTCTCTGTCACACAGACATGTGTCTGTTATTAAGGTTATATGATCCGTATCCCTACTCTGTTCACACAGACAGTGTTGTCCTCGTTATTAAGGGTTTATAATGATCCGTATCCCTACTCTGTTCACACAGACAGTGTTGTCCTCGTTATTAAGGTTTTATAATGATCCGTATCCCTACTCTGTTCACACAAGTGTTGTCCTCTTATTAAGGGTTTATAATGATCCGTATCCCTACTCTGTTCACACAGACAGTGTTGTCCTCGTTATTAAGGGTTTTAGTCCGTATCCTACTAAACATGCTGGTTCAAATGTAACAGGTTGTCCTCTATTAGGGTTAATGATCCGTATCCCTACTCTGTTCACACAGACAGTGTTGTCCTCTTTATTAAGGGTTTGCGTCTGCTAAATGACTAAAATGTAAATGTAAATGTTATAATGATCCGTATCCCTACTCTGTTCACACAGACAGTGTTGTCCTCGTTATTAAGGGTTTATAATGATCCGTATCCCTACTCTGTTCACACAGACAGTGTTGTCCTCGTTATTAAGGGTTTATAATGATCCGTATCCCTACTCTGTTCACACAGACAGTGTTGTCCTCGTTATTAAGGGTTTATAATGATCCGTATCCCTACTCTGTTCACACAGACAGTGTTGTCCTCTTTATTAAGGGTTTGCGTCTGCTAAATGACTAAAATGTAAATGTAAATGTTATAATGATCCGTATCCCTACTCTGTTCACACAGACAGTGTTGTCCTCGTTATTAAGGGTTTATAATGTCCGTATCCCTACTCTGTTCACACAGACAGTGTTGTCCTCGTTATTAAGGGTTTATAATGATCCGTATCCCTACTCTGTTCACACAGACAGTGTTGTCCTCGTTATTAAGGGTTTATAATGATCCGTATCCCTACTCTGTTCACACAACAGTGTTGTCCTCGTTATTAAGGGTTATAATGTCCGTATCCCTACTCTGTACAACAGTGTTGTCCACTAATGGTTATAATGATCCGTATCCCTACTCTGTTCACACAGACAGTGTTGCTCCTCGTTATTAACGTTTTATATATCCGTATCCTACTCTGTTCACACAGACAGTGTTGTCCTCGTTATTAAGGGTTTATAATATCCGTATCCCTACTCTGTTCACACAGACGTGTTGTCCTCTTATTAAGGGTTTATAATGATCCGTATCCCTACTCTGTTCCACTACAACATGTTGTCCTCGTTATTAAGGTTTATAATGATCCGTATCCCTACTCTGTTCACACAGTTGTTGCACTCTTTATTAAGGGTTTAATGATCCGTATCCCTACTCGTTCACACGCATGTTGTCCTCGTTATTAGGTTTATAATGATCGTATCCCTACTCTGTTCACACAGACATGTTGCTCCTCGTTATTAGGGCTTTATAATGATCCTATCCCTCTCTCTTCACTCCAGTATCATTTTGTCCTCGTTATTAAGCGGTTTATAATATCCGTATCCCTCTCTGTCACACATGGCGTTCCACATCCAGCCTCAGGTCGACTGACTCAGCATGCATGATACATCAATACTATTGCATGTTACCTCCACTGTCCTATCATCACTTCTCCTCTCCTCTCCTCTCTCATTTTCTCCTCCAATCTACTAATTCAATAGTTGTCATAAACCACTCTCCCATCCTTTCTCTGCCTCTCTCTCTTCATCCTCTCTCTCTCTTCTCTCCTTTCTTTTCTATCTTGTCTCTCTCTCCCTCTTTCTCTCTCTCTCTCCTCTCTCTCTCTCTCTCTCTCTCTCTCTCTCACTCTCTAGATAATTGACAAGTAGATTGGCCTTCGACTGTTCTGTACATCCACGTCCTCTAGCCAGCCACTCCACTTCCTTTCTCCACTTCCCTCTTTCTATCTCCACTCTCACTTCCCCCTCTCTGTCTCTCGCTCTCCCCACTCCTCTCTTGCTTTCTCTCTCTCTGCCTCTCTCACTCCTCTCTCAAACTCTCACTCATACAGATGATGATTTTCGTATCACTTACTTAGGTCAGAGCTCTGCTTTTCATATCAATGTCCAGTGACGTTGGTCTAGGGATCTGGAGAAATCTGAGCCCTCTTCAGGTCTGAAGGAGGTAGAGAGAATGAAACCACAAGTAGCCTTTGTCCTGATTGTATTACTTTCACTTTCATTATTAGAGTACTCATCTGAGGGCTTGAGAAAATTGATAGTGCCACTAAAAGATTTGTACCTGTGTAAAAATGTATGAAAAAGTTTGGCTGTGGAACAGACCAGCACTAGCCTTCAGGTCCCAGATCTGTTTGTGCCGTCTTGCCAACTCCTATGGTCATTGTCATGCCATATAGGAGGAGAGGACAAATGTAGAGGGCAGAAGACGAATATGTGATGGTTTATCTAATGAGGCATGATAGTGATCCATCTAAACATTGTCCCAACCTTGAGACACCCTCTGTGGTTGGGCGGTAGGGTTAGATGTTTCTGGCAACTTCTGCACAACCAACTGTGCTAGCAATCTGCCTGAAAAGAAACCACAGAGAGAATGAGAAGGGGGGGGGGTACATTTATAAAATCTGATCTCTCCAAACTTGCTCTTGAAAATAATAGCACCATTCACATAATAGCATTTTCTGTGGACATCTGACACTTCACCCAATCGAGAACGCTTGTATTGGCAGAACCTGCTGCTTTGTAACAAGTGTAAAAATAAAAACAAAATAAACGTTTACATAATAATCTATGACTGGATTGGCTACCTATGAAGTCATGATGTTTTTCTTCTTGCATGTTCACTTCTCTATAAAAATATGCGTAATTTGTATGTATACTGTAACTCAGATTCTAGCTGCATATGTAAACATGAACTAAACTAAAGAAAATCTTTACCTCATAGGTACGGGAACCACGGCGCCTTCTACCGCTTCAGGTCGACCACGGGGCGGATCCTTCCTCTGTTCTACGTCTACGACTCCTACCTGACCCCGCCTGAGGCCTGGGCCGAACTGCTCCACCCCGCCGGCGCCCACACCCTCCGCGGCACACCCTACGACGGTGTCTTCCTCGCCCTGGTCGTAGAAGAACGCCACAAACACGAGATCCTGGCCGGTGCCTTCGACGGCATGTATACGTACTTCGCCTCCAACGGCTTCTCCTTCGGCTCCTCTCACCAGAACTGGAAGGCGGTTAAGGCCTTCTGTGACGGTAACAACCTGCTGTTTGTGCCCAGCGCCGGGCCGGGATACGTCGACACCGCAGTGAGGCCATGGAACAACCACAACACGAGGAACAGGGTCAACGGACGCTATTATGAGACCAGCCTGCAGGCGGCATTGTCGGTGCGGCCGGAGATTGTGACCATCACGTCATTCAACGAGTGGCACGAGGGGACACAGATCGAGAAGGCGGTGCCTAGGAAGACGGTGTCGCGGCTGTATTTCGACTACCAGCCCCACCGGTCAGATCTGTACCTGGAACTCACCAGGAAGTGGGCCGAACACTTTAACAAGGAGAAAGACAAGTGGCTCATGTAGAAGACAGGACTCCTGACTGGACTGTGTCGAAGAGAATAATACTTTTTAGGTGTGACTGAGGAGCTTTTCACACTACTGAGCCGAACCGAGCCAAACCAAGCTGTACTGAGCTGGCCTGGATAGTGGTTACACGTCCTCCATAGTTGCTGGAACCAGGCTGAAAATAAAAATGTGGAAAGAAAATAGCACAGCAAGCACAGTTTGGTTTGGGTCAGCATGATAGTGTGAAAATGGTAGGAGTGGCCTCACTGCTGGGTATTCTGGGTCAATGTGAATATACACTCCTCTATGTATTTATTTGGACAGTGCAAATTTGACCCCATACTCCAGCATTTTGGATTTGAGATCTAATATTTCATATGAGGCGATAGTACAGAATGTTACCTTTTATTTTAGGGTATTTTCATACATATGTTTTACTGTTTAGAAATGAAATACCTTAATGTGAATGGTGAATAACGTACTGGAGTCACTTTTATTGCTTCACTGTCCAAATTAATACAGAGGGGAGTGTATGTCTTTGACTGGAACAAATGGGACTGAGACTGCTCACACCATTGACTTAGCAACAATTCCACCTGGCCTATCAGAGGGCAAGATGGAGGTTCCACTATATTGCTTACACCTATCCAATCCTATTACACTTATCCAATCCTCTCAGATCTGCAAAAGTGTCTAGGGGGAGGGGGTGTCACGACTTCCTCCAAAGCTGCCCCCTCTCCTTGTTCGGGCAGGCTTCAGCGTTCGTCGTCACCGGCCTTCTAGCCACTGCCGCTCCTCATCTCATCATTCCATTTGTTTTGTCTTGTTTATTACACACACCTGGTTCATATCCCCTCATCAGTACCTGTATACGTATTCCCTCTGCCCCCCATGTCTTTGTGTGTGAATGTTTATTGTGGAAGTGACGGTAGCTCGGTGGAGCTTTATATATTTGTATCGCCGGGATATTCACCTGTGTACTTTGTTTTCTCCAATGCGTCGTTATACCGCACCGTAGTGTTTCACGCATTGCTGCGTACTGCTGTATTTGCAGAATAAACAATTTATTCTGTGATTTACCCTCCTGCGCCTGACTCCATCCAAATCACCCGCTACAGAATCACACACCCAACAGCATGGAGTCAGCAGGAGACTGGAATATGCCTGGAGTCGTTGAGCGGGTCTGGGAGCATTCCAACATGCTAGCCAGCTTGGGCGAAGCGATGGATAGGGTTCTCCAGGTCGTCTAGCGCCTGGAGAGGAGAGGACCCGACCCTGCGGAACCAGCTGAGCGACCGAAAATGTACCCCCACTAATTGGTCTTTTGATCAATCAGATCAGCTCTTTTGCCCATAATCTTTGCCCGACCGGATCCAGCAACCCACACCCCAGTGCTCAGACGTATTCACCTGTCTCGACCTAAGGAATATGACGGGACAGCGGCCCGCTGCCAGGGTTTCCTCCTGCAGTTGGACCTCTATTTTTCCACCATCAGCCCAGCTCCCTCGGGTCGGAAGAAGGTGTCCGCCCCTGTCATCTCCTGCCTCTCAGGGAAAGCCCTGGAGTGGGCCAACGCGGTCTGGAGTGAAGGAGGAGACGTGTTGGACAACTACGGGGAGTTTGCTCGCCTCTTCCGGGCAGTCTTCGATCACCCTCCCGAAGGATGATAGGCGGGCGAGCGGCTGGTCCATCTGAGGCAGGGGACGAGGACCGCGCACGACTTTGCCCTGGAGTTTAGAACTCTTGCGGCTGGGTCCGGGTGGAACGAGCAGGCCCTCACCCCCCCTCAACCCAGATCACGTTCCGATGGAGCTGAGTGGTGCAGCGATCCGGGAGAATGGAGGACAACAGATCCAGTGTCACTCTTGTGGCAAGAGAGGACATTCTGCTGCACCCGAGTTCGAGTTCTTCTGGGTCTGGAGGAGGCAGGCAGGGCACTCTCGCGTCACCCCAGGTAGCGCAAAACCACACTCGTTCAGAGCCCTCTGCTGCGCACTTCACCATCCACGTCTACTTCCCTGATTACACGGTAGATCCTCAGTGTAAGGCGCTGGTCGATTCAGGCGCAGCTGGGAACTTTATGGACAGGTCTTTAGCTAATAGTCTATGTATTACATTGGTTCCCCTACCCATTCCATTGCCCATCAAAGCACTTGACAGTCGACCATCAGGGTCAGGTTTCGTTAGGGAAGTTACAGCACTAGTCACGATGATTATGCAGGAGACCCATAGGGAGCAAATGACCTTTTATATTATTGAGCCCTGATTTCCCTGTTGTGTTGGGCCTTCCCTGGCTAGCACTACACGATCCCACCTTGTCATGGCCGCAGAGGGTTCTCACTGGGTGGTCGCGAGAGTGTCAGGGTAGGTGTCTAGCTGTTTCCGTTGGTGCAACCACGGTGGAAAGTCCAGACACCACCTCCACCGTGCGCATTCCCCCCGAATACCTCGACTTGGCTACATCGATGACATTCTGGTGTATTCCGCTACGCGCGCCTAGCATATGTCCCTGGTTCACAAAGTGCTGGGCCGACTGTTGGAACATGACCTTTATGCCAAGGCAGAAAAGTGTCTGTTCTTCCAACAGTCCGTCTCCTTCCTCGGATACCACATCACCACCTCAGGTGTGGAGATGGAGGGAGACCACATTTCAGCCGTGTGTAATTGGCCGTCTCCCACCACGGTGAAGGAGGTGTAGCGCTTCATTGGCTTTGCCAATTACTATCGGAGGTTTATCCGGGGCTTTGGCAAGGTCACATCTCCCATCACCTCTCTGTTGAAGGGTAGGCTGTCCCAGCTCCGCTGGTCTGCTGAGGCTGACAGTGCTTTCAGTAACCTGAGGGTTCTGTTCACCTCAGCCCCGGTACTGGCCCATCCCGATCCATCATTTCTGTTCATAGTGGAGGTGGATGCGTCCGAGGTAGGGGTAGGCGCTGTCCTATCCCAATGCTCTGGCACGCCACCCAAGCTCCGCCCCTGTGCCTTCTTCTCTAAGAAGCTCAGCCCGGCGGAGCAGAACTATGATGTTGGTGATCGGGAGCTGTTGGCTGTTGTCAGGGTCCTGACCGCGTGGAGGCACTGGCTCGAGGGGGCGAAACACCCTTTCCTCGTCTGGACTGACCACCGTAACCTGGAGTACATCCGGGCAGCAAGGAGGCTGAACCCTCACCAGGCCAGGTGGGCCTTGTTCTTCACCCGGTTTGATTTCACACTGTCATACATACTATGCACAAAGAACGTGAAGGCAGATGCACTGTCACGGCTGTACGACACAGAGGAGAGGCCAATAGACAAGACCCCCATACTCCCAGACCCCTACATTGTGGCGCCGGTAGTGTGGGCGGTGGACGCGGACATAGAGCGGCCGTTACGCACAGAGCCATCTCCACCTCAGTGCCCAGCAGTGCCGTCTCTTGTCCGTGATCGTCTTATCTATTGGGCACACACGTCCCCCTCCTCTGGTCACCCCGGTATCAGCCGTACAGTGCGCTGCCTGACCGGGAAGTACTGGTGGCCTACCTTGGCTAAGGACGTGAGGGTGTATGTCTCCTCCTGCTTAGTGTGTGCCCAGAGTAAGGCACCTAGGCACCTTCCAGCGGGTAAGTTACATCCCTTACCAGTTCCACAACGGCCCTGTCTCAGGGTAACACCACCATCCTGGTCGTTGTGGACCGCTTATCTAAAGCCTGCCGCCTCCTTCCTCTGCCCGGTCTCCCCACGGCCCTGCAAACTGCGGAGGCCCTGTTTACTCACGTCTTCCGGCACTACGGGGTGCCAGAGGACATAGTGTCTGTCCGGGTTCCCCAGTTTACATCCAGGGCCTGGAAGGCGTTCATGGAACGTCTGGGGTCTCGGTCAGCTTGACCTCTGGGTTTCACCCCAAGTCTAATGGGCAGGTGGAACGGGTGAATCAGGATGTGGGTAGGTTCCTGCGGTCCTACTGCCAGGACCAGCCGGGGGAGTGGTCGGTGTTCTTGCCATGGGCAGAATATGCCCAGAACTCTCTCCGCCACTCCTCCACTAACCTATCTCCATTTCAATGTGTTTTAGGTTATCAGCCGGTCCTGGCACCGTGGCATCAGAGCCAGACCGAAGCTCCTGCAGTGGATAACTGGTTTCGGCGCGCTGAGGAGATGTGGAACGCTGCCCACGTCCACCTCCAGCGCGCGTGCGTCCCCAGAAGGCCAACGCTGACCACCACCGCAGTGAGGCCCCGGTCTTCGTACTTCGTGATCGGTCTGGCTCTCGACCTAGAATCTGCCCCTCCGCCTGCCCTGCCGGAAGCTGAGCCCGCGGTTTGTGGGGCCGTTCAAAGTCCTGAGGAGAGTAAATGAGGTTACGTATAGGTTACTAATCCCTCCTGATTACCGTATTAACCCCTCGTTTCACGTGTCTCTCCTCAGGCCGGTGGTGGCTGGTCCGCTCCAGGAGTCTGAGGTGTGGGAGGTCCCTCTGCCCCCTCTGGACATCGAGGGGGCCCCGGTGTACTCTGTCCGTTCCATCCTGGATTCGAGGTGTCGGATGGGAGGCCTTCAGTACCTCGTGGAGTGGGGGGGGGTACGTTCCGGAGGAGCGGTGTTGGGTCCCAGTGAGGGATGTCCTCGATCCCTCCCTGTTGCGGGATTTCCACCGTCGCCATCCGGCTCGCCCTGCTCCGCGTCCTCCTGGCCGTCCCCGAGGCCGGTGTCGGTGCGCTGCTGGAGCTGCGCATCAAGGGGGGGTATTGTCACGACTTCCTCCGAGGCTGCCTCCTCTCCTTGTTCAAGCAGGCTTCGGCGTTCATCGTCACCGGCCTTCTAGCCACTGCCGCTCCTCATCTCATCATTCCATTTGTTTTATCTTGTTTATTACACACACCTGGTTCATATCCCCTCATCAGTACCCGTGTAAGTATTCCCTCTTCCCCCATGTCTTTGTGTGTGATTGTTTATTGTGGAGGTGACGTTGGCTCGGTGGAGCTTTATATACAGTGCTATGAAAAAGTATTTGCCCCCTTTCTAATTTTCTCTACTTTTGCATATTTGTGATACTGAATGTTATCAGATCTTCAACCAAAACCTAATATTGGATAAAGGGAACATAAGTGAACAAATAACACAACAATTACATATTTATTTCATAAACAAAGTTATGCAACACCCAATTCCCCTGTGTGAAAAAGTAATTGCCCCCTTACACTCAATAACTGGTTGTGCCACCTTTAGCTGCAATGACTCCAAACAAACGTTTCCTGTAGTTGTTGATCAGTCTCTCACGTCGCTGTGGAGGAATTTTGGCCCACTCTTCCAAACAGAACTGCTTTAACTCAGTGACGTGTGGGTTTTCAAGCATAAACTGCTTGTTTCAAGTCCTGCCACAACATCTCAATTGGGATTAGGTCTGGACTTTGACTAGGCCATTCCAAAACTTCAAATTTGTTGCTTTTTAGCTATTTTCATGTAGACTTGATTGTGTGTTTTGGATCATTGTCTTGCTGCATGACCCAGCTGCGCTTCAGCTTCAGCTCACAGACGGATGGTCTGACATTCTCCTGTAGAATTCTCTGATACAGAGCAGAATTCATGGTTCCTTCTATTAAGGCAAGTCGTCCAGGTCCTGAGGCAGCAAAGCATCCCCAAACCATCACACCACCACCACCATGCTTGACCTTTGGTATGATGTTCTTACTGTGGAATGCAGTGTTTGGTTTTTGCCAGGCATAATGGGACCCATCTCATCCAAAAAGTTGACTCAAATTTGCCAAAAATCACCTCGATGATTATCAAGACTCTTGGAAGAACGTTCTATGGACAGATGATTCAAAAGTATAACTTTTTGGACGACATGGTTCCAGTAATGCCTGGCGAAAACCAAACTCTGCATTCCACAGTAAGAACATCATACCAAAGGTCAAGCATGGTATTTATGCAATAAATATGTAATTGTTGTGTTATTTGTTCACTTATGTTCCCTTTATCTAATATTAGGTTTTGGTTGAAGATCTGATAACATTCAGTATCACAAATATGCAAAAGTAGAGAAAATTAGAAAGGGGGCAAATACTTTTTCATAGCACTGTATTTGTATCGCCAGGATATTCACCCATGTGCTTTTTTTTCTCCAGTGTGCCATTATACCGCACTGTAGTGTTTTACGCATTGCTGCGTACTGCTGTATTTTCAGAATAAACCATTTATTCTGTGTTTTACTCTCCTGCGCCTGACTTCATCCAAATCACCCGCTACAGGAGGCTAGGGGTTGATTTGGGATTCAGGGGTATACTCATGATTTAACCTGTCTCTGTGTTCATCAACTCTTCTGTTCTTCTCTCAAATTAACATTCCAGAGGATACTTTTCCATTGATGTGAATTTCATCACGATACCTGGTTTCTTTTTGAACATCTGAATATACAACACAAATACTTTTGTACAAAGTTTAATCGGTTGGTTTACCTCGACTTATGTTAGTGGCAAGAAACGGCCTGTTTTGAGTGACTTAAGTCTATTCCTTTCAGATGAGTTTAGTTGTGATGATCGCCACAGTAATGATAGAGCCATTGGGGTTGTGTAGTGTGGGTGAGGTTTGAGACTTTCTGACTTATTCTTTCCTGTATTACTTTGAAATGGTGAAAAATAAACATATTGTCTGTTTACTATCTGATAATATTTTATGTGTTTGAAATAGGGTGGTTTCGACTAAAATGAATCAGCAAGGGTCAGCCCCACCATTTGGGAAGGAGCCTGTTCTATAGCACACTGTTATAGAATTGTCAAGCCATAGCAGGCTGCCTGGTCCCTGCCCAACAAACTGCACTAGCTACTTTATCACTCAACTCAATTAGAAACCATGGGGTCAGTGCTGAGTCTGCTGACTCCCAACACCTCGCTACCAGTGGAGGCTGCTGAGGGGAGAATGGCTCATAATAATTGCTGGAATGGAGTAAATAGAATGGTATCAAAAACATGGTTTCATGTGTTTGATACCATTCCTTTCACTCCATTCCATCCGTTAAACTCCATTCCAGGCATTATGAGCCGTTCTCCCCTCGCTACACTGGCTCTGTCCTGCTCCACACACACACAGTGCCCAAGCACATCACCCGTTAACACCAACTACCCAACCAGGCTTTGGCGTTGTGCGGTTATATAAATGTCAGGCTTCACAGCCCCGTTGCCGGCCCGACACTCCTCATCATTACTGATCCTTCTAGTTCCAGGTGACAGATCAGATGATGCGTTCATACCATTAGAGCTCAATGGTTCGTACCTCAGAATGTCAACCGTCGAAGGGCAGTGAACTGTGCGAGAGAGAGAGAGAGATAGACAGGAGAGAGAGAAAAGAAGAGAAGAGAAGAGAGAGGGACAGAGAATCAACGACAGAATACAGAGATAGAGAGAGAGGAGGATGAAAATTGAATTTGACTGACAAGACAGTGGGAGGGCATAAAGAAAGAACTCGTTGACTTTCTTAGAAAGCCTGTTGTTCTTTGAGTCTAGCATCATCTTAGCCTGGATTCCAAACTGATATTCTTCATTCCACAATGATGAAACGGACCATATCAGTTTGGATTCTAGGTTAGCGTCATCCATAGAGAGCTTGTTCATCCTTGATCATACTGCATGGGTCCATCAAGCTAGTTAAGCAGAAGCATGAGAGGAAAAACCACCAATCGAAAAATGATGTTTCCCTAATTGTTACTAACTCAGTAACAGCTTTAGAATATTGAGGTCATTTGAAAACGTTGTCCAACCTAATGGCCAGTGACAGAAAGTCACAACAGAGGGAGCGAAGGAGGGAGAAAGGAATTGCATCTAAAGGCAGCAGGGTTGGCCGGGGCGACGTCGTCAAGGGAATTCTGCCACTCAGAGTTCCAAACCAAAGCACTTAAAAACAGGAAGACCATTAAGCTAGTTCAATAATGCAGAACAACATTCAAAGATGCAAAATCAAAGGGATTTTTGTTCTTAAAAGAACACCCTTCAGAGCTCCACAGGGAGCCTGATGCAGTCACCTCAGCTAACCTGTCCCTCTGATCAAAATGGAAGTAAGTAAATAAACAGTAAACAGATGACGACATTACATCAAAAATGACATGTTAAAAACGGTTATATTGTGAACATTCAAGAAAAACTAAATAGTTTTAATTTGCCAGGTTAGTTTGCTAGTGTCTAAATACACTATATTGTTATAGCAGCATTTACTACATCTCCAGATCCTTTGCAGATTCATAATGAAATGGTACGGATTCATGATGCACGCGATGCCATAACATTTTACATTCCACACACATTTGACAAAAACTGCAATGCCAGGTACTGCATGGGGAATGATATTCCGTTTTGCCAACAGTGCTTTTTCTTTCTGCCCCATCAAAAATAATGTCACCCTTAATGTTTCCAGCAAGACTGGATGTAAAGAGGAATGTTGCTTCAGAGGATTTGTGCTTGAGTCAACTGTTTTCCACACTACACTCAGCGGCCAGCCACTGTTCAAGCCCAACTCATAATAGAACGCTACTAGACATGTCATAAATCAAAATAAAACACTGTAGGTACACTGCATTGACCTGATCCATACTGAAATGCAGCAAATTATTGCTTTCTACCCTCAGCAACTAGTATGGGGTTACTGTTGGTTAAGGTTATGGGGACAGGGTAGGGAGACCTGATCTTGAACTAGGTATTAACAACAGGAAGAGTTAAGTACACAGTAGAGTGCATAGAGACGTCTCAGTTGGATAAGTAACAGGAACAGTTTCTCCAGCATCAAAAGGTTGACTTGAATTTTCATCAGGGAGGTACAGTTGGAGGTGGAGGTTGAGGCTGCTGTGGTCGAGGGGGCTGGGGTAGTGGGTCCTGGGGCTGAGAGTGCTGGGGTGGTGGGTCCTGGGTTGATAGGTCCTGGGGCTGCTTGACCTGGGCACCAGAGGGTTCACCAGTAGGTTGACAACCAGTCTGTTTCTCTGTGTCTGATGCTGTGCTGCCGTCTCTGCAGGGGCACCGACACTGGCATGACTCTCCCTGTCTGATGACGATGACAGGCAGATGCAGGCCTATCTGCTGCAGAGCTGTCCCTAGAACACACAAAGACCGAGGGCATGTAAAATAACGTTTTTAAAAAGTCATACATCCATAAAAATTGTACAGTACAACAACCTCACAGATACGGTCTTGTAGCTAGCATTACAATATCTACAGCTCTGCAACTGATAATGTTTAGCGATCAAATACAAAATTATCAAAATGTAGAATACTAGTGTAAAAAGCACACCTAAATACATCAGAGGTGTATATCGGTAAATCTAATGAAGTAAAAGACGAATCTCCGTAAATTACCTGTGTTCCCTCCCATAGGTATTGCTGTGGTAAAATAGAGCTTCTCTACTGTTGAGCCACTATGTTGTTGCTGAAATACAACAGAAGAAGAGAAGAGAGCATGTTCAGCATATGATTAACAGAATGGCAATGCCTCGTGGCTAAACAGAGGAATAGTTTCATTAAAACAACTGAAGGTCAATCAACAGTTGGACTGGATGAGATCCAGCAGGCCAGTGATTGGACAACCCTCTCCATATTCGAATTAGCTGGCTTTACTACACTCCAGGTTAGGAGGTTTCAATAAATCATCTACAATAATGACACCAATAAATACCGTATGACAACAAAAGATACATTCATAAAAAATGTGCCTATAAAAACACGCAGGAATGTTATATTATTAGACCAACATCTGCTAGCAAACCTAAACGTATTAGCTGTTATAATACACTATATATACAAAAGTATGTGGACACCCCTTCAAATTAGTGGATTCAGCTATTTCAGCCACACCCGTTGCTGACAGGTGTATAAAATCGAGCACACAGCCATGCAATCTCCAAAGACAAACATTGGCAGTAGTATGGCCCGTACTGATGAGCTCATTGACTTTCAACTTGGCACCATCATAGGATCCCACCTTTCCAACAATTCAGTTCATCAAATTTCTGCCCTGCTAGAGCTGCCCCGGTCAACTGTAAGAGCTGTTGTCTAGGAGCAACAACGGCTCAGCCGCGAAGTGGTAGGCCCCAAAGCTCACAGAACGGGACTGGCGAGTGCTGCAACACTCACTACCGAGTTCCAAATTGCCTCTGGAAGCAACCTCAGCAAAATAACTGTTCGTTGGGAGCTTCATGAAATGGGTTTCCATGGCCGAGCAGCCGCACACAAGCCTAAGATCACCATGCACAATGCCAAGCGTCGGCTGGCTTAGTGTAAAGCTCGCCGCCATTGGACTCTGGAGCAGTGGAAACGCGTTCTCTGGAGTGATGAATCACGCTTCACCATCTGGCAGTCCGACGGACAAATCTGGGTTTGGCGGATGCCTGGAGAACTTGGTCTGCACAGAGCCCTGACCTCAACCACATCGAACACCTTTGGGATGAATTGGAACGTCGACTGCGAGCCAGGCCTAATCGCCCAACATCAGTGCCCGACCTCACTAATGCTCTTGTGGCTGAATGGAAGTAAGTGCATCCAATGTTCCAACATCTAGTGGAAAGCCTTCCCAGAAGAGTGGAGGCTGTTATAGCAGGAAAGGGTGGACCAACTCCATATTAATGGCCATGAATTTGTAATGAGATGTTTGACGAGCAGGTGTCCACATACTTTTGGTCATGTAGTGTAACTTATAATGGGCCTAACTTGTTATAATTATAATAACCTATTAGTAACTTGTTAATGATGACTTACTGATAGCTGTGTCTGTGTGTCCCGCTGCCTCTGGTCATTGACACTGTTCAACAGCCACTGGAGGTTCTGAGTGGACAAGGTCATGGGCTGGAGGATACTCACGGCAGGGACAGTAGGAGGAGCAGAGTGCCCCAGGGAAAGGGGTGTTAGTGGGGCCTGGAGGGAGGAGCTGGGGGGTGGAGGGTATGGGCCTGGTTGCGAATGGATGGAGGGCGTGGCAGCTGGCTGTATTAGTAGGCTCTGGGTGGAGCCTGGTTGTGAATGGAGGGTGGTGGTTGGCTCTAGTAGTAGGCTCTGCTGTGGTAGGAGGCTCTGGTTGGTTGGCTGTGGTAATAGGCTCTGATTGGAGCCTGGTTGGGAATAGACAGATGTGGCTGGCTGTTGTAATAGGCTCTGGTTGGATGTCTGTTCTGGATTCACATCATGTTTAGGTTTTTCAGGAACTGGACAGGGTTCACCAGGGGTACACCCAGCGGTGAGGACAGCGATGGGCTGGGGTACAGGACAGGGTTCACCAGGGATAGAGTCAGAGGGGGCAGGACAGGTAGAGATGAAACAGGTAGATGCTTCTGGGAGCACCACGGTTGGAGATGGGTTCTCCAAACTACATGAGGGCACTGCCAACGACGACACATCTGGAGAAGATAGGGGAAAGGAAATAAGGGTTTTGAAGGGCTAAACAGGAGACAAGGCATTTAGACGACAACGCACTGGTGGTGTTCACCACAACATAGCATAGTACGCACCCTGTGGCTGGGGCTTGTCTTGAAACAGCAACTCAAACATCAGATCCAGGGCATCAGACTGCCACAGGGACAAGACAGCAGCAGAGTAACATTAGTCTAACAGAGAAAAAGCAGCCTACAGTTGCCTTGAGCAAAACATATTCAGTACATGTCTTAGCTACCATATTACATTTACATTACCATACAGTATGCACAACATTGACATGTATAGTTAGCCCTGAGACATGGCTGTAGTCTCTAATAGTGTCTATATAGCCAATAGCATAGGGCTAACTGTATACTGTATACATGTCTTTAAGACATATTGAATGGTGATATGTTTATTCAGACTCAGTGTGTGATATTGAAAATGTGGAAAGAAAGCGGTACAAAATGACTTACGTTATTTTCTCTGAGCTGAGAATCAGTGGAAATCAGGCTCATATCACTGAGACATGGGGAACGAGGATTCAAATCCTGTGTTTCAAAACATGATATTTGATGGATTATAAGAGGTGATTAGAGAGCACCACAAGTTAACAGATTTAAATGAGAGAAAAATACAGAGCAAATCTATTGATTGTATGGATATTGGAACAGTAATAGGCTTGACACATACGAGACAGAAACAGATGAAATGTGTCATTGTCAAAACATCATTAAGTGCCATTTTCAGTCACATGGTGGGAGGACTCACCTCTGAGAGAGAGTGGCTGTGAGTGATGTCAGCTGACAGTCCAGGGTCGTAACCTTTGATGTTGTCCCTCAGGCTGTTGGAGGAGCTTAGGGAGTTATCACCGTCTGTGTCCACCTGAAGGACGGGTGGCTCACCTAGGAGAAATAACACACACACACAGGTACTGTATATGTACACACGTGCATGCACTGCACACACACACACACACACACACACACACACACACACACAGGTATGACTTATTTTGGTCTCTCTTATACAGCAGCTGACCTTGTTGCTTACAGCCCCATAGGAATTTGAGATATAGTCCTAGCTTGGAGATAGAAAGGTCATTTGCGTCCACAACTCTTAGCCTCATGGGTGAAGGGAGAGGATATAGAAATACTCTCAGCAATATACAAGCCCATGCATAATGACAAGGAACATTAATAACATGACTATGGTGATGTAGACTTTTTAATGCCTTTAGGCCTGTGTCTTTTTGGGAAAAGGGCAAGGAGGTTCAAGCTACTAGCATTGTCTGAGAAACAGGCACGCACACAGACAAGCAGTTCTGCAGCTTACAGATGGAAACATCCACTGGGAAGCCAACCAAACGGCAGGCAGACAATGTTTCCTCAGCCTTTGGTATCAATGTGAGTTTACAGATGTCTCCATGCATTCACAGATCACATGTAATGGTTAACTAAAGAGACCCCATCTGAGACTCATAGCTCCTCGGAGGGAGGAAGAGTTTGTTGGGTTCTCTGGTATCAGAGGAACAGGCTAGAAAGACAAATGACAGAGTGTTATAGTCAGAATGGAGTGTGGGAAGAAGCAAGTGTGTATGTGTGTATATTTGATCTGTGTGTCTGTGTGTGTGTGTGTGTGTGTGTGTGTGGTTGATGTGTGTGTGTATGTCTGTGTTTGATGTGTGTGTGTGTGTGTGTGTGAGTGATCCTGGGCCCCAGAGGAAACAGCAGTATTAATAGCTGTGTTATTCACCACCAAGCTCCACAACAACAACAGCAGCAGCAATCAGACCTGGGTTCAAATAGTATTTGAATTCCTACAAATATATGAGTGTTTGCTTGAGCCTGGCTGGAGTGCCAGATTGATGGGGTTTGGACTTTTGGGACTGTTGTGTGTGTGTGTGTGTGTCATTATGCACAGTCAGGGCTGTCAATGGGTGGTGTCTCTACTGTACGCTCCCTGCCATAGCATTTATCTGCTACATTGAAGCAATCCTCCTACGTGTGTGTGTGTGTGTGTGATCTCAGCACTCTGCTGGATGTGGATAAATAGGCTCATCAGGATTCACTGACAGGGCGTTAGGAGAATAAATGGGCCAATAACAATCTGGGGAGCTGAGTGGTTCTGAAGCCTATCTACTGGGCTGAAATAAACTTGGATGTTTTCAACACACACAAACACACATAGTAGAGGAAGCCATACTCCATTAGTAATACTCAATAAGGCGTAGCAGGGAGGAAAGACAGAAGTGCTAGAACGTATTGTTGTATCTGAATCTCTAGACAAAGGGTTTTCAACTCTCCCTAGTCTTATTTCAAAATAAACAGCGTTTGAGCTAAAGGAGCATGCTATGTTTCCCCACTCTCTCGCCACTCCACTGTACCTGTGTGTCCCAGGAAGTGTGTTTGGAGGTGGTCACTAGAGGTGAACGTCTTGTAACAGCCAGGATGGTCACACCTGGGGAGAAAACAACACCAAGTTAGGTTCTTTGTGTTCATTCATGCATTCCTGCATGCATTCATTCGTTCATTCAACCGACTGCAAACTTCATCCATTCATTGTGAGCTCACCTGAAGGGCTTCTCCTTGGAGTGTGTCCGGATGTGTTTCCTCAGGTCACTCAGGGTGGTGAAGTACTTGGTGCATCCGTCTGACTCACAGTTAAACGTGTTCCCTGTGTGCAGTCTCTGGTGGGCTTTTAGCCTGCACATCAACACAAACACAACAGATATAACTAACACGGCTGATGTTTGCAGTTCAGCACACAAACAGATAGTCACAGAGCTGTGGCTTGACTTGGGGTCAGCACACCAACAGATAGTCACAGAGCTGTGGCTTGTCTTGGGGTCAGCACACCAACAGATAGTCACAGAGCTGTGGCTTGACTAGGGGTCAGCATACCAACAGATAGTCACAGAGCTGTGGCTTGACTTGGGGTCAGCATACCAACAGATAGTCACAGAGCTATAGCTTGACTTGGGGTCAGCATACCAACAGATAGTCACAGAGCTGTGGCTTGACTTGGAGTCAGCATACCAACAGATAGTCACGGAGCTGTGGCTTGACTTGGGGTCAGCATACCAAAGGCCGCTGGGATAAGTTCATTAACTTTGAGGTCAGGGGTCAGGAGAGTTCCGAACTTATGACTGATGAAACACTATCACGTGACACTTGTCTTGAACCATGGCAGGAAGACTACCCCCTACAATAACTTGACTGCGATTGCTTTCAGTTGACAATTTTGGTGCCAGTGGGCCTGTAAATAATATATTAAAAAAACGATGTGGGGGGGGGGCAAGACAGCTAGGTTGGGGTATCTGCTCTGCCTATTCAATGGTATGGTCTAACCCTTACCTGTACAGTGTGTTGTAGGCCTTCTCACAGCCCTGTTGGTCACACTCAAAGGGTTTCTCCTTGGTGTGAACACGGACGTGGATCTTCAGACTATAGGAAGTGAGGAAGGCCTTGTCACAGCCCAACTGGTTGCAGACAAATGTGTACTCTCCTCTGTGTCTCTTCTGGTGGGTCCGCAGGTTCCCTGCTGTGCTGTAGGTACGACTACAGTCCTTGTATAGACACTGGTAACGCTTCACCTGGAGAACAGACAGGCAAACAGCTGTTATTTAAACTATGTTGAAAAGATGGAACACCGCCACATACAGTGAGGGAAAAAAGTATTTGATCCCCTGCTGATTTTGTACGTTTGCCCACTGACAAAGAAATTATCAGTCTATAATTTTAATGGTAGGTTTATTTGAACAGTGAGACACAGAATAACAACAACAAAATCCAGAAAAACGCATGTCAAAAATGTTATAAATTGATTTGCATTTTAATGAGGGAAATAAGTATTTGACCCCCTCTCAATCAGAAAGATTTCTGGCTCCCAGGTGTCTTTTATACAGGTAACGAGCTGAGATTAGGAGCACACTCTTAAAAGGAGTGCTCCTAATCTCAGTTTGTTACCTGTATAAAAGACACCTGTCCACAGAAGCAATCAATCAATCAGATTCCAAACTCTCCACCATGGCCAAGACCAAAGAGCTCTGTCAGGGACAAGATTGTAGACCTACACAAGGCTTGAATGGGCTACAAGACCATCGCCAAGCCTAAACCTAATAAATTATAGACTGATCATGTCTTTGTCAGCGGGCAAACATACAAAATCAGCAGGGGATCAAATACTTTTTTCCCTTACTGTATATAAACATACGCTCACTTAACATGTAGGAAGTGTTCATGGCAATTACCGGTATGTAGCACTTGACAAGCATTACATCAAGTCTGGAAATGAATCAGCTGTATTGGTTTATATGAGAAGATTGAAGGGCACATTTATGAATGAGACCTAATTAACTTCACAGAAAGAGAACCAAGAGGCTGTAAAGCATAGAGAGCAGTGAAATATTCATCTCATCTTGACATCTGCAGAGAACTTGAGACTCAGTGGTTCTGGATGGGAGAGAGGCTGGTAATGATGAGGGAAAACAGAAGCCCCAACCCAATCCCCTCTCCTGTCTCTTCCACTCACTCACTGACTTCATCATAACAGTTGGCTTGTCGCCCTCACACAATATGGTGCTGCTGCTGCTAACCTAGCATGGTCTATTTTCTCAGTGATGATGATGTAACTTAATGACCTCAGTGACTTCTTACTCCCTTCCCCATGTTCTACACTCTTAGAAAAAAAAAAGATGCTATCTAGAACTTTAAATGGTTATTTGACTGTCCCCATAGGAGAACCCTTTGAATAACCCTTTTTCGTATCTCTTCCCGATGTTCTACACTCTTAGAAAATAAAGGTGGTATCTAGAACTTTAAATGGTTATTCGGCTGTCCCCATAGGAGAACCCTTTGAATAACCCTTTTTCGTTCCATGAAGAACGAAAAAGGGTTCCATGAAGAACCATTTACACAGAGGGTTCTATCTACAACCCAAAAGGATTCTACCTTAAACCAAAAAGGGTTATACCTGGAACCAAAAAGGGTTCTCCTATGGGGACAGCTGAATAACCTTTTTGGAAACCTTTTTTCTAAGAGTGTATATGTGATATGCCAAAGAGGGTCTGTCAGTTATTCACAGACTGAGAATACACATCATATGACATCATCATCACATGTGTGAGCCTGACCAACCCCATGTACTGTTTGCCCTAAGGGTTGATGCCTACACTCTCGACTTGGTGTCATTTAAAATAATACTACAAATGGCTCTCTGCCTAGCTATAGCCTTGCAATATCCTTCAGGACATAACAGCCGGGACATTAAGAACTCCTGCTCTTTCCATGACAGACTGATCAGGTGAATCCTGGTGAAAGCTCTGATCCCTTATTGATTTCACATGTTAAATCCACTTCAATCAGTGTAAATGAAGCAGAGAAGACAGGTTAAAGAAGGTTTTTAAGCCTTGAGACATTTGAGACATGGATTGTGTATGTGTGGTATGGTAGTAGGTGCCAGGCGCACCGGTTTTTGTCAAGAACTGCAACACTGCTGGGTTTTTCACGCTCAACAGTTTCCTGTGTGTATCAAGAATGGTCCACCAACCAAAGAACATCAAAGGGGGGGGTGCAACTCAATATTAGGAAGGTGTTCCTAATGTTTGGTATACTCAGTGTATGTGAATGAGCAATGGCGCCTCTCCTCCTCACAACCAGAATACCAGGAATGTGTTTTTCGGACAACATGTCCAAATAAATATAGAACATGCTCAGATATCAAAACAGGTTTATGTGCAAAGACAGAACAAATTTTACAACAAATATTATGGTTAAACTCAAATATACTAATTACTAAAAAATATGTTTAAAAACTGCATAATCTTTGTAAATTATATCATAAATAGGGCTGGTGGAGTGATGTTTTGCTCTATACAAAATGACAACCAACTGATTGCAGCATTACCGCAAAAATGGAGGAGGCAAGTGAAAGGGGAGAAGGTAGGGAACTTGTCTGTCGGCGCTGCATTAAAGAATTGGCTAAAGAAAATTGTGATAAATAAAAAAGTATAACAGCCGTGCCATACCAGTTGCAAAATAGTTGGGAGGAGATTTTCGATGTACAGATTCCATGGCACATGGTTTATGAACTGATACACAAAACGACACCGGATTCAAAAAAATATATTATACAAAATTCTTGCAACCAATAGAATGTTATATACAGTGCATTCGGAAAGTATTCAGACCCCTTGACTTTTTCCACATTTTTTTAACATAACAGCCTTATTTTAAAATTGATTAAATTGTTTTTTTCCTCCAGATTTGACGCTTGGCATTCAGGCCAAAGAGTTCAATCTTGGTTTCATCAGACTATAGAATCTTGTTTCTCATGGTCTGAGAGTCTTTAGGTGCCTTTTGGCAAACTCCAAGCGGGCTGTCATGTGTCTGTTACTGAGGAGTGGCTTCCGTCTGACCACTACAATAAAGGCCTGATTGGTGGAGTGCTGCAGAGATGGTTGTCCTTCTGGAAGGTTCTCCCATCTCCACAGAGGAACTCTAGAGCTCAGTCAGAGTGACCATCGGGTTCTTGGTCACCTCCCTGACCAAGGCCCTTCTCCCCCAATTGCTCAGTTTGGCCGGGCGGCCAGCTCTCGGAAGAGTCTTGGTGGTTCCAAACTTCTTCCATTTAAGAATGATGGAGTCCACTATGTTCTTAGGGACCTTCAATGCTGCAGCAATTTTTTGGTACCGTTCCTCAGATCTGTGCCTCAACACAATCCTGTCTCTGAGCTCTACAGACAATTCCTTCGACCTCATGGCTTGGCTTTTGCTCTGACATGCAGTCAACTGTGGGAACTTATATAGACAGGTGTGTGCCTTTCCAAATCATGTCCAATCAATTTAGTTTACCACAGGTGGACTCCAATCAAGTTGTAGAAACATCTCAAGGATGATAAATGGAAACAGGATGCACCTGAGCTCAATTTCGAGTCGCATAGCAAAGGGTCTGAATACTTATGTAATTAAGGTATTTCGGTTTTTTATTTGTAATACATTTGCAAAAATCTCTAAAAACCTGTTTTCTCTTTGTCATTATGGGGTATTGTGTGTAGATTGATGAGGGGAAAAAACAATTTAATCAATTTTAGAATAAGGCTGTAATGTAACAAAATGTGGAAAAAATAAAGGGGTCTTAATACTTTCTCGAATGCACTGTATATGGGGGATACAACCATCCCAGCTCTGCAGATTTTGCTGCAAAACACAGAATCATTAGATCACTTGTTTTGTAACTGCCCATATGTACACTACCGTTCCAAAGTTTGGGGTCACTTAGAAATGTCCTTGTTTTCGAAGGAAAAGCAAATTTTTTGTCCATACAAATAACATCAAATTGATCAGAAATACAGTGTAGACATTGTTAATGTTGTAAATGGCTATTGTAGCTGGAAACGGCAGATTTGTAATGGAATATCTACATAGGCGTACAGAGGCCCATTATCAGCAACCATCAGTCTTGTGTTCCAATGGCACGTTGTGTTTGCTAATCCAAGTTTATCATTTTAAAATGCTAATTGATCATTAGAAAAACCTTTTGCAATTATGTTAGCACAGCTGAAAACTGAAGAAGCAATACAACTGGCCTTCTTGGGACTAGTTGAGTATCTGGAACATCAGCAATTGTGGGTTCGATTACAGGCTCAAAATGGCCAGAAACAAATCACTTTCTTCTGAAGCTCGTCAGTCTATTCTTGTTCTGAGAAATGAAGGCTATTCCATGCGAGAAATTGCCAAGAAACTGAAGATCTCGTACAACGCTGTGTACTACTCCCTTCACAGAACAGCGCAATTTGGCTCTAACCAGAATAGAAAGAGGAGTGGAAGGCCCCGGTGCACAACTGAGCAAGAGGACAAATACATTAGAGTGTCTAGTTTGAGAAACAGACGCCTCACAGGTTCTCAACTGGCAGCTTCATTAAATAGTACACGCAAAACACCAGTCTCAACGTCAACAGTGAGGAGGCGACTCCGGGATGCTGACCTTCTAGGCAGAGTTGCAAAGAAAAAGCCATATCTCAGACTGGCCAATAAAAATAAAAGATTAAGATGGGCAGTCTGAGATATGGCTTTTTCTTTCTGTGCACCGGGGCCTCCCACTCCTCTTTCTATTCTGGTTAGAGCCAGTTTGCGCTGTTCTGTGAAGGGAGTAGTACACAGCGTTGTACGAGATCTTCAGTTTCTTGGCAATTTCTCGCATGGAATAGCCTTCATTTCTCAGAACTAGAATAGACTGACAAGTTTCAGAAGAAAGTTATTTGTTTCTGGCCATTTTGAGCCTGTAATCGAACCCACAATTGCTGATGCTCCAGATACTAAACTAGTCTCAAGAAGGCCACTTTTATTGCTTCTTTAATCAGCACAACAGTTTTCAGATGCGCTAACATAATCGCAAAAGGATTTTCTAATGATCAATTAAAATGATAAAACTTGGATTAGCAAACACAACGTGCCATTGGAACACAGGACTGATGGTTGCTGATAATGGGCCTCTGTACGCCTATGTAGATATTCCATTAAAAATCAGCCATTTCCAGCTACAACAGCCATTTACAACATTAACAATGTCTACACTGTATTTCTGATCAATTTAATGTTATTTTAATGAACAAAAACAAGGACATTTCTAAGTGACCCCAAACTTTTGAACGGTAGTGTATATTTAAAAATATATATATATGGGGGATTGGAAATGATGCAGACGATTGCATTGATAGAAGCTACAATCTATCTACAATATTAAAGCTGATCTACCCCCTAAAAAAAACATGCTTATGTGACCGACTGGGGTTGAAACAGGGGTTAGCCCACTGAGCCAAAGCCCGGGCATTAGCTTGAGGAGCTAACACAAGTCTTCAGGTCTTTGGCTATCAAGGCCAAGGCTTACCTCGCTGTGGTGGGTCTCTGGGCACTCAGAGTGTAGTGTGATGGTGGCCCCCTGGATGTGACGGGGCATGGGTGTGGAACCAGGGTTGATGGTGAACTGGATCTGGTCCTGGGAGATGGTGTGGTGGATGTATCCCTGTGACATGGCCTCCCAGTGGTCTTCCAGACCTCCACGGTCCTCCGTCTCACATCCCTCATCTAGATACATCATCAGGTCCTCTTCTTCCTCTTTATTGTCAGTTGTAGAACCCACAGGGTCTTGCTCAATCATCACAGTGGTTCTGTCGTACACTGTGTCCAGACTGTGCACACCAGAGTCCAGTGGAGAGGGCAGCAGTAGCCTGTCCCATTGGTCCCAGTTGACAGTAACCATCCTTCTGGACACATTGTCCTCTTCAACCTCCCGACTTGTCTTGTCCGCCTCTTCCTCCTCCTCAAAGAGCATGGTCTCATTGGATTGGACATTCATCCTCATGCATGGTAACAAAGGTGTCACACACACACTAACTGGATTGCCACTGAAAGGAGAGAGGAAGAGAGAGGAGAACATTTATCAAGCAGTGGAGGCTCCTCAGAGGAGGAAGGGGAGGACCATCCTCCTCAGTTCATTTCATAAAAATAAAATGTTTAAAACATTTTAAAAAGTTATCCTTTTTAGATAAAACTAGACTAAATATATTCACGTCACCAAATAATTGATTAAAACACAATGTTTTGCAATGAAGGTCTACAGTAGCCTCAACAGCACTCTGTAGGGTAGCACCAATGAGTAGCCGGAGGACAGCTAGCTTCCGTCCTCCTCTGGGTACATTGACTTCAATACAAAACCTAGGAGGCTCATGGTTCTCACCCCCTTCCATACACTTAGACAGTAATTATGACAACTTCCAGAGGACGTTCTCCAACCTATCAGAGCTCTTGCACCCAATCAAAGGATCAGAGAATGAATCTAGTACTGAAAGCATAAGCTACAGCTAGCTAGCACTGCAGTGCATAAAATGTGGTGAGTAGTTAACTCAAAGAGAGAGAAAGACAATAGTTTAACAGTTTTCAACAAATTAATTGATTCCATAATGAAGGAGAAGCAAGAGAGAGATAGAGAGATTTCATTATTTTTCTTCACTTTCCGTTTTACTGCTAGCAAATGCAGCTAGCTAGTTTAACCTACTCAAACACAATGCTAAAACAGAGGGATGCTATGCTAGCTAGCTGGCTATGACTATCCAACACAACACTGGATCTCTTCCAAGTCAAGGTATGCTTTTGGTTTTACTCATTTATTGCCACCGGGGCCCGCCGGTGTAAGTTCTAAACTGCTTAATGACTTTACTGCATGATTGTAGTGGGTTTACTAACGCATTAGTTCTATTAGCTATGTTGACTATGACGTTACTTTAGCTAATATGGTGACAACGATGTAGGCTGTGTGTAGTGGTTATGATATGGTTTGGCTTGGAAAGTTTTTTTTCGCCTTGTCACATAGAGCTGATGTGTTGTGCATTGAAGTCCACAATCGAAGGGAAAAGGTGAGAGGAGGGGAGTGCATAGATGCGAGAAGGAATACAACGTGGCTGCTATGAAAGTGAACCGTGAATACGCGTGATCAAGGGTGTATTCATTCCGCCGATTCTGTTAAAAAATGTTTCTTAAACGGAAGCAAATGGAACGGGGATAAATATACCTGCATTTTTCCAATAGAAACTCTCATTTGCAACTGTTGGACTAATGATTACACCCTAGATTGCTAGATGCAAGCAAGAGTGTGCAAGGCGTTATTGAATGTGTGACTGTATGTCCATGCGTCACTGTCAGTCTCCTCAAAATTCTCTCGACCTGTGTGCACCTACCTTGTAAACTTTCATTCATAGGCTAGGTTGTAGCAACCTCATGATGGGTATAGGGAAAATCTGAGAATCATGTAGTAGCCTAAACCTATCGCTGTTACATTGAACTGGGTGAATGGAATATGAATGACAGTCATCCAATGTGCTGTAATAGAAATAAGGCCATGCTCATGAAAAGTAAAAATCGTCCTCCCTCATCTTAAACGGCACCGACCGCCACTGGTATCAAGTCAGTAGCCTATCATGACAACTACATATGCATAGCATTTTGTTCACATAAAAATTAGATAAACGTACTATTGGTTAAACGTACTATTGGTTAAACGGTTTGAAACTACAGTAGCCTAATAAAAAAAGTCAACGAAATTTTTGGCATTCCTCTGCGATCTTTGGCTCTCATCAAAACTATTGTACTTGTTGCTACTAAGTAGCACTCACTCAGCAGCCGCAACACAGAAATTTTGTGTTTCAATAACAATTCCGAACTACTCACCGTTTTGAAAGATCACCACGTAAATGCAGTAAAGAACAACTACAAGGTCGTCAAAGTCTTTATAAAATGTCTTCCGCTTTGTTTATCCTGACTCAATCACCAATTCCTCCGTTGTTACAATGTTGCAACATCGTAGTTACCCTAGCAGCCTACTTATCCAGCTTCCTCTTTCCGCCCAGAATTAACTCACTCAACCGTGAAATAAACTACAGGTATCTGCCAAAATAAAGGAAACACCAACATGGGCCACCACAGCCAGCCACCACGAGCCAGAACAGCTTCAATGCACCCTGGCATAGATTCTACAAGCGTCTGGAACTCTGTTGGAGGGATGCGACACCATAATTCCAGGAGCAATTCCCAAATTTGGTGTTTTGTTGATAGTAGTGGAAAACCCTGTCTCAGGCAACGCTCCAGAATCTCCCATAAGTGTTCAATTGGGTTGAGATCTGGTGACTGAGATGGCCATGGCAAATGGTTGACATCGTTTTCATGCTCATCAAACCATTCAGTGACTACTTGTGCCCTGTGGATGGGGGCATTGTCACCCTATAGCCGGGGGCATAGCCATGGTAGCCAAAATAATTGCCTGCCCAGCATTATATACATGACCCTCAGCATGATGGGATGTGAATTGCCTTAATTAACTCAGGAACCACAACTGTGTGGAAGCACCTTGTTTCAATATACTTTGTATCCCTCATTTACTCAAGTGTTTCTATTATTTTGGCAGTTACCTGTACAGCTATAGCTCTTGGATAGAAGTGTGCTACAGCGCCATCTTGTGAATATTAATTATTTCTGACCACTACTCTAACTGGCTTTTAAAGGTTAAGCCAAAGCAACACAGCACACCATCTGAAATACACCACCAGTCAAAAGTTTGGACACACCTACTCATTCAAGGGTTTTTCTTTATTTTTACTATTTTTTACATTGTAGAATAATAGTGAAGACATCAAAATGAAATGACACATATGGAATCATGCAGTAACCAAAAAAGTGTTAAACAAATCAAAATATATTTTATATTTACATTTTACATTTGAGTCATTTAGCAGACGCTCTTATCCAGAGCGACTTACAGTTAGTGCATAAATTATTTTTTCATACCCCCTGTGGGAATCGAACCCACAACCCTGGCGTTGCAAACGCCATGCTCTATCAACTGAGCTACATCCCTGCCGGCCATTCCCTCCCCTACCCTGGACGATGCTGGGCCAATTGCGCGCCGCCCCATGGATTCTTCAATAGCCACCCTTTGCCTTGATGACAGCTTTGCACACTCTTGGCATTTTCTCAACCAGCATCATAAGGTAGTCACCTGGAATGCATTTCAATTAACAGGTGTGCCTTCTTAAAAGTTCATTTGTGGATAAAACTTAATGCGTTTGAGACCATCAGTTGTGTTGTGACAAGGTAGGGAAGGTATACAGAAGATAGCCCTATTTGGTAAAAGACCAAGTCCATAATATGGCAAGAACAACTCAAATAAACAAAGAGAAAGGACAGTCCATCATCACTTTAAGACATGAAGGTCAGTCAATACAGAACATTTCAAGAACTTTGAATGTTTCTTCAAGTGCAGTCACAAAAACCATCAGGCGCTATTATGAAACTGGCTCTCATGAGGACCACCACAGGAATGGAAGACCCAGAGTTACCTCTGCTGCAGAGGATAAGTTCAATAGAGTTACCAGCCTCAGAAATTGCAGCCCAAATAAATGCTTCACAGAGTTCAAGTCACAGACACATCTCAACATCAACTGTTCAGAGGGGACTGTGGGAATCAGGCCTTCGTGGTTGAATTGCTGCAAAGAAACCACTACTAAAGGACACCAATAAGAAGAAGAGACCTGCTTGGGCCAAGAAACACAACCAATGAACATTAGACCGGTGGAAATGTGTCTTTTGGTCTGGAGTCCAAATTGGAGATTTTTGGTTCCAACCGTCGTGTCTTTGTGAGACGCGGTGTGGGTGAACGGATGTTCTCCGCATGTATAGTTCCCACCTTAAAGCATGGAGGAGGAGGTGTTATGGTGTGGGGGTGCTTTGCTGGTGACACTGTCTGTGATTTATTTAACCAGCACGGCTACCACAGCATTCTACTGCGATACGCCATCCCATCTGGTTTGGGCTTAGTGGGTCTATCATTTGTTTTTCAACAGGACAATGACCCAACACACCTCCAGGCGGTGTAAGGGCTATTTTACCAAGAAGGAGAGTGATGGAGTGCTTCATCAGATGACCTGGCCTCCACAATCCCCAGACCTCAACCCAATTGAGATGGTTTGGGATGAGTCGGACGGCAGAGTGAAGGAAAATCAGCCAACAAGTGCTAAGCATATGTGGGAACTCCTTCAAGACTATCTTCTGTATACCCCCCCTACCTTGTCACAACACAACTGATTGGCTCAAACGCATTAAGAAGGAAAGAAATCCCACAAATTAACTTTTAAGAAGGCACACCTGTTAATTGAAATGCATTCCAGGTGACTACCTCATGAAGCTGGTTGAGAGAATGCCAAGAGTGTGCAATGCTGTCATGAAGGCATAGGGTGGCTATTTAAAGAATCTAAAATCTAAAATATATTTTGAGAGGAGACAGACCAGGCCTCGCAGCACTCCTGGTGGCATTGGTACGAGTTGAAGGGAGAGCACTTCGTACTCTGTCTGCAGTCTCTGGAGCATCCAGCACTCCACACCACCACATACAGTGCCTTCGGAAAGTGTTCAGACCCCTTGACTTTTTCCACATTTTGTTACGTTACAGCCTTATTCTAAAATGTATTAAATAATTTTTTCCCCCTCATCAATCTACACACAATACCCCATAATGACAAAGCAAAAATCGTTTTTTCAAAATTGTTCAAAATGTAAAACAAAATTAAAACTGAAATATAACATTTACATAAGTATTCAGACCCTTTACTCAGTACTTTGTTGAAGCACCTTTGGCAGCGATTACAGCCTCGAGTGTTCTTGGGTATGACGCTACAAGCTTAGCATTCCTGTATTTGGGGAGTTTCTCCCATTCTTCTCTGCAGATCCTTTCAAGCTCTGTCAGGTTGGATGGGGAGCGTCGCTGCACAGCTATTTTGCTTCAACGTAGGGATAGTGCCAGGTTTCCTCCAGACGTGACGCTTGGAATTCCGGCCAAATAATTCAATCTTCGTTTCATCAGACCAGAGAATCTTGTTTCTAGAGGAACTCTAGAGCTCTGTCAGAGTGACCATCGGGTTCTTGATCACATCCCTGACCAAGGCCCTTCTCCCCCGATTGCTCAGTTTGGCCGGGCGGCCAGCTCTAGGAAGAGTCTTGGTGGTTCCAAACTTCTTCCATTTAAGAATGATGGAGGCCACTGTGTTCTTGGGGACCTTCAATGCTGCAGAAATGTTTTGGTACCCTTCCACAGTTCTGTATCTCGACACAATCCTGTCTCGGAGCTCTACAGACAATTCCTTCGACCTCATGGCTTAGTTTTTGTTCTGACATGCACTGTCAACTGTGGGACCTTATATAGACAGGTGTGTGCCTTTCCAAATCATGTCCAATCAACTGAATTTACCACAGATGGACTCCAATCAAGCTGTAGAAACATCTCAAGGATGATCAATAGAAACAGAATGCACCTGAGCTTAATTTCGAGTCTCATAGCAAAGGGTCTGAATACTTTTGTAAATAAGGTATTTCTGTTTTTTATTTGTAATACATATGCAAAAATCTCTAAAAACCTGTTTTTGCTTTGTCATTATGGGGTATTGTGTGTAGATTGCTGAGAAAAATGTTTTATTTAATCAATTTTAGAATAAGGCTGTAACGTAACAAAATGTGGAAAAAGTCAAAGGGTCTAAATACACTGTAGGTATTCCAGGTGACCTGGCTCGAGGCTTTCTTGAGCTGTGGGATGGTGTATCAGTTCTGTTTATCAGCAGCAGCAGCAGAAGAATCATCATCACCATCATTATCAATATCATTATCAATATCATCATCAGTAACAGCAGCAGTAGCAGAATCATCATCATCAGCAGCAGCAGCAGAATCATCATCAACAATACTTCACCCATAAACAGTTTAGTTTCAGACTAACTGACATGGTGATAACCAAGTATATTGACATTGCATGTTAAAGACTAATTCGTTTTGATAGCCATAATAGGAATGGGTCTCTCCTCACCTCACAGAAGTCCATGCCCTCCTCACACAACTCCTCCATGGCCTTCTTATACATGTGGCATGCTAATGCTAATGCAGCTAAATGTTTTACAATACCTCACCTGTGAAGTAAATAAAAGGATCTCAGAGAGCGCTATGCAGCTTTAACACTGTAAAATACGGAAAACACATTTGTTCTTGTACCTTATTCCTAGTCAAAGCAGCATTTACAGTCATGCTTCACATCTTAGATATGGTGGATCTTGCAGCAGCTCTAGTATGCTCTGTGTATTATTAACAATAATAACTGATGAAGAAAAAAAACACAAGGACCAGCAATATTCAAACAGTCACCATTTGGCCACACATTAATTTTTTTATTACAAATGTGTATAAATTGATTCACCTTCTTTATCTTTGCCTAAGAGCATGAAGTTAGTGTAGTACTCAGTTTGGTTCATATTGGAGGCAGTGGAGCCTTGATCATCAACGTCCTTGCCATCGTCTAGCCCTGAGTTAGAAACAATGGCTTGAAAGTCGTTGGGGTCATATCTGTCGGTCTGTGCCAGGGTGTTGACGACGTCAGAGTAGCTGTTCCCCGTCTCTGTTATGGGGAAGACATCATCTGCATCGTAGCCCTGAATGGACATATAGTTTCTGTCTGTCTGGAAGGTAGAGTCTCTGTCAGTCTTGATTTTGGGGAATTCTACATTACTGACATCTTCATTACTGTTTCCATTGTTCTGAGATGTTGGTAGGACATCTGTATTGTCGTGGTAAATCAAGCTACTTTCACTCTGAGATGTAGCAAAGACATCTATAATGTGATCCTCACTATAGTTCACTATCTCATTCTTGAAAGATGGGGTGACGTTCAGAATATCTTCTTCGGTATTGTTTCTCTCAGTCTTGAGTGTAGAGGAGATGTTTGTGATGTAATCTTGAGCTTTGGTGTATTATCCCCCAATCTGGGATGTAGGGAATACTTATTTTCTACGGTCTGTATTGTAGTAGTCTCTTCCTGGTGGGACCGTGGTGGTGAGAATGGTTTGGCTGTTCTCAGTCTTTGACCTGGTTGTGTATATGGGATACAGTTTGCTGATGGTTGTGGTGGGTTGGTTGGTTTGAGCTTTGGTCGTCTTGGGTCATTTGTGGAAGTTGGGAGTTGGTCTCTATCTCCCACAGTTTTCTTAATAGTTCAATTCAAAAGCACTAAATGATAATGAATGAATAATCAATGAGTTATAATCAAACCTTTTTAAATATCTCAGCCATTAAAACAACATAATCAGGGATAATCAGTTAATACAAATCAGAGATGCTGTAATCTTACCAAGAACAAATACAATGGATCTCCTTTGAAGACCGGAAAGACCAAGGACTCCTGCTTTGAAACGGTAAAATAAAAATGCAAATCAAGGTCAGTTCTGTCATTATGGAGCATAAACCAACTGATATTTATTAGGTAAGAAAGGTGATGAAGATATCTTTGAAGTCCTGTCTGAACAACATCCTAAACTTACTTCCCCCAGGAGCAGACGTGTGGAGAATTAATCTGCAAAAATCCCAGTACAAACAGAGACAGTACAAACAGATCTGGCACTCAGGCTAGCAAAGGTGTGTTAATTAAGGTTTCAGATTCTCAGTCATGTGATGGCGTGGCATTATGTTGGTGGGCTTAGTATTCCTCCATGAGATGTAAACACGTTATAAATCCAGCTAGTTAGTGTTGTCCCTTGGGTCCAGGAGCACTTGTAGAACACACTGTGGTTGTTTAATGATGCCCTCAGGACACACTTAGCCCAGACAAAGAGCCAGCACTGCCATCTCAACCCATCACCCAAGGAAAGGCTTATATCCTAGTCCTCTTTAAATGAGAGGCAGCCTTTTAATGGGTGCAGCCTGGAGACTGATAATGTGGTCATGTGAAATAGTGCCTAACTAGATCGGTAAACAATGAAATGCTATCATGTCCATATCCCATATTACAGTTAAACACAGACCAAATCCAACATCAGACTCACTGTTCTTTTAGTAATATTCAGACATCATTCTTCCCTCAACTGTACTCTTATATTGGCAAACTGATCCCGGAAGTGAATTTGCATGTCACCGCAAGGCATGTTACATGAAAGAACAACAATATTGACTCATTAAACAAGTCACTCAATTACAGTACAAGTGTCTCATTTGTTTAATGCCACAAAGACTGCTGAGCTGAGAAAGCATCTTAAATATTTTAATTAATGTACGAGTAAATGAATGTTCCTTTTCATACCAGGCAGAGGAATCAATGAGCAAGTGTAAAGACATCATCGGTAGACCCTCTCTTCCTCTACTACACTCCGTTAAAAGGGACTGTCCTCCATGTGACAACAAGGGCATCGTCTTAACCATGGGTCCTGTCAAAGCACCATTGGATGTACAAGAGGTACATTTATATATCCCAAAAATGTTTAATCACACAAGAGAATGGGCAGTGATTCCGGTGACCCGCCACACCACAAACTCAACTCTGGACCTCGAAACCAGTTCCACTGCATTTTTTCATTGTTCCCCTCTAATTTGGAACCGGTTTAGACCTGGGACACCAGGTGGGTGCAATTATTTATCAGGTAGAACAGAAAACCAGCAGGCTCCGGACCTCGTAACATAAGAGTTGAATACCAGTGCCCTAAGCAACTTGTTAAGACATTACAATTGCTTTCTACTAGACCTAACAACTCAGGAACAACAATGGTGACAAATAGTACTCAAATTTATTATTAAAATCAATGGCTGCTTCATTTCTAAATGGTTGTCAAAGGGAGGAATTAATGAAAACATTACAACCTACAGTTAAAGATACAAGAGATGGTGTAAATGAAAAGGTCAAAGATCAAATAAAAACATTTTTCACTGGGCATCACGTTGTAGAAGGTTCCGGTAAGGTTTCCACGTCATGTCTTGGTTGCCTTGGTCTGTCTCTCTACAGCAGACCCTGTCTCTTCAGATCCTCGTAGGTCTTCTTGTTGACCACGTTTCCACTGGAGTCCTCGTACTCCTCCTCTGTATCTGGTTGCCACCGCTCTGATGCCTTCTGTGACTTCAGCTTTGACCACACTGGGTTAAAAATACATATTAGTATTATCATCCATCATGATTCAGCACTTGGACTGGAAGACCAGTCATTTTTTATTCTTTATTTAACCAGGAAAGACCCTTGCGGTCAGAAATCTTTTACACTGGAAAAAACTTTTTTTCTCTAACATCATTCTATTCAACCCAAATAACAATACTCATTCTTTTCACTTGTGTCATCTGCCTCAGCCTCTATCAGGGCTGTAACAGAACTACTTACGAGAGACAGCGTCCTCGATCTGGGTGACGTTGGCAAAGTGAGCAGTGTTGGGGATTCCCAGGCAGCGCATGCCATGGGCGTGACGCCACTCCTGGGGGGGGAGACAACATATTAGCTAGCAGTAATATTAGCTGAGTCCAGTTTCTAAAATCTAATCCTCTGCAGTTTCACTTATTATGCACATATAGAAAAACGAAAGCAGGGCATTGATATAACATTGTAATAACCTAGTATGACATTGTAATATCATAATAATAAGCTAATAATAATCAGAAATATGAACATACTGCAAAGTGCCTCTGGAAGGCCTTGGGTCCCCTATATGTGTAGTTTCCACAGATCTCACAGTTATAGTTGATGTTCAGCCCATGGAGTTTATACAGCCAGTATGGAATGGGCTAGAACAGATGAAAACAAGGTTAGCGTGGTGGCATGCAACCGCTGTACAACAAAGTGAATAAATAATAATACCCATTTATTTTATTACTATTGCAGAACTTTTACACAGCTAGTACACAGGCCTGATGTCAGGACCTCTTTCCATACCTTTCCATCCCAGCCGAGAGGCAGGTTCTTGGGGTTGTAGATGATCTCGTTGTCCTCATCTTCACTCTCACTCTCACTGAGCTGCTCCTCCTCTTCCTCCTCTCTCTCCTCTCCTGTCCGGGCCTGCTTCCTCTGCACGTTCTCATGGGTCAGCTGCCTCTGCTCCTACAGTGCCAAAGACAATCAGATGGAACTGTTAACAGGTGTTTGTGTGGATTATCGGGAGTAACACACACCTATTGCAAGGCCGGAACTAACCATTTTATAAAGGCTCATTTCATAAGTCGTCCTCACAACTACTGACATTCATTAAATACTATTGTGAAAATATATAAAAAGGAGCCTTCCTTGGCAGCTTTTACATACCCCCAGGATTTCCACATACTCATAAATCTGAGACTCCAGGAAGGCGATTTCTTTGTTACGCTCTGTGTCTCTGCAGACAGATTAGAATGGTCAATAGCATGGCTATATCATGTCATCAGGTGCAGAAAAACAAACATGCAGATGTTTAACTGACGATCACATACTTCTTGGGTCCCTTGGACTTAGGGTTCTTGGCGAACAGGGAGGGATCCAGAGATTCCAGGGATTTGCCTTTGGTGCTAAACAGCCTCTGAGCTCTCTCCTCCAGGGTTCTGTGGGGTCACATTCACATTTAGCCACATACACCCATTTAGCAACCTTTAATCTGACACACCCAATCCAATATTACATTCATCATTACACCGTCTATCTATACTCCTAGTCAAGGCTGGAATTTAATGTTATTACATTATTCCAGTTACAGTTATAACATTGCAATTACAATACTGTTATTCCAGTATTTCAGGTTGAATGTATGCCCATAGACCTCCTCCCAGCCACAGAAGAGCATGTTAATTGCTTACCCTCCACATTTCAGGCCCAGGGCCATAAGGGCAGACTTCAACCTGTCCAGACCCAGGGAAGCCAACTCTTCCCAAGAGGAGAAAGCAGAAAGGTCCAGATGAGCTCCGGCATGGGTCAGAGCACTGCTCGTCTCTTTCTAGAAGATAATAAAAATGGAAGTAATTTAAACCCCCATATAGACCATCACACTACTGTCGCTATAGTAGTCGTCCTCCCAATTTGGACACTCACTGGCCAGCCAGGGAAGGTCCCCATCTCCCACTTCTTCTCAAACTCTCCCAGGATCTTGCCGTAGAGATCATTCTGGTCGAGCAGAGGTTTGACTCTTTCTGTGTAGTCCTGAAGGTACTCCAGTAGCATCTCTAGGTACCTATTATAACAGAGAACAGAGATGTCACCCAACCTGATGGAAAAACAACCAAAATAATATAAAGGTACTACAATTCTATAGGAATACATTTATACTGAACAAAAATATAAATGCAACATGTAAAGTGTTGGTTCCATGTTTCATGAGCTGAAATACAACATCCCAGAAATATTCCAGACGCTTATTTCTCTCAAATTCTACACAAATTTGTTTACATCCCTGTTAGTGAGCATTTCTCCTTTGCCAAGATAATCCATCCACCTGAAAAGTGTGGCATATCAAGAAGCTGATTAAACAGCATGATCATTACACAGGTGCACCTTGTGCTGGGGACAAATTAAATGTGCAGTTGTGTCACACAACACCACAGATGTCTCAAGTTTTGAGGGAGCGTGCAATTGGCATGCTGACTGCAGGAATGTCCACCAGAGCTGTTGCCAGAGAATTGAATGTTCATTTCTCTACCATATGCCGCCTCTGTTGTTTTAGAGAAATTGGCAGTACCTCCAACCGGCCTCACAACCGCAGACCACGTGTAACCATGCCACCCCAGGATCTCCACATCCGGCTTCTTCACCTGCGGGATGGTCTGAGACCAGCCACCCGGACACCTGATGAAACTGTGGGTTTGTACAACCAAATAATTTCTGCACAAACTGTCTGAAACCGTCTCAAGGAAGCTCGTCTGTGTCCTCGTCATCCTCACCAGGGTCTTGACATGACTGAAGTTCGGCGTCGTAACTGACTTCAGTGGGCAAATGCTCACCTTCGATGGCCACTGGCACGCTGGAGAAGTGTGCTCTTCATGGATGAATCCTGGTTTCAACTGTACCGGGCAGATGGCGTGTATGGCATCTTGTGGGCGAGCGTTTTGCTGATGACAACGTGCCCCATGGTGACGTTGGGGTTATGGTATGGGCAGGCAGGCATAAGCTACATACAACGAACACAATTGCATTTTATCAATGGCAATTTAAATACACAGAGGTACTGTGACGAGATCCAGAGGCCCATTGTTGTGCCATTCATCCGCCACCATAACCTCATTTTTCAGCATGATAAATGCATGGCCCCATGTCGCAAGGACCTGTACATAATTCCTGTAAACGGAAAATGTCACAGTTCCTCCAAGGCCTGCATACTCACCAGACATGTCATCCATTGAGCATGTTTAGAATGCTCTGGATTGACGTGTACGACAGCGTGTTCCAGTTCCCGCCAATATCCAGCAACTTTGCACAGCCATTGAAGAGTGGGACAACATTCCACAGGCCACAAACAACAGCCTGATCAACTCTATGCAAAGTAGATGTGTCGCGCTGCATGAGGCAAATGGTGGTCATTCCAGATACTGACTGGTTTTCTGATCCACGCCCCTACCATTTTTTTGTTGTTGGTATCTGTGACCAACAAATACATATCTGTATTCCCAGTCATGTGAAATCCATAGATTAGGCCTAATGAATTTATTTCAATTGACTGATTTCCTTATATGAAATGTAACTCAGTAAAATCTTTGAAATTGTTGCATGTTGTGTTTATAGTTTAGTGCAGTACATTTACAGTACAATCACAAAGAAATGTCTACACAATAAAAACAATTGTTAGCTATGCTTACTTTTTGTATTCAGCGTTCTTTCTGTCCTTGGAGATATCAAACAGCTGGTCAAACGAGGACAGGTAGCTGATGTACTCTAGTTTCTGAAACAAAGAGGCCAGAAGGTTTCAGTATAGTTTTACAATAGACTAGGGTGAAGATTATGGCGGGTATAGAGTGGGCACCTTACCTCCGCCCCTTTCAGGTTGACAAACTTCCGATAGCAGTCATGGAGATCCAGGTAGCGTCCGTACGCCTCCTCATCACTGAACTCCACCATGTCTGGGGAAAGATCACATAAATCATTACATTAACACCTACACAGAGTCTGACAAGGATTCCACCACCATAGTGTAGAAAGCTCACTCTGTGTTTCTTCAGTTGGGTTCTCTCTAGCCTTGACCAGCTCATCAAACTCCATGGACATGGGCACACATATCTGAAACAACAATAACATACAGATTTCGCCACAGCAGGAGACACGACAAACACTGATGAAGGTTGGTTGACCCAAACGTTGGTTCAAGATTTGGTTTAAGACATTTATTATGGAACATGTAATAACAGAAATTATGACTTTCACCATCATGCACCTGGAACTGTAGAATTACATACAGAATCCCAATAGTAATTTAAAGGGGCAATCTGCAATTGGTGTATCTATTTGAGTATTAAATGAATTACATAAATCCATTGATTCTTGAAGAATAACTTTAAAAATGCCTCATGCACTTAGTTAAACTGTCAAACCCCACCAGAAGCCAAAATAGAAGCTTGTTTTACTCCATTGTTTGTAAACAAACAGTGTGGGGTATAGCCTCCAGGGCCTAAAATTAACACCCACCACCTGCAGGTAGATTTTGGCATTGGCGGTTAAGATGTCCATTTCATCAGCCACATTGGCGGGTGGTCAGGGCTCCACAGTGCGGGAATTTCACTCGCATGTGTGAAAAAAAACAGCCAAGTACGATCACATTTATAGCAGTAGCTGTTTTCAAAGAATTTCCCCCATTTTGTTTCATGGCTGGTCAATTAAATCGCACAAAGTCAAAGAACTACGAATCCTATATAGCCTACTCCACCTCGCGCTGCTACACTGCCTGGCTGGGGGCTGTGCTCAAGTGAACAGCTGAGTGAAAGATTGTTTTTTAGAAGCGCTGCGCATAGGCATAAAAGTTGGTTTAATTTACTTGAAACTAACGTCTACTGAAGTGAGACTTTTTCCTTGTGTTTCTTGGCTATTTAGACTGTTTTGTTCACAAGCTAGGTTATTTTTCTATGTTTGAGTTTCAACTGCTAGGGAAGAGAAGACAACGCTTCTACTACTCAGACTCAATCTCACAGGCACAAACATAACTTGAGATGTGTTACCACGGTAACCTCCCACCCTTAAAGCGGCAGGTGAACATTTGTCTCATCTGTGACGTTTTAATTAAAAATGTAATATACATTGTTTACAATTTAGAAATTTAGCAGACGCTCTTATCCAGAGCGACTTTCAGGACCTAGACTTGGCGCTCCGGTACCGCTTGCTGTGCGGTAGCAGAGAGAACAGTATAACTAGAGTTTTTGACAATTTTTAGGGCCTTCTTCTGACACCGCCTGGTATAGAGGTCCTGGATGGCAGGAAGCTTGGCCCCAGTGATGTACTGGGCCGTGCGCACTACCCTCTGTAGTGCCTTGCGGTCGGAGGCAGAGCAGTTGCCATACCAGGCAGTGATGCAACCAGTCAGGATGCTCTTGTAACCGGTGTGAAATGGCTAGCTAGTTAGCGACGCGCGCTAGTAGCATTTCAATCGGTGACGTCACTCGCTCTGAGACCTTGAAGTAGTTGTTTCCCTTGCTCTGCAAGGGCCGCGGCTTTTGTGGAGCGACGTTTAAACAAAAATCTTATTTTATTTTAGATGGTAGATCAGCTTTAATATTGCAGATAGATTGTAACTTCCATCATTGTAATTGTTTGCATCACTTCCAATCCTCCATGTGTTTTTCCCCCATATATACAGTGGGGAGAACAAGTATTTGATATACTGCCGATTTTGCAGGTTTTCCTACTTACAAAGCATGTAGAGGTCTGTAATTTTATTTGATCACCTACCAAGTATTTGATCACCTACCAACCAGTAAGAATTCCGTCTCTCACAGACCTGTTAGTTTTTCTTTAAGAAGCCCTCCTGTTCTCCACTCATTACCTGTATTAACTGCACCTGTTTGAACTCGTTACCTGTATAAAAGACACCTGTCCACACACTCAATCAAACAGACTCCAACCTCTCCACAATGGCCAAGACCAGAGAGCTGTGTAAGGACATCAGGGATACAATTGTAGACCTGCACAAGGCTGGGATGGGCTACAGGACAATAGGCAAGCAGCTTGGTGAGAAGGCAACAACTGGGCGCAATTATTAGAAAATTGAAGAAGTTCAAGATGATGGTCAATCACCCTTGGTCTGTGGCTCCATGCAAGATCTCACCTCGTGGGGCATCAATGATCATGCGGAAGGTGAGGGATCAGCCCAGAACTACACGGCAGGACCTGGTCAATGACCTGAAGAGAGCTGGGACCACAGTCTCAAAGAAAACCATTAGTAACACACTACGCCGTCATGGATTAAAATCCTGCAGCGCACGCAAGGTCCCCCTGCTCAAGCCAGCGCATGTCCAGGCCCGTCTGAAGTTTGCCAATGACCATCTGGATGATCCAGAAGGTTATGTGGTCTGATGAAACAAAAATATAGCTTTTTGGTCTAAACTCCACTCGCCGTGTTTGGAGAAAGAAGGATGAGTACAACCCCAAGAACACCATCCCAACCGTGAAGCATGGAGGTGGAAACATCATTCTTTGGGGATGCTTTTCTGCAAAAGGGACATGACGACTGCACCGTATTGAGGGGAGGATGGATGGGGCCATGTATCGCAAGATCTTGGCCAACAACCTCCTTCCCTCAGTAAGAGCATTGAAGATGGGTCGTGGCTGGGTCTTCCAGCATGACAACGACCCGAAACACACAGCCAGGGCAACTAAGGAGTGGCTCCGTAAGAAGCATCTCAAGGTCCTGGAGTGGCCTAGCCAGTCTCCAGACCTGAACCCATTAGAAAATCTTTGGAGGGAGCTGAAAGTCTGTATTGCCCAGCGACAGCCCCGAAACCTGAAGGATCTGGAGAAGGTCTGTATGGAGGAGTGGGCCAAAATCCCTGCTGCAGTGTGTGCAAACCTGGCAAGACCTACAGGAAACATATGATCTCTGTACTTGAAAACAAAGGTTTCTGTACTAAATATTACGTTCTGCTTTTCTGATGTATCAAACACTATGTCATGCAATAAAATGCAAATTAATTACTTAAAAATCATACAATGTGATTTTCTGGATTTTTATTTTAGATTCCGCCTCTCACAGTTGAAGTGTACCTATGATAAAAATTACAGACCTCTACATGCTTTGTAAGTAGGAAAACCTGCAAAATCGGCAGTGTATCAAATACTTGTTCTCCCCACTGTACATACACACACACTAACTACCAAAGTTTTAGAACACCTACTCATTCAATGGTTTTTCTTTATTTTTACTATTTTCTACATTATAGAATAAAAGTTAAGACATCAAAACTATGAAATATTACATATGGAATCATGTAGTAACCAAAAAATAGTTAAACAAATCAAAATATATTTTATATTTGCGATTCTTCAAATAGCCACCTTTTGCCTTGATGACACTACGAGGGCACTACGTACATCCACCTCTGGCCTGCTAGCCCCCCTACCTTTTTATTTTTATTTTACCTTTATTTTACTAGGCAAGTCAGTTAAGAACAAATTCTTATTTCCAATGATGGCCTCTACGGAAGCACAGTTCCCGCTCAGCCCAGTCAAAGCTATTCGCTGCTCTGGCACCCCAATGGTGGAACAAGCTCCCCCACGACGCCAGGACAGCGGAATCACTGACCACCTTCCGGAGACACTTCAAACCCTACCTCTTTAAAGGAATACCTGGAATAGTATAACAGTAATCCTTCTACACACCCCTCCCCCCATAACAAAAAAAAGAAGGGTGGTTGTCCCACTGGCTATCCTAAGTTCAATGCACCAATTTGTAAGTCGCTCTGGATAAGAGCGTCTGCTAAATGACTTAAATGTAAATGCAAATGACCGCTTTGCACACTCTTGGCATTCTCTCAACGAGCTTCACTTGGAATGCTTTTCCAACAGTCTTGAATGAGTTCCCACATATGCAAAGCACTTGTTGGCTGCTTTTCCTTCACTCTGCGGTCCGACTCATCCCAAACCATCTCAATTGGGTTGAGGTCGGGGGATTGTGGAGGCCAGGTCATCTGATGAAGCACTCCATCACTCTCCATTGCTTGTGTTTCTTGGCCCAAGCAAGTCTCTTATTATTATTGGTGTCCTTTAGTATTGGTTTCTTTGCAGCAATTCGACCATGAAGGCCTGATTCACGCAGTCTCCTCTGAACAGTTGATGTTGAGATGTGTCTGTGACTTGAACTCTGTGATGCATCTATTTGGGCTGCAATTTCTGAGGCTGGTAACTCTAATGAACTTATCCTCTGCAGCAGAGGTAACTCTGGGTCTTCCATTCCTGTGGCGGTCCACATGAGAGCCAGTTTCATCATAGCGCTTGATGGGCGCGGCAGGTAGCTTAGTGGTTAAGACCGTTGTACCAGTAACCGAAAGGTCGCTGGTTCTAATCCCCGAGCCGACTAGGTGAAAAATCTGTCGATGTGCCCTTGAGCAAGGCACTTAACCCTAATTGCTCATGTAAGTCGCTCTGGATAAGAGCGTCTGCTCTTATCCACCCCCCCTTGTCACAACACAACTGATTGGCTCAAATGCATTAAGAAGGAAAGAAATTCCACAATTAACTTTTAAGAAGGCACACCTGTTAATTGAAATGCATTCCAGGTGACTACCTCATGAAGCTGGTTGAGAGAATGCCAAGAGTGTGCAAAACTGTCAAGGCAAAGGGTGGCTATTTGAAGAATCTAAAATATATTTAGATTTGTTTAACACTTCTTTGGTTACTACATGATTCCATATGTGTCCTTTCATAGTTTTGATGTCTTCACTATTATTCCACAATGTAAAAAATAGTAAAAAATAAAGAAAAATCCTTGAATGAGTATGTGTTCTAAAACTTTTGACAGGTAGTCCCCTGTAGCTCAGTTGGTAGAGCATGGCGCTTGCAACGCCAGGGTTGTCGGTTCGTTTCCCACGGGGGGCCAGTATGAAAATGTATGCACTCACTGACTGTAAGTCGCTCTGGATAAGAGCGTCTGCTAAATGACGTAAATGTAAAATGTAGTGATACACACACTACCGTTCAAAAGTTTGGGGTCACTTAGAAATGTCCTTGTTTTCGAAAGAAATGCAATTTTTTTGTCCATTAAAATATCAAATTGATCAGAAATACACTGTAGACATCGTTCATGTTGTAAATGGCTATTACTGACCTTCTAGGTAGAGTTGCAAAGAAAAAGCCATATCTCAGACTGGCCAATAGAAAGAAAAGATTAAGATGGGCAGTCTGAGATACAGCTTTTTCTTTGCAACTCTGCCTAGAAGGTCAGCATCCTGGAGACGCCTCTTCACTGTTGATGTTGAGACTTTTTTGCGGTTACTATTTAATGAAGCTGCCAGTTGAGGACCTGTGAGGCGTTAATAATACGGGGTCCTTAGCTAAGTGATGAGCTTTAAGGGCACTATGGTGTTGATGGCTGAGCTGTAGTCAATGAATAGCATTCTCACATAGGTGTTCTTTTTGTCCAGGTGGGAAAGGGCAGTGTGGAGCGCAATAGAGATTGCGTCATCTGTCGATCTGTTGTGGCGGTATGCAAATATGAGTGGGTCTAGGGTTTCTGGGAAAATGGTGTTGATGTGAGCCATGACCAGCCTTTCAAAGGCTCGTGTCACTGGGCAGCTCGCGGCTGTGCTTCCCTTTGTAGTCTGTAATAGTTTGCAAGCCCTGCCACATCGGATGAGCAGCAGGTGTAGTACGATTCAATCTTAGCCCTGTATTGAGTCTTTGCCTGTTTGATGGTTCGTCGGAGGGAATAGCGGGATTTCTTATAAGCGTCCGGGTTAGAGTCCCGCTCCTTGAAAGCGGCAGCTCTACCCTTTAGCTCAGTGCGGATGTTGCCTGTAATCCATGGCTTCTGGTTGGGTATGTACATACAGTCACTTTGGGGACTAGGTCATCGATGCACTTATTGATGAAGCCAGTGACTGATGTGGTGTACTCCTCAATGCCATTGGAAGAATCCCAGAACATATTCCAGTCTGTTCTTGCAAAACAGTCCTGTAGCTTAGTATCTGCGTCACCTGACCACTTCTTTATTGACCAAGTCACTGGTGCTTCCTGCTTTAGTTTTTGCTTGTAAGCAGGAATCAGGAGGATAGAATTATGGTCAGATTTGCCAAATGGAGGGCGATGGAGAGCATTGCACGCGTCTCTGTGTGTGGAGTAAAGGTGGTCTAGAATTGAGTGCGGTCTTAGTGCCAGCATTGGTTTGTGGTGGTAAATAGACAGCTACGAAAAATATAGATGAAAACTCTTGGTAGTGTGGTTTACAGCTTATCATGAGATACTCTACCTCAGGTGAGCAAAACCTTGAGACTTCCGTAATATTAGATTTTGTGCACCAGCTGTTGTTTAAAAATATACACAGCTCTCCACCCCTTGTCTTACCGGAGGAAGCTTTTCTACCTTGCCGATGCAGCGTAAACCCCGCCAGCTCTATGCTATCCATGTCGTCGTTCAGCCACGACTCGGTGAAACATAACATATTACAGTTTAATGGCCCGTTGGCAGGATATTCGTGATCGTAGCTCGTCTATTTTGTTATCCAATGATTGTACGTTGGCTAATAGGATTGATGGTACAGGCAGATTACCCACTCGCCATCGGATCCTTACAAGGCACCCCGACCTACGTCCCTGATATCTCCGTCTTTCTCCTGCGAATGACAGGGATTTGGGCCTTGTCCGGTGTCTAATGTAAATCCTTCGCGTCCGACTCATTAAAGAAAACATATTTGTCCAGTACGAGGTGAGTAATCGCTGTCCTGATATACAGAAGCTCTTTTCTGTCATAAGAGACTGTGGCAGAAACATTATGTTCAAAATAACGCGAAAAAAACAAAACAATAGCACAATTTGTTAGGAGCCTGTAAAAACGGCAGCCATCTCCTCCGGCGCCATTATAGCTCATAAAGTTGCTATCCATAGTCAGAGCTAGAAAGGGGGGAGTCAAGTGTAAGTGCTGGTTCAGGTTTTATTTTTAGGTGTTGATGAGGATTATTTAAGATACGGTTTGAAGAGGTAGGGTCTCAGATGTTTTCGGAAGATGGGCAGGGACTCTGCTGTCCTAGCTTCAGGGGGAAGCTGGTTCCACCATTGGGGTGCCAGGACAGAGAAGATCTTGGACTTGGCTGAGTGGGAGCTGCCCTCCCGTAGGGGTGGGATGGCCAAGAGACCTGAGGTGGCAGAACGGAGTGCTGTTCCGTAGGTAAGCACCATGGTCTTGTAGTGGATGCGAGCTTCAACCGGAAGCCAGTGGAGGGTGCGGAGGAGCGGGGTGACATGAGATTACTTTGGAAGGTTGAAAACCAGGCGGGCTGCAGCATTCTGGATAAGTTGCAGGGGTTTGATGGCACAAGCGGGGAGCCCAGCCAACAGAAAGTTACAGTAGTCCAGACGGGAGAGATTAAGTGCCTGGATTCTGTTTGTGCACCACATTATTTCTTACTAGTAACACATTTATTGTTTTAGAAACATTACAAAGTATGCGTTTCAGTTTTTTTGTGTTTTGTTGATGTAATTGTAGGGGGAAAAACATATTTTGGCTGGTAAAAATTCTGAGTGGCCGGTAGATTTTTAAATCTACCTGCTACTGTGGCCGGTGGAACAAAAAGTACATTTTACGCCCTAATAGCCTCAATATATGGTTCAAACTACACTTGATATCATGGGATGGTCAGTCCTAGCTCTGTCTATGAATTTGAGAGTGGTTACATTTCTTCTGCCCCATCCCCTCAGCTTTTTACCAAAACAATGGCAGATCGCCCCTTTAAAACTGATCTCTGTGTCTGGAACTACATATGGTTTTTGAGAAACTTCTCAACAGAGAAGATATACTTCTGACATGATTTATTCAGTGTATAGCTAGGACAGACAGGAAGCAGCTGACAAAAAAGATAACCTCATTAGGATGCTTCCTGTGGAACTCCTTGATCTGTTTTAGTCTGTTGTAGAACTCTGCAAACTCATTTGGTCCTGAGATGGCATTCAGTTCATCCTTCCTCATACTGTCGAAAGAGAACGCAACAATATTATACTCCACATAGCAAGGCTGATCATGCATGAGAGCTTGAAACACAAACACATGACACACTTACCCATCTTTGTCTTCATATGCTTCCCTGACAGTTGAACTCACGTCCATGTATCTCTGAAAGGATGACAAAGCTTGTCATTTAAAAAAATACTGTCACATCATGCATGTCCTTGACAAGTAGCCTAACTGTTAGCCACAAGACAAGTAATTATGAAAATACTGGTATAACTTATTGCTGTGATGTTTCATTATCACACAGAATACTCACATCTAACATTGCTCTTGTTCGATGGTCTGAGTTTATTTGTTCGCGTAACTGTTTGAGAAGAAACATGCATACATATTAGCTAGCTGGCATAGACAGAAACGGGACCAAACTCCATCCCATTGTGTTGTATTTACTAGTTAGCACTACTAACTAGTTAGCTAGCTGACGTTAGCTAACTAGTTAGCCAAATAGCTAATGCAATTCGCTGACTGAATACAATACATTTTTACACTTTAGTCATTTAGCAGACGCTCTTGTCCAGAGCAACTTACTATTCATACAATAATAGTTGTTAGCTAAATTGTAACTGATACAATTGTTAGTTGGCCACAAATAAACAAAATAATAACATATAAGTTACTATTCTCAGCAATAACCTTAGCTAATATGAATTTGTTTAATGGTCTCTAACATTGGTTTGCTTTGGATCAATGAACGTCTTCATTAGCATTACATAGCATTAGCATTGATGCAACGCATACCGTGGTTTTCTTATGCATCATTTCCTTTGTTTTGGCATCCAACAGCCTTTCCTTCTCCTCATGGTAGCGCCGTTGTTGTTCTAAAATCGTCTCCATTGTTATTTTCTGACCTACAAAATACAGAAATAAGACGGACTTGAACAATGAATGCCATAAAACTTCGGCTACGTTTATTTTCAATGGCGCATGTTCCGATATAGAGGAAGTAGTTCCACAGTTTATTCACCGCGTGAGGAGACATCGTTCCCATAATTTTGGTTCCGCCACGCTCAGTGAGTTTGGAAGAGCGATAATCCGTTTTTTTCTCCGGTTTTTATGTGAGTAATGTATTTTAGAATTTTTTCACTGTGAAAAACTAATATTTCCAGTTGTTCAATATGCTGGTATGCATAGCCACAGGAAGTCGTTTGGGGGTGGGGGTGCTGCATATTTATTTTATTTTATTGTATTTTGAAGGAGGAATGCAGCAAAAATATTTTTGCCCGCGCTACAGATGCTATATCGGTCCGCTAATACAGCACTATTAACCTCTACGGAATCGATGTCCCATATTCCGGACAGTTGAGCTAATGTGCGCTAATGTGATTAGCATGACTGTTGTGTAAGTAACAGCAAACTTTCCAGGACATAGAAATGTCTTATATGGGCAGAGTGAAAAAATACCATGCTATTGTTTGAGGAGAGTGCACAACAACAAAAAACATATCAAGGCAACTGGTTTGATACATTCACCTCTGAAGGTAAATAATGTACTTACATTCAGTAATCTTGCTCTGATGTGTCATCCTAACGGTCCCAGAGATAAAAATGTAGCATAGTTTTGTTTGATAAAATCAATTTTTATATTGAAATGTAGGAACTGGTTCTACAGTTTGAACCCCTGCTGTCTCTGGCTCCACACCCACCCTGCCCGGCCATCTAGATGTGTGAAAGTTAGTGTATACGCTGATGATCCATCATGTATGACATTCCTGGGAATGTGTAAACTTACATTTTGTATTACGATATCATTTTTGTATGTTCTCTATAGTTATGTACTTGAAAATGTATCAATTGACCAATTCAGCACATTTGGGCAGTCTTGATACAAAATAGTCCAGTATTGCAATGCTTCACTGGATCAAACTGAAACTTTGCACACACACTGCTGTCATCTAGTGAAATTGCGACTAAACTGTAATATTATATTGTGGCATTTCTCTTGCATTTCAAATATGATCAAATAAATAAAAAATAAACCATGTTTTTTGTTTGTATTATCTTTTACCAGATCTAATGTGTTATAGTCTCCTACATTAATTTCACATTTCCACAAACTTCAAAGCGTTTCCTTTCAAATGGTATTAAGAGTATGCATGTCCTGAGCTACAGGCAGTTAGATTTGGGTATGCCATTTTAGGCGAAAATTTAAAAAAGGGTCCGATCCTTAAGAGGTTAAAGGCCCAGCTCACTACCTTTGTGAGAATTCTTTTTTTAAATTTAGATTTTTCAGGGGGTGCTGATTTGTCTGATTTGAAGATGATGTCGTTTTCTATGTACTGTCCTTGAACTTTTCAAATAAAGAAAAAGCAGAAGGAAAAATGCCCTAATATATCAAAAGGACAGTGACCTATTCATGATATATTGTTAGGTTTGACCGTTATTCCTCTACTGCCAATGCTTGTTACCCCATTAGAACAGTGCAATACACACACACTTGGTTGCGCGCACGCGTGTACCCAATGTGTAAAAAAAAAAAAAAAAAGACAGCGCGCGCGCGCTCAGAGGCGGTCGGGTTGTCTGATTTTCTCACAGCCAGAGCGGATAACGAAAGCGGAGAACCAAATCGAATAGAACGGCGGACAACACACGGGATATAGCCTACTTCAGGGGTTGATAGATTGTTTGCATCGACCGTCCGTGCGTCAACTATTTGGAAGGTAATCTCTTTTTGAAACATTGTAACAACTGCACATTGAAAGTAACGTTTAAAGACCGGATGGGCCGGGGGGCTCTTCTTAATGTGGGAACTGAAAAGCTTCTCAGCTAATATTTCACTCAAACTGCTGCGAACGATTTCTTTTGTGTGTCAGCGTATCTTTAGGCTATGAGGGCAAATGAGGGTTCTCCGATTACTGTTGGGGTGTTAATTTTTAGGCCTCTTCAATTGCGTGGGGTGCACGCGATGTGAGGGTGCTCCCCCAGCAGTTATTGTGACAGCCCCGCTTGACAACAGGGATTATTTACACAACAAAAGAAACATGTGCTCATCATTATCTGTTTTTGTATGAATGACTGTGAGACCAATGCAGCACGGGATTTGTTACTTTTGAGCTGTTTTTATGATCACGTAAAAACAGTAGAATAGAATCAATAAAATAGAACAGAAACATAACGTATTCTAGAAGATCATGCTTTGTTATTGTATGCTTATCCTATTAACAACACTCATCAGTTGCCTCAGTAGAAATCACCAATAACTGTATCAGGAGAAAAATGTGTTAATGTATCCAATTACTGTCTGTGCAGAATGTTGCCCAATGGATCCTGAATGTTGATGACGAAAGTGTGTGTGGTATAACTGCACTTTGCATTGATTGAAGATCTGTTGTCTGTCATCATGCTCTTTCTGGAATGTGATGCTCAGTTCAGCAACCATCTGCTCCTTTACAGTAGTCCTACACACACAAACAAACATACACACACACACACACATACACACACAAACACAACCCCCATTTACCCAAACAACTGGTTCTCATTCTGTGAATGTTTAAAATGCACAGCTTCACCTTGAGGGCTCATATTGTATGTTGGGAAATTTAATTTCCTCAATGCGACCTTGTAGAAGGAGCTTTGATTATAGAGGCTGTAGTGTGAGCAGGTCTGCTGGTCCGTGGGGACATGGAACCTGCCTGCCTTGCTATAATGACCTTTAAAAGACCTAAGAGCTGAGAGGGGAACAGTATTTCATTCTGTTGGCTGTGGCTGGCTGGCCGTCTCTGGTGGTTTGGTTTTTAATACTGTACTTCTAACAGAATAGCTACTGACTGAAGGAGAACCACCGAACCAATAGGATTCAAACCTTTGACTGCTATATCTTTAGTCAGGTGATAACCTTCTTTGTAAGGTGTGTAGGGAAACCCCAAACCTTCGACTTATCTGTGTGTGTGTGTGTACCTGAATGCATGTGTGTCCCAGCGCCAGGATGTCCAGTGAGTTGCAGCCCAGCTCGAGGCCGGACGACAGTCCCAACACCAGTGGAGGCAGCTGGGACACAGAGCAGAGAGAGGTGGCCCCTCTGAGTCAGGAGCAGGCTCAGGAGAGGGATCAGACAACGCCCAAGAAGAAAGAGGCCAAGATATCCAGCAAGACCGCTGCCAAGCTCTCCACCAGCGCCAAGAGGTAGAGCTGTAATTCTCTCTATTCTGTAGGTTGTGTAATTACGTGTCCTTGATGGTCTTGTTCAAATACAATAGGCAGGTAGCGTATTTATGTTTTTTGTGGAATTTCTTTGGACTACACAGTATATACTGTACATGCACCATTCTGAGCCAAGAATGTACTTCATAAACAGTATAATACGGAGATGATATTGACTCAGATGCACCTTGAAGCAGTGGGTTTATTATAACCATCAATGGGTTATTATGAAATTCAATGGTCTGTGGGACATAAAAAAAATAAAAGTGTTGGTGTCACAGAGAGAGTGCCCATGGATGCGTGAACATGAGCGAGGGAGGCCTGCATGTTCTGTAATTGGTCCATTTCCCCCTGGATTCCCTCGTTCATTCCCTCGTTTATTCCTCCCTCCATCCTTTCTTAACAGCCTGCAGCCTCACCAGGTAAAATATGCCACCTCAGGAGAAAATACTGTAGATGAAATTACAGAGCGTACTGTGCATTCAAGCCTGGGAACAACTTACTCCATAACTGTGGTGAATGTATTACAGTTATACAGCCACTTGCAGAAATATGTATTTTCCCACTGTCTGTACTGAATAGTAGGGCACAATGATTTACCCTCAGTCGCCTCTCATCATGAACCAGAGAGTTTATTATTAATACAAGCACACACAGAGGAGATGAGGGGATCTGCTGTCGTTTGTTCTGCCCTTGCTCACTCGCTCTATGAGGTGTGGTGCCTACCTGTCAGCACTCGTGTGTGTGTGTGTGTGTGTGTGTGTATGCGTGCGCACACCTCCGTGGTGTGGCATTTGGAGAGGAACGAGGGAACGAGTCGACAGGGATGACAGGTGAAATTAACAAAAGGACCACCTGAGGTTCTCTCCCGCTCTGAGCGGTGATGGTAGTGGTGTAGTGGTGGTGAACGGTGGGGTGCCATTTCTACTGATGTTGTGACGCTTCCCTATCTCCTGATATTGGAAGGCTGCTTGTCGTTGTCCTCCCCCATGGCTGCAGCTGTCTATTTGTATTGCTCATCTTGCAGATAGTAACAACAGTTGTTGCGAGCATTGTGAATAGATGATTTAGGGCCAGGGGCCGTATGAAGCGTCTCAGACTAGGATCAGTTTTAGATCATAATGAATCAGATTGTTATGGACAGGGAGGACCTCATTTACATCAACACCCCTACTCTGAGACGCTTTATACATTCAGGAACCAGGCTTATATTTCAAAATCTGTAGGTTTATGAATATTAATGCGAGTAGAAGGGTTTGGAAGCAAAATTATTTTCCAATCGTTTAGTTCTGAACAGAACTATTCTTTTTTCGTTCTGTTCCACTGTGCCGAACAGAAAAATAAAGATCTGAACCAGTTCGAACGGTTTATATTGTTCCTTTCTGCTCCTTTTTAAACCTCTGAAATCAACATGAAATGACTTCACCAATCAGTGCGAATAGAGCAGCAAGCTATAACTAGTTGTTTACATACATTGGACAGACAAGTGTAGGGTGCGAGGTGCGACTGAAATGTTGCGGGTGGGGAGAAAGCGAGAGATGGTGGAGGAGGAGGCTTGGCTTGAAGCACTGGGCATCTTGTTATGACATGCATTATCTGAATTAGGCCCACAGAATTATACCTACGGAGGAGCGACTTCTATGAATGAACTTTGAATGTCTTTGAACTTCCAAGAGAATAAGCTTGTGTGTGCAGAGTGGCAACACAATTAAAATAAAAACATGTCTTACCTTTTTGTTGTTAATAAATCCAATGTGAAACGGGATAACTATAGTATCCTTCATTATTATTGAAAAAGTTTATCCATTCTTCTCTAATTAAAGATCTCTCTCCCTAATTTCTCAATCACGTTTTTAACGTCAGTAGGCACACACACTGCTAAAGATTTTCAGCTGGCAGGCAGACACTGGAATAAGTTTCTGAGTGACAGAGTGAGGGCTTTGCATAGGTGCTTTGTTGCGTTTTTTGTGGACCTGGGGAAAAAATGGCAATAACGTTATTAACCGGTTCCCATGCTTTTAAAAGAACGCGGAACAGTAGAGATCACTTTCGAGAGAGAGAGAGAGAGAGAGAGACAGAGAGAGAGAGAGAGAGATAGAGAGAGAAGAGAGAGAGAGAGAGAGAGAGAGAGAGAGAAGAAGAGAAGAGAGATAGAGATGAGAGATGAGACCGATAGATGCTAGAGAGCTCTCTCTCTCTCTCTCTCTCTCTTCTCTATCTCGTCTCTCGTCTCTCTCTCTTCTCTCTCTCTCTCGCTCTCTCTCTCTCTCTCCTGCTCTCTCTCCTCTCTCATGAGAGAGAGAGAGTGTCTATAATACACCGGCTAGCTAGTATGTCGCGTGTGTGTGTATGGCATTACGTATATATAATCTGTGTGTAATGTATATAAAGTGTGTGTGTATAACATGTGTGTTCCTCCTTATTCCCCAGGATTCAGAAGGAGCTGGCTGAGATAACCTTGGACCCGCCACCTAACTGCAGGTAGAAGCTTGTTCATTGTCTGTTTTATGACGGTCTGTGCTTGAGTGTTTGTGTGTGCACGTCTTTGTGCGTAAGCCTGTTCATTGTCTGTGTTGCGCCTGTTTTATGTATCTGTGACACCTGAGGCACTCTGTTAGTCTGTGCTATGCATGGCGGAGAAGGAAAGGGGATTGTGAAGGTGCTGTGCTGGCTGAGTCAGTCAGATGAACGGTATACAGATAGGTACATTACTGCGGTGCTGCCTGCATTTACAATGCCATTTGTCTGTTTGTTGGGCTGACTGTGAGATTAAACGACCTATTCAGAGATGTGCGAGTGGTGAGTCACAGCAAAAGTAGAAAGAGAAGTGATTGACCTGATTGGCCAGCAAGTTCACTACTGGGATCACTTTGCTGGGATCACTCTAGTAATGTTGCTTGCCGCTGCCACGTTTGCTCCGACTCCTGCGGCTGGGAAAGGCACTCGTTCAACTTTTCAATGCACAAACACACTAGCTGAGCATTTATCGTTTATTTTACACTAAGTCATAGTGGTGGGGGGCCACGATGCTACAACACACACCTGTCAATCAAGGGTTTCTGTGGGTTTTCATTGTGTGGGTCTGTTGTTGGAGAGAGCTGAAAAAGGTGAAGGTGTGGGTGATTGAGAGAAAATCAACTTCACGACTAAAACCACTCCCGTGACGGTTCTAAAACCATTTCCCCCTGGAGCGTTAGAGTGTGTGTGTAACCCTCAGCCCCAGATACGGAGAATCTCAATGAAGCATGCTATTATATTCACTGACAAAGGGCTAAAGGGAGACGGGGGAAAATTGATTTCAGACATTTGTTTTGAAAATGACATTTGTATGAAAACAGGTTATTTGAAGAATGTCCATTCTGAAATCAGTTTCATGACGAATGGATTCACTTAGGCGTCAGGCAGCGGCAGTTTGGTCACCCCAGAGATGTGTGTGTGTTTGAGATGAGTGAAGAATTGGCCACAGACTGCTGGACTATCTTTCAGTACAGAGCACTGTGAGGGAGCTCTGACACACTTGAGTTGTAGATTTCTGTATTGAATCCCCTTGGGGTGTTTGGTTCATTCCTACCAAAACAGGCCCAAGCTCCCCTCCAAGTCTTCTATAAACCCATGTGGAGTTTTCTAGTGTTTGGTTTGTAAATGCTGACACAACAATATAACACTTCAACATGCATTTTGTGAGATAAAAGCAATGAGCGTGAATAATATTTTTCATATATGGATGTAATACCCCATTAGGATCATTTATGGTAGCCTACGCAGTACATTAGAGGATATGAGGCTAATTTCCTCTTGGTTTGTGCTGTATTCCTTTAATAGTGCTACGAGTAGAAACATCCACCATCTGTTTATCAAAGGCTGTGTGTGTTCTGCCTGCCCTCACCGACTAATTGATGTGACAACAGTGTTAAACGTCTCTGTAGAGGAGGACGGGGCGGGTGAGAGGTGTGAGATGTGAGGGAGTGGACACTGTAGGACACACAGCTCATTAGCTTCTCTTTGTTTTTCCTCCATCCTTTCTTCTCCTTCGGCAGCGAAACGCTTCTGCTCTTCCTCCTCATTTCAATAAAACATTCTCTCGCTTTCTTGCGTTCTCCCTTTCTTTCTCTCACCCCACCCTCAGTCTGTTTTTTATCCCTATTTTAACGAGAGGAGAGGGAGTAGTGATGCTTTCCCCTTGGGAAAATAAAACAGATCAAACTTTCATCGAAAAGGGTCTCATTTGAAGAACGTATTTGGCAACATGTTGAAAGGAAGCAGGCCAAGCAGGAAGGATGTGGAGGATATATTATGGGATGCTATGGGGATATTTTCTCTTGTTTAATCATCTTTGTCAGCTGAGCAGAGAGTAATTAATTGAATGTGACAAGCACTCTGCAAGGCTATGTAAATACCCCCTCAACAGACACATTATATTGCCTCACTGCTCAACACGCCTTTTTACCTCTGTGTGTGTGTGTGTGTGTGTGTGTGTGTGTGTGTGTGTGTGTGTTTGTTAATTACCATATCCTTTCATGATGGTCCTGGCAGCGTTTTGATAAGAATCCCCCGTTGGCAGAAGGAAACAATGTGGATCCCTTGGCAGATTGGCCATGCTTTCTTTCTTTCTTTCTTTCTTTCTTTCTTTCTTTCTTTCTTTCTTTCTTTCTTTCTTTCTTTCTTTCTTTTCTTTCTTCCTCCCACTCTCTGCCACTACTCCCCTCTCTTTCTCTCTATCCCTCCCTCCTTCCCTCCATTCCTCCATAATCCCAGGAACATTGTGTGCTAGCGTGTTGTTCCAGAGTAATTCATTCTAAATGAAGACCAGTAATCATCTCCAGACATCACAGTGGTGACTGATGAAGTGATGAGGTGGAATAGAAGGTATTGATGCGTATCGTAACGGGGAACTACAGAAGGAGAAAATATCTAATTCCACACTGTGATTATCAGGGCGGTGGTAATGTGTGATTGACTAATACATGCCTCAATTTGCTTGGCAATGTAATTGACTTACAGCAGTCTCTCTCCCGGTTTCAGACATAATCCAATATGAGCATTCAGATGTGATTATTATCATCTTGTGTATATATACTGTAGATGAAGATGGTACAGAAGGCTGGAAACGGCTTGGTTAGCTTTTTCAGAGATAGGCAAAGACTTGACGAAGACCTAAGGCTGGAAACAATATCAATAAAGCATAGGGGAGGCAGGAAGCATACATCCCAGTGTGCAGAGTCTTTTTAACCCTTTGCTGAGCTTTTTCAGAGATACACAGATTTCATACATAACATGAACAGAGGCTGCTGTGGAGCCCTCCTGTTTCTGGGTCTGAGTGATGTGAGGTGAGGTGAAGGTCACCTGTGTTTTCTGGCAAGAGGTTGTTAACCAGTCTTTGTCTAGGCTGAGTAGAGGGCTGTCTGACCTTGTAGTGCTTCTACTAAAGGCGTCCTCAACTGTAGGGATTCTTCAATAAAGTCTTTGTTGTCGTTTAATGAGAGAAGACTTGTTTTTTCATGCATATTTTTTTCATTGAGAAATACTGCACCAAACATCTGAGTTAGATGTAAAATTGTGCGACTAAGATATCCTCGGCAAAAACGTAAAAATTTATGACAGATTTCTTGAGTTGTCGTAGATTAATTCGGACTATTTTGAGGAACTGTATACTGCCTACGGCGTCTCAAATAGGACAAACAGTACTATTGCCTCTTCTTTCTTGTTTTCAAGCAAAGGTCTTTTAAGGGAGTATGCGAGAACACTCGTTTGGTTCGGCTAGCCGACTTCCGCTAGCCACCAGCCGAACTGAAGCATGCTGATGCCTTGAGGGAGGAGAGGACAGAGGAAAGAGAAGAGGGAGGAGAGGACAGAGGGAGGAGAGGAGAGGAGGGAGGGGAGAGGAGGGTGGAAAGGATGAGGGATGGAGAAGTAGGGAGGGGTATTGGGGAGGTATTCCCGCTGACAAGGAAGAAGGAGAGGAGGGGAGGGGGGAGGGAGGCTAGAGGATGTTCTTTTTTCTTTCCTTTGGCGCGGATCTTCGTCGTTTCTTCCTGCTCTTCGCTTCTCTTTTGCTTGAGAGAGCTTTGGATTTGCTCTTTTTCTCTTCCTTTTTTCGTTCCGTACAGAGGAGGAGCATGGAAGTTTTGGTTTTCGTTAGAGGAGGGTTGCTGTCACGGTTGTCGGTTGGCGGGAGGATCGGACCGAGGGGGAGGAGGGTGGAGAAGACAGAGGGGGCTTAGAATAGAACAGGAAGTCAGTGTTTTGATTATCAGAGGGGGGAGAAGGGGGGTTCTGATTGGTGTGGTGTAGTAGCAATATGTCACATTCCATGTCTCTGGCACTCATCATACATACCAAACAGTCATTTGAACTGCTCTCAGGTGGAAAGTGGTATACATGTATAAATAGAACACACTCGCATATCAACATGATCAAGTGTTGCTTTTATTAAAAACTGTCAGTATAAGAATTGAATATGAAGAGTGTTTACTTGGCAGATAGTGAATGAGTGGAGTCTGTTATTGAGTCCTGCGTACGGCTGCCAGTCAGCTATTTCTTCAGGTCAATTCATATTAATTGAGTTTTTATGGCTAAAACAAAAAACCAGCAGCAAGCCAACCAGGCAATCCCAGAGTCAACAGGGAGACTAAAAGTTCAAGCACTTAGTCGTTTTTAACGAGAGAAGAACATCATTGTAAAAATGACTCTGTCAGCCACCCAGAGAGAGAGAGAGAGAGAGCATTAGAGAGTGCTAGAGAAAGAGAGATGAATTAAACAGTCAATTTGGTAGCATTGGAGTGCAAATGCTATTGTTATGATATGCTTAGCATTCCACGTTCCACATCATTGGGCTCGCTCTCTCAGCTAAGAGGATAGGATGTTATTGCCAGAGAATTCTAATAGAATTCCATCAGAGGGAGTAATATGTCACCACAAATCCATGAATAAGTAACATGTTTTAAATGGTTTTTATGACTCTTCATGGAAAGTCTCATGGGGTGCTTTATGTCTAGAGAGTTCAAGGGGATGTTTGGAGACTAGCCTCTCCTTTTGGTTGTACCAGTCTCTTTTATTTGAATTTGGAGGGGAGGGGAGAGAGGGAGAGAATGTAGTCATAGTTCCATCTGGTCCACAGAAGCCAAGAGAGGCCCAGGGAGATTCCTCCACTTGCTGTGAGCTCACACTATGGATCTAATTACCCTCAGCTGGGTGTAGGGCCTTTCTCTTCTTTGCTCTTCTGTTCTCTTTTCACAGACACGCTACATGTCTTTATCTTCTCTCACACTCTTCACTCCCCCGCTATGCTTCTTCTCACACGCTACAGATCCTAATTTCACCATTATCATTTCTAATTCACCAATCTCCTTGCTTGCCTTTATGTCTGTCTGCTCTGCCGTTAGACACAGCTGATTTAAAGCCTGGCTCTGACGAAAGGGAGTTATGTGACTGATGTCACCAGTGTTGTTATGAGAGATGCTCATCGTGTCTCTGTGTTGGGTGAGTGATTAGCCCCTCATTAACAGGCTGCCTGCAGTATCCTTTGGTAGTCCATGTACACACACACACATCATCATCATTTTATTGGCCACAGAGTCATATTTGGCTTATACTGTCTACTTGTAAAAGTGTGTGTATTGAGGAAATGATTACAGGCTGAGGTAGAGAAAGAAGGTAACAGAGCACACTTGATGATAGTAGTCTAAATGTATAGAGCCATTTCTGTTGTCAACTATCTGGCTTCCCCACTGGCTTTAACAGCCAAAATCTCAACACAGCGATAAACACACAGCAAGATGACTAAGGCTGTCCTGGCTGGGCGTCTCTCTCTATATCTGCCTCTGTTGTTGTTGTTACAGCTGTACTCAACAAACCAGTTGCGAGGGTAGATGGACAGAGGCGTGCTGCCTCCCGGCCGAGCAATGCCAGCAACGTCCCTGTACTGTGACATAATACATGGCTCCTGGACGGGAGAGCAGGCTGGAGGGAAGGCACAGTACGGATGGATCAAATAAAATCAAAATGTATTTGTCACTGTCAAGATGTCAATGTGATGCGGTAGGATGAAGTCAGGCGCAGGACACAGAGCTAATCGAAAACGTACTTTACTCATAGGTAACGTAAAAAACATAACCTCCACGCAGGGAGGAAACAAACCCGCTCACCAGACGACAACCAAACATGAACAAACACGCACAGCATACAGTGGGAGCCAGAGGGTTAAATAGGGAAGTAATCAATACCTAATGGGAACCAGGTGTGAACAATAAAGACAAGACAAGTAGAACACAGAAACATAGATCGGCAGCAGCTAGTACTCCGGTGACGACGAACGCCGAAGCCTGCCCGAGCAAGGAGGAGGAGCAGCCTCGGCTGAATCCGTGACAGTCACATGCTTCGTAAACAACAGGTGTAGACTAACAGTGAAATGCTTACATACAGGTCCTTTCAAACAATGCAGAGAAAGATAAAAATAATAAATAGAAGTAGTGACACAAGGAATAAGTAACTAATAACTAATAAAAATAACCAGTAAAACATGGCTATATACAGGGAGTACCAGTACCGAGTCGATATGATAAAATGGTCAGGTCTGTTTTCTTAGTGAACCGAGGTCTAAAACTGACGTGTGGTTTTAGCAATAGTGCTCAGAGGGCCTGAATGCACCCAGGCTACTTGTACCCATGCATATCCCACAATATATGCCACCAGAGGTCTCTTCACAATCCCCAAGTCAAGAACAGACTATGGGAGGCGCACAGTACTATGTAGAGCCATGGCTACATGGAATTCTATTCCACGTCAGGTAACTGATGCAAGCAGTAGAATCAGATTTTAAAAAACAGATAAAAATACACGTTATGGAACAGCGGGGACTGTGAAGAGACACACACACAGGCACAAACACACGCATACACATACACGTGATAAGACACGCACTCTGCACACACGTACACATTGATTTTGTATTGTAGATATGTGGTAGTAGAGTAGTGGCCTGAGGGAACATACTTAATGTGTTGTGAAAAGTGTTATGAAGTGTAATGTGATGTAATACACTGCTCAAAAAAATTAAGGGAACACTTAAACAACACAATGTAACTCCAAGTCAATCACACTTCTGTGAAATCAAACTGTCCACTTAGGAAGCAACACTGATTGACAGTAAATTTCACATGCTGTTGTGCAAATGGAGTAGACAACAGGTGGAAATTATAGGCAATTAGCAAGACACCCCCAATAAAGAAGTGGTTCTGCAGGTGGTGACCACAGACCACTTCTCAGTTCCTATGCTTCCTGGCTGATGTTTTGGTCACTTTTGAATGCTGGCGGTGCTTTCACTCTAGTGGTAGCATGAGACGGAGTCTACAACCCACACAAGTGGCTCAGGTAGTGCAGCTCATCCAGGATGGCACATCAATGCGAGCTGTGGCAAGAAGGTTTGCTGTGTCTGTCAGCGTAGTGTCCAGAGCATGGAGGCGCTACCAAGAGACAGGCCAGTACATCAGGAGACGTGGAGGAGGCCGTAGGAGGGCAACAACCCAGCAGCAGGACCGCTACCTCTGCCTTTGTGCAAGGAGGAGCAGGAGGAGCACTGCCAGAGCCCTGCAAAATGACCTCCAGCAGGCCACAAATGTGTCTGCTCAAACGATCAGAAACAGACTCCATGAGGGTGGTATGAGGGCCCGACGTCCACAGGTGGGGGTTGTGCTTACAGCCCAACACCGTGCAGGACGTTTGGCATTTGCCAGAGAACACCAAGATTGGCAAATTCGCCATTGGCGCCCTGTGCTCTTCACAGATGAAAGCAGGTTCACACTGAGCACATGTGACAGACGTGACAGAGTCTGGAGACGCCGTGGAGAACGTTCTGCGGCCTGCAACATCCTCCAGCATGACCGGTTTGGCGGTGGGTCAGTCATGGTGTAGGGTGGCATTTCTTTGGGGGGCCGCACAGCCCTCCATGTGCTCGCCAGAGGTAGCCTGACTGCCATTAGGTACCGAGATGAGATCCTCAGACCCCTTGTGAGACCATATGCTGGTGCGGTTGGCCCTGGGTTCCTCCTAATGCAAGACAATGCTAGACCTCATGTGGCTGGAGTGTGTCAGCAGTTCCTGCAAGAGGAAGTCATTGATGCTATGGACTGGCCCGCCCGTTCCCCAGACCTGAATCCAATTGAGCACATCTGGGACATCATGTCTCGCTCCATCCACCATATTTTTTTGAGCAGTGTATTTAAAATTGTAAATAACTGCCTTAATGTTGCTGGACCCCAGGAAGAGTAGCTGCTGCCTTGGCAGGAACTAATGGGGATCCTTAATAAATACAAATACTGCACAATAATAGACTTCACAGTCTTACTCAGTCGTACTGTAGAAATAGACTTCACAGAGTTACTCAGTCGTACTGTAGAATAGACTTCACAGAGTTACTCAGTCGTACTGTAGAATAGACTTCACAGAGTTACTCTGTCGTACTGTAGAATAGACTTCACAGAGTTACTCAGTCGTACTGTAGAATAGACTTCACAGAGTTACTCAGTCGTACTGTAGAATAGACTTCACAGAGTTACTCAGTCGTACTGTAGAATAGACTTCACAGAGTTACTCAGTCGTACTGTAGAATAGACTTCACAGAGTTACTCAGTCGTACTGTAGAATAGACTTCACAGAGTTACTCAGTCGTACTGTAGAAATAGACTTCACAGAGTTACTCAGTCGTACTGTAGAAATAGACTTCACAGAGTTACTCAGTAGTACTTTAGAAATAGACTTCCTGTCACGACTTCCTCCGAAGCTGCCTCCCCTCCTTGTTCGGGCAGGCTTCAGCGTTCGTTGTCACCGGCCTACTAGCCACTGCCGCTGCATATCTCATCATTCCATTTGTCTTGTCTTGTCAATTACACACACCTGGTTCATATCCCCTCATTAGTACATGTATAAGTGTTCCCTCTGCCCCCCTTGTCCTTGTGGGTGATTGTTATTTGTGAGTTTAGTGTAGCTCGGTTGAGTTACCCATACCTTGTATTTCCAGGGATATTGTTCCCTGTGTGCCTGTATTTTGTTGACGCTATCCAGCGTAACTGTGTCCTACGGATTAAACTCTGTATTCTGTGATTTACCCTCCTGCGCCTGATTCCTTCAAATCACATTCTCACACTTCCAAGCGTTACTCAGTCGTACTGTAGAAATAGACTTTACAGCATTACTCAGTTGTACTGTAGAAAGAAACTAAACAGCGTTCTCCAGATCACCCTGTAATGTGCTCCAGTCAGCAGACATAATGCCAGAGAATCCGTGGGAATGATGACGATGTTCTTATTGCTCAGAGCCTGTGTTCCAACCTACAGTATCCTCCCATATACTACTGGCAGCTCCAGCCTCTCGTGCTGCTTTGCCCTCTAACATGAATAAAGCCACATTTGAATGGAGAGCAATGTTTCAAGGCACTGTAGTTCTGCTTTGGTGAGTGTATGGACTCCGGACTCCAGACAGAGGTCACCTTTCCACCAGCTGCAGCTGTATTGAACCTATGGGAGACATTCCTACCAGGACACACACACATACACACACACACACACCACAGTGGGAAATGCTAGGATCCTCTCTAGTCACTGGTCTCATTTTCATGAGACCGTCCTCCTCCACACTGTAAATGGCTGGTTCATTGTCTCCATGCCTGCCTAGGTTTAGCTTTCCAGCTAACGTGGCTGTGATAGGATTCCAGGATTCAACACCCGGGCTGTTGAATTCTTAATGTGCCCTTTATGCTGTTACACTTCCCCTTTAAAGCCCAGTAACCCTTAATGGCAAGATGGCGCCGACAGACATGGAAGCTCTGCTTCTAGCACCTAAGAAACTTTGCAGTATTTTGTTTTTTTTGTGTGTTATTTCTTACATTATTAGCCCAGAAAGTTTTTTGTGTTATTACATACAGCCGGAAAGAAGTTTGGATATCAGAACGGCGGTAACTCACCAGCATTACGACCAGGAATACGACTTTCCCGAATTGGATCCTTTGTTCGTACCCCCCAGGGCAATTTAACTTATACCAGAGGCTGCTCCAAGACGCCGCCAGCGGAGAAGATGTATTCGGAGTGGACTTCCAGTCCGACTCAGGAGGCGGGCACACCATCCACCGCTTCCGAGTATATTACTTGCTAATGTTCAGTCTCTGGACAATAATATAATAATAATAATATGCCATTTAGCAGACGCTTTTATCCAAAGCGACTTACAGTCATGCGTGCATACATTTTTACGTATGGGTGGTCCCAGAGAGACATCAGGGACTGTAAAATACTCTGTTTCACGGAATCATGGCTCTCTCAGGATATACTGTCCCCGTCCATACAGCCAGCTGGGTTCTCAGTTCATCGCGCAGACAGGAATAAAGAACTCTCCGGGAAAAAGATAGGCGGGTGTCACGTTCGTTTAATGACGGGTCAGACCAAGGCGCAGCGTGATATGCATGCATGTTTATTTTAACTGAATAAACACCACGACAATAAACGAAACGAAACGTGAAGTCCAAGGTAGTACAGAAAACAAACCTTACACGGAACAAGATCCCACAACAAGACAGTGCCAATAGGCTGCCTAAGTATGGTCCCCAATCAGAGACAACGAGCGACAGCTGCCTCTGATTGGGAACCACACCAGCCAACATAGAACTAGACATACTAGATCCTATACATAGAAAAGGCACAACAAGAAATATACACACCCTGACTCAACATATAAGCGTCCCCTGAGTCAGGGCATGACAGCGGGGGTGTATGTTCATGATTAACTACTCATGGTGTGATTGTGATAACATACAGAAACTCAAGTCCTTTTGTTCACCCAACCTAGAATACTTCACAATCAAATGCCGACCGTATTACCTCCGAAGAGAATTCTCTTCTGTTATTGTCACAGCCGTGTATATTCCCCCTCAAGCCAATACCACGATGGCCCTCAAGGAATTACACTGGACTATGCAAACTGGAAACCACATATCCTGAGGCCGCATTTATTGTAGCTGGGGATTTTAACAAAGCAAATTTGAGGAAAAAGCTTCCGAAATTCTATGAACACATTGACTGTAGTACTCGCTTAAGAAAAACACTAGACCACTGCTACTCACCTTTTCGAGATGCCTACAAATCAGATCATGACTCCATTTTGCTCCTCCCTTCCTATAGGCAGAAACTCAAACAGGAAGTACCCGTGCTAAGGTCTATTCAATGCTGGTCTGACCAATCGGAATCCATGCTTCAAGATTGACTTGATCACGCGGACTGGGATATGTTCCGGGTAACCTCTGAGAATAACATTGATGTTTACACGGACACGGTGACTGAGTTCATCAGGAAGTGTATAGGGGATGTTGTTCCCACAGTGACTATTAAAACCTACCCAAACCAGAAACCGTGGATAGATGGCAGCATTCGCACAAAACTGAAAGCGCGAACCACCACATTTAACCAGGGCAAGGTGAGTGGGAATATGGTTGAATACAAACAGTGTAGTTATTCCCTCTGTAAGGCAATCAAACAGGCAAAACATCAGTACAGAGACAAAGTGAAGTCGCAATTCAACGGCTCAGACACGAGACGTATGTGGCATAGTCTACAGACAATCACAGATTACAAAGGGAAAACCAGCCACGTCGCGGACACCGACGTCTTGCTCCCAGACAAGCTAAACACCTTCTTTGCCCGCTTTGAGGATAACACAATGCCACCAACGCGGCCCGCACCCAAGGACTGTGGGCTCTCGTTCTCCGTGGCCGACATAAGACATTTAAGCGTGTTAACCCTCGCAAGGCTGCCGGCCCAGACGGCATCGCTAGCCGCGTCCTCAGAGCATGCGCAGACCAGCTGGCTGGAGTGTTTACGGATATATTCAATCTCTCCCTATCCCAGTCTGCTGTCCCCACTTGCTTCAAGATGTCCACCATTGTTCCTGTACCCAAGAAAGCAAAGGTAACTGAACTAAATGACTATCGCCCCGTAGCACTCACTTCTGTCATCATGATGTGCTTTGAGAGGCTAGTTAAGGATCATATTACCTCTACCTTACCTAACACCCTAGATCCACTTCAATTTGCTTACCGCCCCAATAGATTCACAGACGATGCAATCGCCATCACACTGCACACTGTCCTATCCCATCTGGACAAGAGGAATACCTACATCAGAATGCTGTTCATTGACTATAGCTCAGCATTCAACACCATAGTACCCTCCAAGCTCATCATTAATCTTGGGGCCCTGGGTCTGAACTCCGCTCTGTGCAACTGGGTCCTGGACTTCCTGACGGGCCGCCCCCAGGTGGTGAAGGAAGGAAACAACACCTCCACTACGCTGATCCTCAACACAGGGGCCCCACAAGGGTGTGTGCTCAGCCCCTCCTGTACTCCCTACACCCATGACTGCGTGGCACGCACGACTCCAACTCAATCATCAAGTTTGCAGACGACACAATAGTAATAGGCCTGATTACCAACAATGACGAGGACGTGAGGGCCCTGGCGAAGTGGTGCCAGGAAAATAACCTCTCCCTCAACGTCAACAAAACGAAGGAGCTGATCGGGGACTTCAGGAAACAGAAGAGGGAGCACGCCCCTATCCACATCGACGGGACCGCAGTCGAGAAGGTGGAAATCTTCAAGTTCCTCGGCGTACACATCACTGACAATCTGAAATGGTCCACCCACACAGACAGTGTGGTGAAGAAGGCGCAACAGCGGTCTGCCCAACGCATCACCGGGGGCACACTGCCTGCCCTCCAGGACACCTACAGCACCCAATGTCACAGGAAGGCCAAAAAGATCATCAAGGACGTCAACCACAAGCCAAGGCCTGTTCACCCTACTATCATCCAGAAGGCGAGGTCAGTACAGGTGCATCAAAGCTGGGACCGAGAGGCTGAAAAACTGCTTCTATCTCAAGGCCATCAGACTGTTAAATAGTCATCACTAGCCAGCTACCACTCGGTTACTCAACCCTGCACCTTAGAGGCTGCTGCCTTATATACAGTGCATTCGGAAAGTATTCAGACACCTTGACTTTTTCCACGTTTTGTAACATTAGAGCCTTATTCTAAAATTGATCAAATTGTTTTTTTTCTTCATCAATCTACACACACTACCCCATAATGACAAAGCAAAAACAGGTTTTTAGAAGTTTTAGCAAATGTATTACAAATACAAAAACGGAAATATTACATTTACATAAGTATTCAGACCCTTTACTCAGTACTTTGTTGAATAACCTTTGGCAGTGATTACAGCCTCGAGTCTTCTTGGGTATGACGCTACAAGCTTGGCACACCTGTATTTGGGGAGTTTCTCCCATTCTTCTCTGCAGATCCTCTCAAGCTCTGTCAGGTTGGATGGGGAGCGTTGCTGCACAGCTATTTTCAGGTCTCTCCAGAGATGTTTGATCGGGTTCAAGTCTGGGCTCTGGCTGGGCCACTCAAGGACATTCAGAGACTTGTCCCGAAGCCACTCCTGCGTTGTCTTGGCTGTGTGCTTAGGGTCATTGTCCTGTTGGAAGGTGAACCTTCACCCCAGTCCTGGAGCAGGTTTTCATCAAGGATCTCTCTGTACTTTGCTCCGTTAATCTTTCCCTCGATCCTGACTAGTCTCCCAGTCCCTGCCGCTGAAAAACATCCCCACAGCATGATGCTGCCACCACCATACTTCACCGTAGGGATGTTCCCAGCTAACAAGGAACGTAACTGAGACATTTGTAACATTCCCCTTAAGTCTTCCAGAGGTACTGAATGTCATAGCCCGTTTGGGACATTATAGGCACATTCATAACGTTTCTAATAAGTATTGTGGTCCTCTGTAGCTCAGCTGGTAGAGCACGGCGCTTGTAACGCCTAGGTAGTGGGTTCGATCCCCGGGACCACCCATACACAAAAATGTATGCACGCATGACTGTAAGTCGCTTTGGATAAAAGCGTCTGCTAAATGGCATATTATTATTATTATTATTATATTATAGAGGTTATAAATATCAGGTCGCTATACAGACATCATGGGAACATTAACATTGGTAGTCCATGAAAGGTTCTGAATATCATGTTATTTTGGAGATATCCTAGGAACATTTCATAACGTCACATTTAGAGCTATGGTTTGTCTTCATATAACTTTAAAATCGGAATGATAGAAATACATTTTGGAACATCGTCTGTAAGTTTCACAATAACGTTATCATGACTTACAGTGGGGAAAAAAAGTATTTAGTCAGCCACCAATTGTGCAAGTTCTCCCACTTAAAAAGATGAGAGAGGCCTGTAATTTTCATCATAGGTACACGTCAACTATGACAGACAAAATGAGAAAATAAAATCCAGAAAATCACATTTTAGGATTTTTAATGAATTTATTTGCAAATTATGGTGGAAAATAAGTATTTGGTCAATAACAAAAGTTTCTCAATACTTTGTTATATACCCTTTGTTGGCAATGACACAGGTCAAACATTTTCTGTAAGTCTTCACAAGGTTTTCACACACTGTTGCTGGTATTTTGGCCCATTCCTCCATGCAGATCTCCTCTAGAGCATTGATGTTTTGGGGCTGTCGCTGAGCAACACAGACTTTCAACTCCCTCCAAAGATTTTCTATGGGGTTGAGATCTGGAGACTGGCTAGGCCACTCCAGGACCTTGAAATGCTTCTTACGAAGCCACTCCTTCGTTGCCAGGGCGGTGTGTTTGGGATCATTGTCATGCTGAAAGACCCAGCCACGTTTCATCTTCAATGCCCTTGCTGATGGAAGGAGGTTTTCACTCAAAATCTCACGATACATGGCCCCATTCATTCTTTCATTTACACGGATCAGTCGTCCTGGTCCCTTTGCAGAAAAACAGCCCCAAAGCATGATGTTTCCACCCCCATGCTTCACAGTAGGTATGGTGTTCTTTGGATGCAACTCAGCATTCTTTGTCCTCCAAACACGACGAGTTGAGTTTTTACCAATCCTCTTCTGGATCATCCAAATGCACTCTAGCAAACTTCAGACGGGGCTGGACATGTACTGGCTTAAGCAGGGGGACACGTCTGGCACTGCAGGATTTGAGTCCCTGGCGGCGTAGTGTGTTACTGATGGTAGGCTTTGTTACTTTGGTCCCAGCTCTCTGCAGGTCATTCACTAAGTCCCCCTGTGTGGTTCTGGGATTTTTGCTCACCGTTCTTGTGATCATTTTGACCCCACGGGGTGATATCTTGCGTGGAGCCCCAGATCGAGGGAGATTATCAGTGGTCTTGTATGTCTTCCATTTCCTAATAATTGCTCCCACAGTTGATTTCTTCAAACCAAGCTGCTTACCTATTGCAGATTCAGTCTTCCCAGCCTGGTGCAGGTCTACAATTTTGTTTCTGGTGTCCTTTGACAGCTCTTTGGTCTTGGCCATAGTGGAGTTTGGAGTGTGACTGTTTGAGGTTGTGGACAGGTGTCTTTTATACTGATAACAAGTTCAAACAGGTGCCATTAATACAGGTAACGAGTGGAGGACAGAGGAGCCTCTTAAAGAAGAAGTTGCAGGTCTGTGAGAGCCAGAAATCTTGCTTGTTTGTAGGCGACCAAATACTTATTTTCCACCATAATTTGCTAATAAATTCATTAAAAATCCTACAATGTGATTTTCTGGAGAAAAAAAATCTCAATTTGTCTGTCATAGTTGACGTGTACCTATGATGAAAATTACAAGCCTCTCATCTTTTTAAGTGGGAGAACTTGCACAATTGGTGGCTGACTAAATACTTTTTTCCCCCACTGTATGTGGGGACTAAAATAACTTTGTGGTCACATCCTGGAACTTAATTTTGTTAGCTAGGTTGCGAGGTTTCTTCCAGATGTGACGCTCAGCATTCAGGCTAAAGAGTTCAATCTTGGTTTCATCAGACAATATAATCTTGTTTCTCATGGTCTGAGAGTCTTTAGGTACCTTTTGGCAAACTCCAAGCTGGCTGTCATGTGCCTTTTACTGAGGAGTGGCTTCCGTCTGGCCACTCTACCATAAAGGCCTGATTGGTGGAGTGCTGCAGAGATGGTTGTCCTTCTTGAAGGGTCTCCTATCTCCACAGAGGATCTCTGGAGCTCTGTCAGAGTGACCATCGGGTTCTTGGTCACCTCCCTGACCAAGGCCCTTCTTCCCTGATTGCGCAGTGGCCGGGCGGCCAGCTCTAGGAAGAGTCTTGGTTGTTCCAAACTTCTTCCATTTAAGAATGATGGAGGCCACTGTGTCCTTGGGGGGACCTTCAATGCGGCAGACATTTTTTGGTACCCTTCCCCAGATCTGTGCCTCGACACAATCCTGTCTCGGAGCTCTACGGACAATTCCTTCGACCTCATGGCTTGGTTTTTGCTCTGATATGCACTGTCAACTGTGGAACCTTATATAGACAGGTGTGTGCCTTTCCAAATCATGTCCAATCAATTTAATTTACCACAGGTGGACTCCAAGCAAGTTGTAGAAACATCTCAAGGTTGATCAATGGAAACAGGATGCACCTGAGCTCAATTTCGAGTGTCAGAGCAAAGGGTCTGAATACTTATGTAAATAAATTGTTTATGTTTTTTATTTGTAATACATTTGCAAATATATCTAAAAACCTGTGTAATGCTGTTTTAAGAGCAGCTAATGGATCAGTGTAAATCAGTGGTGGGTTACTCTTCTTCAAAGTGCTCCTCTCGTTTTTTCCTCCTCTCCTTTCCTCCTCCTTCTTTCCTCCTCTCCTTCTTCCTTCCTTTCCTTCTTTCCTCCTCTCCATCTTTCCTCCTCTCCTTCTTTCCTCCTCTCCTTCACCTCCTCCCCTTCTTTCCTCCTCTCCTTTCCTCTTCTCCTTCTTTCCTCCTCTCCTTCACCTCCTCCCCTTCTTTCCTCCTCTCCTTCTTTCCTCCTCTCCTTCTTCCTTCCTTTCCTTCTTTCCTCCTCTCCTTCTTTCCTCCTCTCCTTCTTTCCAAGGCTTTGATAATAAAAGTTAACACTTTACTTAAAGCTGACATGTGTAATTTGTTTTTAAGCATTATGCATTATAAAGATGTACAAGGATTTATATTGTCAAATGTCTGTGGCCCGGGCCCTCCAGGCACTGAGAGGCTCAGGTTGTATCTGCTGCTCGTGTGTATCAACTGTAAACAGTGAAATGTTGTCACCCGGACAAATGGCTTCCAATGCGAACACTGGCAAGGGAAGGATTCCATTACAATCCTGGCATGGAGTCCAACGTAGACACACACATGCCCATGGTCTTGCTCCCCTCACAAAGACAGGATATTAGCTTCCTGCCAGGGCTTTGATTTTCATTTCAGGTGGCTCTCCTCCTGCCTTTTCACAGCTGCCACTGAGAGGGAGAACAGGAGAACAGGAGAACAGAGGAGAGGTTGGGAATCTCTGTAATCAGGGTCTCCCAACCCCGTCTCCTCAGGGATCAGCAGCCATTTCACATATTTAATCTATTTCAGTACCAGAACACCTAATTCAACTGGTCAACTAATCATCAAGCCCTGGAATAGCTCAAAGAAGTGCAATCGCAAAAGGGTTTGGGAATACAGGATAACTCGATCTAGATGAGAGAGAGATGGTCTTCAAACTCGACCTGGTACAGTCCTGAGAAAGAAAGGGTGTGGAACAGCGGATGGTCAGATGGCACAGGACAGAGACTGTGTGTTTCTGTCTGTGAGTCATTGTCGTTTGTAGGCAGGTATCTCAATAGCAGTTTTGTGAAATCAATGCTCTCAGTGCAGTGTAATCAATACAATCATCATCACTACAGGCAAGGCACTGATTGGGAGATGGTTTATTTGGTTAGCTTTAGAGGTTGTTTCCTCCACAGAGAGACCCTGTCCTATACCATAACAAGTGTAACCGGTGGGATTCCTGCCACAGACTTCCTGTATGTCAACTTTTTGTGTGAAGCTCCAAACCTACCCTATTTTTCAGTCGCGAAGGAGCCCTAATCAAAAGCTAAGCCACCATTTTTTAAATGTGTTTATTATATATTTGTTTCTTTATTTGTCTAGAAAGGGACAGTAATCAGAAGCTAAGTCCTTGTCGACTAATTAGTGACAGGTAAAAAGCTCCTCTGGAAATTCTCACAACCGCTGAGTCGTCAGGTCTGGCTGTCTGATCTTGTGCTGCAATCTCTCCCCCCTCAACACATTGCTGTGTGTGCACAATGTGGAGATAAGATAAGAGCTAAATACCACTCCTTCTCCTTGAAATCTGTGAACAACCAGAGGGGCCAGTTCTTGCACATTATTCCTTTGTTTCATGCACTCCTATTTATTTTGTCTTGCCTGGCTGTATCACTCCTTGAGTGCTGCAGTTAAAGCCATTCATTGCTTGTAGCATAAAGTAGAAGCCAGAGATCTCAACACGGACGGTCTCACAGTTTCTCTTAATGTAACGTTTCCTCCCTCGCCAACAAAGTGCTTTGCCTGCTGACTGGGCTGGAAGGGATAGCAGTTTTTAGAAGTGAGGAAAGGTTTCTTCTAAGTACACAGAAGGTGTAAACCAGTGGAGGTTGGTGGGAGGAGCTATAGGAGGACGGGTTCATTGTAATGGCTGGAATGGAATCAATGGAGCGTAGTCAAACGTGGTTTCCATATGTGTGATGTGTTTGATACTGTTCCATTTTTTCCATTCCAGCCATTACAATGAGCCTGTGACGAGTACACGAAGAGGCAGGACGCAGACGCAGGAATTAACAAGGTCAAGGTTTACTTAAACAATGACAAAGAGAATTAACAAAGATAGAGTACATGACACGAAGCAAAACAATCACATACAACATCCTACAGAACAGTCCAGGGCTAAATAGGGGTAGTGATGAGATAATGAGGTGCGCTGGAGTTGATTACGGTGCATTGGGTTTCCATTCCGGTGTTGCCAAGGTGGTGCACTCAGACCGATGGCTCAGTAGACCGGCGAATCAGAGCGCCGGAGGGGAGCAACGGGAAGAGACGTGACAGTACCCCCCCCCCCCCCGCCACCCCCCGGAAGTGCGGCTCCAGCCGCTGGACGTTGCCAGTCAGGAGGACGACATCGAGGACGAGGAGCGGGCCGGTCAGGGCGATGACGGTGGAAGTCCCGAATTAGGTTGGGGTCCAGAACATTCCCCAGCCGGAACCCAGTTTCTTGCAGGGCAGGCAGAGAGGGAGGTTTTTTGTGGACAGCCAGACACGATCCCCAGGCTGGAATACAGGGGCCTCACTGCGGTGGCGGTCGGCTTGGTCCTTCTGCCGACGAATGGCCCTCTGGAGATGGACATGGGCGGCGTCCCAGACCTGTCCGGCCCTGTGGAACCACTCGTCGACAGCGGGCGCATCGGTCTGGCTGGGTGTCCAAGGGGCCAGGGCCGGCTGGTACCCCAGGACACACTGGAAAGGGAGTGAGCCCCGTGGAGGAGTGAACGAGGGAGTTCTGGGCATATTCTGCCCAGGGAAGAAACCTTGCCCACTCACCCTGCCGGTCCTGACAGTGGCAACAAAGAAACCTCCCCAGCTCCTGGTTCATGCGCTCCACCTGCCCATTCGACTGAGGCCTATACCCGGAAGTGAGGCTGGCCACACTCGGGAGGTGAATTGTGGGCCACGGTCCGAGATGATGTCCTCCGGAAGTCCATAATGCCGGAAGACCTGTTGGAGCAGGACCTCAGCGACCTGGAGAGCAGAAGGAAGACCAGTTAGTGGCAAAAAATGGCATGATTTGGAGAACAAATCTACGACCACCATGACTGTGGTGAAGCTGTCAGAACATGGAAGGTCGGTGAGCACTTGTAACGCCAGGGTAGTGGGTTCGATCCCCGGGACCACCCATACGTAAAAATGTATGCACACATGACTGTAAGTCGCTTTGGATAAAAGCGTCTGTTAAATGGCATATTATTTATTATTATTATATTACAAAGTCTATGGACAGGTGTGACCAAGGTCACTGAGGCACTGGGAGAGGAACTGGTTTGCCTGCCGGGGCGTTCCGAGGTGTCTTCGTTTGGGCACATACGGAACAGGAGTTGAAATAGAGGGACACATCCGCCATAGAAGGACCACCGCCAACAGCTCCCTGTGGGGGTAAGCTTCTTTGAGAAAAAGGCACAGGGATACATTTTCTCTGGCTTACCGTGCCGCTGGGAGAGGACCGCACCCACACCCTCCTCCGATTCGTCCACCTCAAGGATGAAAGGACGAGAGGGATCTGGGTGTTTTTGGATGGGTGCTGTGGTGAACCTCTCCTTCAGCCTCTTGAAGGCATCGTCAGCCTCAGGGTTACAGCTCAGCTTCTGAGGCCCACCCTTAAGGAGAGAGGTGAGCGGGGCGGCTATGGAGCTGAAGGACATGATGAAACGCCAGTATAAATTGGCGAAGCCCAGGAAGCTCTGTTGGCCCTTGATGGTGGTGGGAACTGGCCATGACCTGATGGCGTCCGTCTTCACTCCTTCCATGAACACCCCCTGAGGACTGATCCTGTATCCTAGGAAGGAGATGGCCTGTTGGTGGAATTCACTTTTCTCCCCTTTCACCAACAGGCTGTGTTCCCAGAAGCGGAATAGGACAGCTCGGACGTCCCTGACGTGCTCCTCGAACGTAGCCGAGTAGATCAGGATATCGTTGATGTACACCACCACCTGTCTACTCAGCATGTCCCGGAACACGTCATTGACGAAGGACTGGAACACACGTTGGAACACACATTGGCGAGGCCGTAGGGCATGACGAAGTATTCATAGTGGCCTGAGGTAGTGCTGAATGCCGTCTTCCACTGGTCTCCTTCCCAGATTCGGATCAGGTTGTAGGCACTCCTCAGGTCCAACTTGGTAAAGGACCTGGCCCCTCATAGCTGCTCGATGGCCGACGGAATCAGAGGGAGGGGGTACCGGTACTGGGTGGTGACTGCGTTCAGCCCCCTGTAGTCAATGCATGGTCTCAGTCCTCCGTCTTTTTTGGCCACGAAGAAGAAGCTGGCGGAGGCAGGAGAGGTAGAGCGTCGGATGAACCCCTGTGTCAGGGTCTCCACCACATACTTCTCCATGGCCTCCGCCATTGAAAGGGGGTAAATGCGACTCTTCGGGGGGTGTTGTCCCTCCAGCAGGTCAATGGCGCAGTCCCAGGGCCTGTGAGGAGGGAGACACGTAGCCTTTGATGAAGAGAAGACATCGGAGAGATCTGCATACTCACGTGGAATGTTGGGCTGGAGGGCGGACTCCGGACTCTCCACTGACGTGGAACAACAAACCACCGGCAGGCAGGTCTTCCGGCATGAGGTGGACCAGGCTGTGATCCTCTTGGTGATCCAATTGATGGTGGGGTTGTGTAGTCTGAGCCAGGGCAATCCCAAGACGATCCGGTGAAGGGGTGACGTGACGATGTGGAATGACAGCTCCTCGTGGTGCTCCGGTAGTGTGGGAAAAAAAAATCCAGAAAATAACATTGTAGGATTTTTTATGAATTTATTTGCAAATTATGGTGGAAAATAAGTATTTGGTCAATAACAAAAGTTTCTCAATACTTTGTTATAAACCCTTTGTTGGCAATGACACAGGTCAAACGTTTTCTGTAAGTCTTCACAAGGTTTTCACACACTGTTGCTGGTATTTTGGCCCATTCCTCCATGCAGATCTCCTCTAGAGCAGTGATGTTTTGGGGCTGTCTCTGGGCAACACAGACTTTCAACTCCCTCCAAAGATTTTCTATGGGGTTGAGATCTGGAGACTGGCTAGGCCACTCCAGGACCTTGAAATGCTTCTTACGAAGCCACTCCTTCGTTGCCCGGGCGGTGTGTTTGGGATCATTGTCATGCTGAAAGACCCAGCCACGTTTCATCTTCAATGCCCTTGCTGATGGAAGGAGGTTTTCACTCAAAATCTCACGATACATGGCCCCATTCATTCTTTCCTTTACACGGATCAGTCATCCTGGTCCCTTTGCAGAAAAACAGCCCCAAAGCATGATGTTTCCACCCCCATGCTTCACAGTAGGTATGGTGTTCTTTGGATGCAACTCACGACGAGTTGAGTTTTTACCAAAAAGTTTTTCAAAAGGTTTCATCTGACCATATGACATTCTCCCAATCCTCTTCTGGATCATCCAAATGCACTCTAGCAAACTTCAGACGGGCCTGGAAAATGTACTGGCTTAAGCAGGGGGACACGTCTGGCACTGCAGGATTTGAGTCCCTGGCGGCGTAGTGTGTTACTGATGGTAGGCTTTGTTACTTTGGTCCCAGCTCTCTGCAGGTCATTCACTAGGTCCCCCCGTGTGGTTCTGGGATTTTTGCTCACCATTCTTGTGATCATTTTGACCCCACGGGGTGAGACCTTGCGTGGAGCCCCAGATCGAGGGAGATTATCAGTGGTCTTGTATGTCTTCCATTTCCTAATAATTGCTCCCACAGTTGATTTCTTCAAACCAAGCTGCTTACCTATTGAAGATTCAGTCTTCCCAGCCTGGTGCAGGTCTACAATTTTGTTTCTGGTGTCCTTTGACAGCTCTTTGGTCTTGGCCATAGTGGAGTTTGGAGTGTGACTGTTTGAGGTTGGGGACAGGTGTCTTTTATACTGATAACAAGTTCAAACAGGTGCCATTAATACAGGTAACGAGTGGAGGACAGAGGAGCCTCTTAAAGAAGAATTTACAGGTCTGTGAGAGCCAGAAATCTTGCTTGTTTGTAGGTGACCAAATACTTATTTTCCACCATAATTTCCAAATAAATTCATAAAAAATCCTACAATGTGATTTTCTGGAATTTTTTTCCTCAATTTGTCTGTCATAGTTGACGTGTACCTATGATGAAAATTACAGGCCTCTCTCATCTTTTTAAGTGGGAGAACTTGCACAATTGGTGGCTGACTAAATACTTTTTTCCCCCACTGTACCTATCTATAAGGTTCCCCGCTGATCCATAATCTATCATTGCAGTAGAAATGGAAGATAAGGAATAACCAGTCACCGTTATGGGAACTAAAAACAATGGTTTTGTGATAGGAGATGATGTCACACTCACGGTGCGGCGACGGGAGTCAAACCGCCTAGATAGGGAGCCGCCGGGAGATCTGTGTGCCGTGGGGATGTAGGGGGTGCTGCCCACCTCCATGGGTGAGGACTCGGAATCAGGACGGCTTCCATAGCTTAGATTGGGTTAGCGTCGAGGCTCCAGGAGGTTTTGGGAACGCCGTCTCTCTCGCAACATTTCGTCAAGACGGATGGACGTGGTGATAAGGGTATCAAGGTCCATCTCATAGTCCCAACATGCAAGTTCTGTCTTAATGTCCTCCCGTAAGCCTCTCCTGAAGGCCGTGCGCAGAGCACGCTCATTCCAGCCGGAAGATGCCGCCACCGTGCGAAAGCGTACTTGGACGCGGGCCCCTCTCTCTGTTGTAGATGGAGGAGACACTCACCCCCGTCCTTTCCCTCCGTGGGATGATCAAACACCGCCCTGAACCGAGCGAGGAAGGTGGGGTAGGGTAGTGCCACTGCCTCCTCTCCTTCCCAGACTGCCGTGGCCCAATCCAGCGCCTTCCCCTTAAGTAACGAAATCACCAGCGCTATCCTGGCTTGGTCAGATGGATATGCCCCAGGTTGACGTGCCAGATAAAGTGAAACCTGTAGCAGGAAGCCTCTACATTTTGTAGTTTTACCGTCAAAGCACTCCAGTAGGGCGAGGGTTCCCGCAGAAGTGGGTGATAGCCCAGGGACAGGTGGATTGGAGGCACTCGCCGCTCCCTGAGGTAGAACCGGAGCGCTGGGCAGATTATGCAGAGTTTGGAGCACTTCCTGCATGGTGGCGTTCAACTGGGCAAGCTGCTGCTGGTGCTGGTCGAGGCACTGGGAAACTCCTGCTGCATCCATTTTCGTTTGGTGTGTGATTCTGTGACGAGTACTGAGTATACGAAGAGGCAGGACGCAGAAATTAACAAGGTCAAAGTTTACTTAAACAATGACAAAGAGAATTAACAAAGATAGAGTACATGACACGAAGCAAAACAATCACACACAACATCCTACAGAACAGTCCAGGGCTAAATAGGGGTAGTGATGAGATGATGAGGTGTAGGTGCGCTGGAGTTGATTAGGGTGCGTTGGGTTTCCATTCCAGTGTTGCCGAGGTGGTGCGCTCAGACCGGTGGCTCAGTAGACCGGCGAATCAGAGCGCCGGAGGGGAGCAACGGGAGGAGACGTGACAGAGCCTGTCCTCCTATAGCTCCTCCCACTAGCCTCCACTGGTGTAAACTGCAGAGTTACTTGATGTGTTGTTGCTCGACTGGAATGCTGACTGACTGCTACCCTCCTCTTTATCTCTCCGAGAGATAAGGCTCAGGCTCTCTCCATCTCTCCCTCGGTCTCTCCCTCAAAGAAGATTCAATCTAACGCTCTCAGTTTTTGAAGAACACTTTTATGTCGTTTATACAATGGCTGTTTTTGGAAGTGTGTGTGTGAGATTGAAAGAGATATGGATTGCTATTGAGTCTCCTTGCAGAACAATGGTAGTTGTGGACCGAACATAAATAGTTTATAATACTGTACTCCTCAGATCAGTGTGTCTGTCTCTACACGTCCGCTCAACTCTAAACCCTAGTGACCCTGATCCACCCTGTCTGCCCCTCTCAGCCTCTAGCTGATCCTCACACTCAATAGTTAAGTAGGAGATCAGACACACAGCTGTGCTCCCATTGATCTCTCTTCCTCTCAGAGTGTGTGTGTGTTGACATAATCTTCTCTCGACTCTCTTTCTTCTTTCTCTCTCTCTCTCGCCGTCTTCCTCTGACTCCCGTTGTCCTCTCCTCTCTCTGCACTCTGTTTTATTGCTCACTGTTAGTGTTTTAACACCTACACAAGTCATGTTAATGAATTACCTATTCTGTGCAGTTATGGCAACATGAGAGGTTATCATCACTCAAGTGATCACCGGGGAAGCTTGTGAAGCAGGGTATTAACCTGGACTAGACTGAGAGCGTTGTGTCTTGTCTATTTATTTACAGAGCAGTGAAGTATTCAGAGAGTGATAATAGGCTACTGTAGCTAGGGAATTGTTGCTGCATGTTTGTAAACATTACACAGAGGAGAGAGACAGAAATGGAGGGACGTAAACAGACTCTCTTTCCATATCATTCAGGTGAGGAGCAGGAGGAAAATAAGAAGCTTGTGACTGCACTGTGAGAGTTACCCGAAATCCTGATTAGGGGCCAGATTCAATCCGATTGTGCTTTGTCCACTATGCACATTTTAAAGGCAATGTTCCCATGTTTGCAAAGACCACATTCATGGTTAACACTGTATATGTTGGCTCAATGGGGAATTACCTTTAAATGTCTAGATCTTGTCATACCAAATAATTCACAAAGCAAATAGTTGATTTCCTCCCTTTCTGATGATATTCTCTCTTTATATGGGGGTAAGTTGAGTAAGCATGGGTGGGTGGGATGTAGGCCTAATGCATTGCTTGCTGTCTGGCTGATACTATCAACAATATGTAACTAAAAAAGTTGTCACTTGATTTCCACATGATCTGTTTACAATAATTCATTTAATGGATGTGATATACAGTGCATTCGGAAAGTATTCAGACCCCTTGACTTTTTCCACATTTTGTTACTTTACAGCCTTATTCTAACATGGATTAAATTGTTTTTTTCCCCTAATCAATCTACACACAATACCCCATAATAACAAAGCAAAAACAGGTTTTTTGAAATGTTTGCAAATTTATTAAAAACAGAAATACCTTATTTACATAAGTATTCAGACCCTTTGCTATGAGACTCGAAATTGAGATCAGGTGCATCCTGTTTCCATTGATCATCCTTGAGATGTTTCTACAACTTGATTGGAGTCCACCTGTGGTAAATTCAATTCATTGGACACCCCTGTCTATATAAGGTCCCACAGTTGACAGTGCATGTCAGAGCAAAAACCAAGCCATGAGGTCGAAGGAATTGTCCGTAGAGCTCCGAGACAGGATTGTGTCGAGGTACAGAACTGGGGAAGGGAACCAAAACATTTCTGCAGCATTGAAGGTCCCCAAGAACACAGTGGCCTCCATCATTCTTAAATGGAAGAAGTTTGGAACCACCAAGACTCTTCCTAGAGCTGGCCGCCCAGCCAAACTGACCAATTGGGGGAGAAGGGCCTTGGTCAGAGAGGTGACCAAGAACCCGATGGTCACTCTGACAGAGCTCCAGTGTTCTTCTGTGGAGAAGGGATAACCTTTCAAAAGGACAACCATCACTACATCACTCCACCAATCAAGCCTTTATGGTAAAGTGGCCAGACTGAAGCCACTCCTTAGTAAAAGGCACATGACAGCCCGCTTGGAATTTGCCAAAAGGCACCTAAAGGACTCTCAGACCATGAGAAAGATTCTCTGGTCTGATGAAACCAAGATTGAACTCTTTGGCCTGAATGCCAAGCATCACCTCTGGAGAAATCCTGGCACCATCCCTACGGTGAAGCATGGTGTTGGCAGCATCATGTTGTGGGGATGTTTTTCAGCGGCAGGGACTGGGAGACTAGTCAGGATCGAGGGAAAGATGAATGGAGCAAAGTACAGAGAGATCCTTGATGAAAACCTGCTCCAGAGTGCTCAGGACCTCAGACTGGGTTGAAGGTTCACCTTCCAACAGGACAACGACCCTAAGCACACAGCCAAGACAATGCAGGAGTGGCTTCGGGACAAGTCTCTGAATGTCCTTGAGTGGCCCAGCCAGAGCCTGGACTTGAACTCGATCAAACATCTCTGGAGAGACCTGAAAATAGCTGTGCAGCGACACTCCCCATCCAACCTGACAGAGCTTGAGAGGATCTGCAGAGAAGAATGGGAGAAACTCCCTAAATACAGGTGTGCCAAGCTTGTAGCATCATACCCAAGAAGACTCGAGGCTGTAATTGCTGCCAAAGGTGCTTCAACCAAGTACGGAGTAAATGGTCTGAATACTTGGAAAATGTGACATTTCAAAAACCTGTTTTTGCTTTGTCATTATGGGGTGTTGTTTGTAGATTGATGAGGAACAAATGTAATTTAATCCATTTTAGAATAAGGCTGTAAAGTAACAAAAAGTGGAAAAACTCAAGGGGTCTGAATACTTTCGGAATACGCCTGTAAGTGTAAGTTATGAACCAAATTACAAACCATTGATGCATTACTATTAGCAATTCAGTATTTATTCCAATCATGGAACACACACAGTCACACACATACTCCAGGGGTGGGTTGCTAGGCGATGGGGCCTAAGACAATGGGGACACAATTGGTTTACCACTCATTGAAAGGTCAGAGGGCATCGGATCTTTCTTTCTCCCTTGTCTCTCTCTCGCTCTCTCACCCCATTCCTATCCCTTTTCTTACTCCCTCCTCCCAGCTTGCATGTTTCTCCTGATGAAACTGTGCATTGTGAGCATTTATCTGGCCAAACGAGCACACACAAAGACCAGTACCAAGCGGACACAGGCCTTTTAGCTGGAAGGAACAAAAGACTGAAAAGAGCTTTTCTGTCGGAGGGATTTGGGTATTTTCCCCTCTTTCTGAGCCTTTACTAGTGGAGTATTCCACGAGACCTCAAGCTGATGCTTTATTATGATGGAGACTCAATGACTGTGTTGCCGATTGTTCACTATAACAATCCTCTGTGTGTGTGCGTGTGTGCGTTTGTGCGTGCGTGCGCTGGTGACTGGTTACTTATGGTCCTCAGGAACCCCCTAGACCTGCTCTAACTGAAGCATTATTAAGGCATTGATGAGCACAATAAAAGACGATGTAATCAATTCACGTTGACCAGTCAATAATAGCCACCTTGGTGGTTCTCTCTTTGATGATGATTGACATCACAGAGATCAGTGTAGAAACATGGAATCTGAGTAATGTAATTCCAATCAGAATTGATGTTTAATAGGTTAAACCAGGTCAAAGGTCATATGGAAACCACAGGGATGATTGTGGTTGAATCACAACTGGTCAGGTCACGGTTAATATTAAGGTTAATCTCCATTAATCAATGTGTTAGTGAAACAAGGTGAGAGAAGAGGAGAGGAGAGTGGTGTGGGGGGGAGGATGGAGGAGAGGAGAGGGGAGGAGAGGAGAGTGGTCACTGACGTGTTTGGATTGGGTTGGCAATGTGTCTCTGTGCTGAGGTAGCTAGCTGGTGCAGTATCATCTATCCACAGGCAGGTATAATCCAGTTAGCCCATAATCTGGAATGGGAGGGATTAGCTTTCCATGGTGGAGTATAAGTACATGGTAATACTGCTGTACTCCCACAGTCTGTCTGTCTGTCTGCTGGTGTGTCATCCTCTCTCTCTCTCTCTCTTTCTCTCTCTCTCTCTCTTTCTCTCTTTCTCTGTCTCGCTCTCTCTTTCTCTCTCTTTCTCTCTTTCTCTGTCTCTCTCTCTCGCTCTTGCTCTCTCTTTCTCTCTTTCTCTCTTTCTCTGTCTCTCTCTCTTTCTCTCTCTGTCGCTCTCTCTCTCTGTCTCTCGCTCTTTCTCGCTCTTTCTCTCTCTCTCTCGCTCTCTCTTTCTCTCTCGCTCTCTCTGTCTCTCTCTTTCTCTCTCTCTCTTTCTCGCTCTCTCGCTCGCTCTCTCTGTCTCTCTCGCTTTCTCTCTTTCTCTCTCTCTCTCTCGGTCTCTCTCTCTGTCTCTCTCTCTGTCTCTCTCTCGCTCTCGCTCTCTCTCTTGCTCGCTCTCTAATATGGAGTTATGCAGGGTAAGCACTCAGAATATGCTCCTTAGTGATTTGTTGTTCCCTAGTGATTTGTTGACATCCATGCAATACCCTTGAGCATGAAAACATACAACACTTCACATATATAATGAGTCACTCCATGAAAGGGGAAAGGGGGATACCTAGTCAGTTCTACAACTGAATGCATTCAACTGAAATGTGTCTTCCGCATTTAACCCAACCCCTCTGAATCAGAGAGTTGCGGGGAATAGACTTGTAGGAAGTGTACTAGTGTAAGATATAGCTGAAGCTACTTTTAGATATGGGTATATATCCAATAAGCACACATCTCTTCTAAGTTCTAGGGTTGTGAGAAATGGAGTACAGCTGGCATACAGCTCACCATGCCTTCTGCTGCCTCGCATTCCCTCTCTCACACTCTCCCTCTCTCCCACACTACTACTAGTGTCTGTCTGGGACATCTCCTCTATCCACACTGCTACCAGTGTCTGTCTGGCACTTCTCCTCTATCCACATTGGTACCAGTGTCAGCCTAGGACATCTCCTCTATCCACACTGCTACCAGTGACAGTCTAAGACATCTCCTCTATCCACACTACTACTAGTGTCTGTCTGGGACATCTCCTCTATCGACACTGCTACTAGTGTTTGTCTGGGACATCTCCTCTATCCACACTGCTACCAGTGCCTGTCTGGGACTTCTCTATCCACAATGCTACCAGTGTCAGCCTAGGAAATCTCCTCTATCCACACTGCTACCAGTGTCTGTCTGGGACATCTCCTCTATCCACACTGCTACCAGTGTCTTTCTCTGACATCTCCTCTATCCACATTGCTACCAACGTCTGTCTGGGACATCTCCTCTATCTACACTGCTAGCAGCGTCTTACTGAACTCATCTCTGTAGTGAGGAAGCAGGCAGTGTCCAAACTCTGCAGACGTCTGTGATAGTTCCTGTTTCTTTGCATGTGATGCCCAGCTCCCGCCTGAGTAAAAATAGTTTTCAGGAAGAGCCGTGGGAGATGAGGGAGGATGGGTGAGGGAGGAAGAGTCGGGTGGGGGGGGGGGGGGGGGGGGGGAGACTGTGTGATGGCGGGGGTGTGGGGGAGAAGGTAGGGAGGAGGGAGGGATGAGGAAGCCCTGGCAGAGGGAGTTGAAAAACAGAGAGGGAAAAGACTGTGTCTTAATGACACTAATATTACATCATCAACTGTCTCCGATGTCAGTGAGGCCTGTTTCTCTACCATTATGCTTTTATGCTTTTATGTGTGTGTTAGGCTTTTACTTCCCAGTACGGTGGCAGAGTGAGGACAGGTGATTAAACACATTGATGGAGTACAGTAGTTTGTTATGCTACTGGATAGGGAAACCAGTGGTTCCACAAGCCTGGGTTCGAAATGGGTGTCGCTGGTGGTGCTCTAAACATATCCAGATGCTGTCTGTAGCCTATAGACTTACTGTGGGAAGAGAGGGGAGAAAATCACTATTTTGGCCAACCATAAGAGGACTAGTAGAGAGTGCCATGTAAAACGTCTGTCTCAACCACCGATAGTGATGGGTTGATTTGCCCCACAAACATAGATCTCTCCTTAACCACTAAGTCATGTTGGGCAACAACGGCCTAGAGCGTGACCACGACCAGAACTATTTACTACTGCCAAGCTGTCTGTCTCCTGGAGCCACACCCTCTCTCCCTCTCATTATCCCCCCCCCCCCCTCCTCTCTCGTCTCTCCTCTCCTCGCCCTCCCCTCCCCTCTCTCTCTTCCCCTCCTCTCCCACTCCCCGTCTCTCTCTCGTCTCCTCTCTCTCTCCCCTGTCATTCTCCCCTCCCCTCTCTTTCTCCCTCCCTCTCCTCTCTCTCTTTCCCTCCCTCTCCCCTCCCTCTCTCTCTCTCTCTCCCTCCCCTCTTTCTCTCCCTCCCTCTCCCCTCCCCTCTCTCTCTCTCCCTCTCATTCTCCCCTCCCCCTCTCTCTCTCGCACCCTCCTCCCGCCCTCACACTATTTACAGTATATCGACCAGAATGTGTCATCTCTAGCAAAAGAGAGAGAATTATCCTTTCTAAGCTTGTTTCCCACAATTCCTCACTGTCCAAACAGAGCTAGACAGAAAATACAGAGGCCTACCTCTTTACCACAGGCTACCATTTCACATGAATGGCTTTAGTGATACACTCACTCGCATTGCATTAATGGCTTCCCTCTCGCTCTCTTTCTCACTTTCTACTGCTTTGCCCCCCTCTCTCTCCCCATCTCTCCCTTTCCCTTTCTCTCTGTCTCTCTTCCAGCTGCTCTCTCTCTCCTTTAACCCCTCTCTCTCTCTCTACTTCTCTCTGCCTCTCTCTCTCGCTCCCACTCCCCCTCTTCTCTAAGTGATGAAAGTAAGAGTGCTATAAGACAACAGAGCGGTGTGTCTGGCTTTATTCCATTGGTAAAATAGGATTAGATTATCTGTCTTCTCCACTGTGTGTAGTAGGAGGCAATGTAACAATTAGGCTCTGCAGCAGCCAGCTGCTCTCGTCTACACTGTAGTTGTCATGTACTACAGGGAGAGCAATCTGCCACTGTGTGTCTGGGTGCGGCAATGAGAGAGAGAGCGAGAGAGAGAGAATCAATTCAGTCATCTGTGAATTGACATTGACCTTTTAGATAGATAACTGCTTACAAATGCTATCTCTCTTATTTACATGGGCACGTATCTGATAATGAATAAGGAGTTATACAGAATAGATTGAACAGCAGATTGGATGGTTGATAATAAGAGAGCGCTCCTTCAGGCTTCTACTTACCTCTCTCTCTCTCTCTCTATCTATCTTTCACAACATACAAACACACACTGCTGAATCAGGAATTGAGTTACAGGATTAAAATGTCATTTTCTGCTTTCTAAATACATTCTGTACACTGAATGTCTTCCTTTTTTCTTCTGTGCCCTTGCAGTGCAGGTCCAAAAGGAGACAACATCTATGAGTGGAGATCTACCATCCTGGGACCACCAGGCTCTGTATACGAGGGAGGAGTCTTCTTCCTAGATATCGCCTTCACACCTGACTATCCCTTCAAACCACCCAAGGTACACACATATACACACACAGACACACACACACACACACACACACACACACACACACACACACACACACACACACGTATGCATGCTCAAACACACACACACGCACAAGCACACACACACACACACACTGGTATGTATGCTAGACTATTGCTTGCTCAGGATCCCATGTTGACTGATTTTGTTTATTTGTATTTTTGAATTGGGCCTTGGGTTAGGCTTTCAGGGCTTGAAATACTGTAAATCTGCATGGCACCAGCTATTTTAGAGACAAACATTTACAAGTGCATCAATGGCGCCTCTGAAACACACAGACAAGTACATCTTTATTTTTAGCGTGTATTTAAGGATGTTTCCCATGCGTTCCATTCTATTTTTGAAATCATGAACACTGGGATATTCTAAAAATATATCTGGCTTGCCTTGGAGAAGATATTTTGAGAGCTGGAAGGTTTTGAAATAACTTTGAAGCACGTTGAGCAACAAAACAACGATTTTAAGAGAAGAAAATAAGAACTGACTGAGAGAGAAGCTGGTGAATACAGTCTCTTGGCTCTGTTCACTGGCGTACTGGACACCCCCGCAGCCCCCGCAAGGCGGGGAGGCCCACCAGCTCTGGGGACCCATGCGCCTGTCATTGATGTCTAATATCTTTTCTTTAATAAATCATTTTGACAGTAACCCTCCAAAAAGTCCTTCATAAACTGTTTTAATTTCCATATGTACTAGGAAGCTAAGTGTTTGTTTCTTGGGCTTCAGGAATGTGACTGAAAAAGTGAAAAAGAAAAAGGAAACTGATTGAAAGTATGAGGGGATATCAGTGAACAAATGCCGTGGTCAAGGCTACGACAGCGCCAGTGCAATGAATGGAGTTTACTCAGGTGTTCCAAAGCGCATATCAGACCGAGAGCCTAATGCTTCGTAGGTAGTTCTTTAGGAGTTTTAGTTTAGAAAACCATCTCTCAGCAGAAGCGACAGTTACAGGGATGGTAAAAACAGCTTGATTGCCGTAGCAACATCAGGGAAACTGGGCAGAAGAGAGTTGTGCTTCAAATACAGCAGTTCTGTAACATCTTTAATTGAGCCTCTCATTCTCCTTAATTGCCAGCCTCAACACGATACGGAAAGAGACTAACTGTATAGGAAGCTCTGGGGACAGATCGTCTGGATACTGGACAGTCAATAAATTGGCAGATGCAAACAGATTATCATTTTTAGCAGACAACATTTCTTGAGGACATTAACAAAATAACTTGTTTGCGATTTCTTTCATACTGGTGAACTAGCGTTTTGAGTTATGTGGTTGCAATATCAACAGTTCCTTTTCTCTGGTATACTGTATCTTGGCATGCATCATTCTAAGTTTAAATTGTGTGCAGCGCAATGGACATATAATGCGCAATGTCTCAGGAAAGACTCTGGGTTAGCAATACTCAGTATAGAAAATAGTCGGGCCCGCAACCTGGACCTACTGGCTGTAGGGGCCCGGAATCCGACCTTATGGGGGGGTCCAGAGAATATGCGTTACGCCAGTGGCTCTGTTCTGTGTTATTATTGAGAAAATACTCTATGCTGGTGCATTGGTTGGGGGTCGGCCCTGAGAGAGTTTAGTTTAGTGATTGCCTCAGGATGTGGGGCCTCTCACTGTCTGTCTGTCTCTCTCCATCTGTCCCTTCCTTTCCTCTTCTCTCTCTGCCCTCTGCTGACTGAGGATGAAAGAAAACATATCTGCTGCTCTGAGAGCCAGGCCTCCCGCTGTGTTGTTTTTACTGCCTGGCTGTGCACAGGGCTGCAGACACACACACACACACACACTCCTATAGCTGCTGTCTGAGAACAGGGTACACAAACACCACAGACTAGATTAGCAGATCCCCTCCACACCTTGGGATAGCCTGGGAGATTATGCCGTTTTTTTGGAGCACAGTTTCCACAAGCAGGCCAGCATGGTTAGTCACTCATAAAGTGATTGAGAGAGAGTGAGTCAGCTAGGGAGGTAGAGGGGGAGAGCGAGAGTGTGTTATCCCTCCCCTGTTCAGGCAGGCAGCCCAGAGGTCAGAGGTGGCTCCCTAATGATGTTTAGTCTCTTGTCTTCCTGATGTTTCATTCCACTTCTTCTGTGTTACTGGTACAAAGAGATGCTCAGCACCCGAAGGACTGGAAAGAGTACATAAACCACAGGGTGCATTGATCTACAGAAACGTTGTTGTATCCTAGGTGACGTTCCGTACCAGGATCTACCACTGTAACATCAACAGTCAGGGTGTGATCTGTCTCGACATCCTGAAGGATAACTGGAGCCCCGCCCTTACCATCTCCAAGGTGCTGCTGTCCATCTGCTCCCTGCTCACTGACTGCAACCCTGGTGAGTGACATCCCAATCAACCAATCAGAGAGAGAGAGAGATTCTCTCTGAAAAATCTCTTGAAAAGATTCTCTCCGAAAAATCCTCTGCAGTATCATCAACAGCAGACTCCAACATTTCCTCAGTGAAAACAATGTCCTGAGCAAATGTCAAATTGGCTTCTTACCAAAATACTGTATGACAGACCACGTATACACCCTGCACACCATTATTGACAAACAAACAAACCCAAAGCAAAGTCTTCTCATGCTTTGTTGATTTCAAAAAAGCTTTTGACTCTATTTGGCATGAGGGTCTGCTATACAAATTGATGGAAAGCGGTGTTGGGGGGAAAACATGTACACAAACAACAGGTGTGCAGTTAAAATGGACAATAAACACACAGATTTCTTTCCTCAGGGCCGTGGGGTGAGACCGGGATTCAGTTTGAGCCCCACCCTCTTTAGCATATACAGTGAGCTCCAAAAGTATTGGGACAGTGACACATTCTTTTGTGCCCAATAGAAATGAATTGTAAATAAGGTATTGTGTCATTTTGGAGTCACTTTAGAATATGTCTAAACACTTCTAAATTAATGTGGATGCTACCATGATTACAGATAATCCTGAATTAATCGTGAATAATGATGAGTGAGAAAGTTAGATGCACACATATGTAATTTCTAAATGGTTCACCCGATATGGATGGAAATACCCTCAAATGAAAGCTGACAATCTGCACTTTAAGCTCATAGTCATTGTATCGTTTCAAATCCAAAGTGCTGGCGTACAGAGCTAAAACAACAACAAAATTGTCACTGTCCCAATACTTTTGGAGCTCACTGTATATCAATGAATTAGCGAAGGCACTAGAACAGTCTGCAACACCCGGCCTCACCTTACTGGACTCTGAAATAAAATGTCTACTGTTTGCAGATGATCTGGTGCTTCTGTCCCCAACCAAAGAGGGCCTAAAGCAGCACCTAGATGTTCTACACAGATTCTGTCAGACTTGGGCCCTGACAGTCAATCTCAGTAAGACAAAAATAATGGTGTTCCAAAAAAGGTCCAGTATCCAGGACAATAAATACAAATTCTATATAGACACCGTTGCCCTAAAGCACACAAAGAACTATACCTACCTCGGCCTAAACATCAACACCACAGGTAACTTCCACAAGGCTGTGAACAATCTAAGATACAAGGCAAGAAGGGCCTTCTACGCCATCAAAAGGAACATAAAACTAGACATCCCAATTAGGATCTGGCTAAAAATACTTCAATCAGTTATAGAGCCCATTGCCTTCTACAGTGAGGGAAAAAAGTATTTGATCCCCTGCTGATTTTGTATGTTTGCCCACTGACAAAGACATGATCAGTCTATAATTTTAATGGGAGGTTTATTTGAACAGTGAGAGACAGAATAACAACATAAAAATCCAGAAAAACGTATGTCAAAAATGTTATAAATTGATTTGCATTTTAGTGAGGGAAATAAGTATTTGACCCCTCTGCAAAACATGACTTAGTACTTGGTGGCAAAACCCTTGTTGGCAATCACAGAGGTCAGACGTTTCTTGTAGTTGGCCACCAGGTTTGCACACATCTCAGGAGGGATTTTGTCCCGCTCCTCTTTGCAGATCTTCTCCAAGTCATTAAGGTTTCAAGGCTGATGTTTGGCAACTCGAACCTTCAGCTCCCTCCACAGATTTTCTATGGGATTAAGGTCTGGAGACTGGCTAGGCCACTCCAGGACCTTAATGTGCTTCTTCTTGAGCCACTCCTTTGTTGCCTTGGATGTGTGTTTTGGGTCATTGTCATGCTGGAATACCCATCCACGACCCATTTTCAATGCCCTGGCTGAGGGAAGGAGGTTCTCACCCAAGATTTGATGGTACATGGCCCCGTCCATCGTCCCTTTGATGCGGTGAAGTTGTCCTGTCCCCTTAGCAGGAAACCCCCCCCCAAAGCATAATGTTTCCACCTCCATGTTTGACGGTGGGGATGGTGTTCTTGGGGTCATAGGCAGCATTCCTCCTCCTACAAACACGGCGAGTTGAGTTGATGCCAAAGAGCTCCATTTTGGTCTCATCTGACCACAACACTTTCACCCAGTTCTCCTCTGAATCATTCAGATGTTCATTGGCAAATTTCAGATGGCCCTGTATATGTGCTTTCTTTAGCAGGGGGACCTTGCGGGCGCTGCAGGATTTCAGTCCTTCACGTTGTAGTGTGTTACCAATTGTTTTCTTGGTGACTATGGTCCCAGCTGCCTTGAGATCATTGATAAGATCCTCTCGTGTAGTTCTGGGCTGATTCCTCACCGTTCTCATGATCATTGCAACTCCACGAGGTGAGATCTTGCATGGAGCCTCAGGCCGAGGGAGATTGACAGTTCTTTTGTGTTTCTTCCATTTGCGAATATTCGCACCAACTGTTGTCACCTTCTCACCAAGCTGCTTGGCGATGGTCTTGTAGCCCATTCCAGCCTTGTGTAGGTCTAGAAGGATTACTTTATACTATTCCAGGTATTCCTTAAAGAGGTAGGGTTTCAAGTGTCTCCGGAAGGTGGTCAGTGACTCCGCTGTCCTGGCGTCGTGGGGGAGCTTGTTCCACCATTGGGGTGCCAGAGCAGCAAATAGCTTTGACTGGGCTGAGCGGGAACTGTGCTTCCATAGAGGTAGGGGAGCTAGCAGGCCAGAGGTGGATGAACGCAGTGCCCTCGTTTGGGTGTAGGGTCTGATCAGAGCCTGAAGGTAAGGAGGTGCCGTTCCCCTCACAGCTCCGTAGGCAAGCACCATGGTCTTGTAGTAGATGCGAGCCTCAACTGGAAGCCAGTGGAGTGTGCGGAGGAGCGGGGTGACATGAGAGAACTTGGGAAGGTCGAACACCAGACGGGCTGCAGCGTTCTGGATAAGTTGTAGGGGTTTAATGGCACAGGCAGGGAGCCCAGCCAACAGCGAGGTGCAGTAATCCAGACGGGAGATGACAAGTGCCTGGATTAGTGCCTGTGTAAGGTAGGGTCGTACTCTGCGAATGTTGTAGAGCATGAACCTACAGGATCGGGTCACCGCTTTGATGTTAGCGGAGAACGACAGGGTGTTGTCCAGGGTCACGCCAATGTTCTTTGCACTCTGGGAGGAGGACACAATGGAGTTGTCAACCGTGATGGCGAGATCATGGAGCGGGCAGTCCTTCCCCGGGAGGAAGAGCAGCTCCGTCTTGCCGAGATTCAACTTGAGGTGGTGATCCGACATCCACACTGATATGTCTGCCAGACATGCAAAGATGCGATTCGCCACCTGGTTATCAGAAGGGGGAAAGGAGAAAATTAATTGTGTGTGGTCTGCGTAGTAATGATAGGAGAGACCATGTGAGGATATGACAGAGCCAAGTGACTTGGTGTATAGAGAGAATAGGAGAGGGCCTAGAACTGAGCCCTGGGGGACACCAGTGGTGAGAGCACGTGGTGCGGAGACAGATTCTCGCCACGCCACCTGGTAGGAGCGACCTGTCAGGTAGGACGCAATCCAAGAGTGAGCAGCGCCGGAGATGCCCAACACGGAGAGGGTGGAGAGGAGGATCTGATGGTTCACAGTATCAAAGGCAGCGGATAGGTCTAGAAGGATAAGAGCAGAGGAGAGATTATTATTATTATTATTATTATTATATAGTTAGCTTTAGCAGTGCGGAGAGCCTCCGTGACACAGAGAAGAGCAGTCTCAGTTGAATTACCAGTCTTGAAACCTGACTGGTTTGGATCAAGAAGGTCATTCTGAGAGAGATAGCAGGAGAGTTGGCTAGAGACGGCACGCTCAAGAGTTTTGGAGAGAAAAGAAAGGAGGGATACTGGTCTGTAGTTGTTGACATCGGCGGGATCGAGTGTAGGTTTTTTGAGGAGGGGTGCAACTCTCGCTCTCTTGAAGACGGAAGGGACATGGCCAGCGGTCAAGGATGAGTTGATGAGCGAGGTGAGGTAAGGGAGAAGATCTCCGGAAATGGTCTGGAGAAGAGAGGAGGGGATAGGGTCAAGCGGGCAGGTTGTTTGGCGGCCGGCCGTCACAAGTCGCAAGATTTCATCTGGAGAGAGAGGGGAGAAAGAAGTCAAAGCATAGGGTAGGGCAGTGTGAGTAGGACAGGGCAATCGCTCAAACCTTCTCATTATTTCCCCCCCTCCCCCAGTCCCCATTCCCCCGTGGCCCCCTTCTCCCCAGGCCCCCTCCCCCATGCCCCCTCCCCCCATGGCCCCCTCTCCCCCTCCAGGCCCCCTCCCCCCGTGGCCCCATCCCCCCCAGACTCCCTCCCACAGTGCATAGTGGGTTTGGAGCACTTGTTGTTGCTGTGGGCCCTGAGTCTAAATGCCCTCCCCACTGCCTCCCCGTGACCAACTCCCCCTTCTCCCCTTCTCTCCCCTGAAGGTGTCTTTATTAATGCGGTAGTAGGGATCTAGAGGATCAATGGGATATTATGGGATATAGTTCATTAAAGAAGGAGAGCGCAGAATGACAGTTAATTAACCCTCGCAGGCGTAATAATTGTATAATTCCTGGCTGCCAGGGTTGGGGTGCCACAAGGAGACCCTGTACGGGGCTCTGTAGCTCTAGTGTGTTTTCACCCCCAACCTGAGCCTTGCTCTGCTGGGGCTCCGGCCCCACTGCTGCTCACCCAACCTGCACATGGAGCTCGGCTGGGGGGCTGCCATTTGAATGATTCTGAATGTTGCACCTCCCTGAATACACCCCAGGTCAGAGTTTCACTGTGATGTGCTGTGCTGTAAAGGGAATATGTCTCTGTCATCGTGCTTCACCCTCCTGTCCTGTAGTACTAGATAAGCCTGCTGTGAACACTTGATTTAGATCTCTCTATGTCATATAATTATGGAGTATCCTACTTCAGATAAACAAGGCTTGGCAAATTTGGTTTTTTAAATGTGGGTTGTTAAAGGCTATAAAATCACAGTTAATGGTAGAAAATAGTGTATTTATCTAAATAGTTGGGGCGACAGTTTATCTGACAAACACACAATGGATTTGATTAAATGGAATGTGATTTAATGGTGGTTAAAATACTCTAATCTATGTTGTTCTCCCTCCTCACAGCTGACCCTCTGGTAGGAAGCATCGCCACCCAGTACACAACCAACAGACCAGAGCACGACAGGATAGCCAAACAGTGGACCAAGAGATACGCCACATAGACTGACATCAAGGACCTCCACCATCCCTCTCTAACCCACCTCCGCCACGCAAAATCTGTTGAGCACACCGATCCCTCGCCCCTCCGCCCCTAGACTGGTCCCAGATCGTTTGTGGTATATAGTCAACTCCTATGGTCATTGCATGCCAAACAATGAATCTATGGCATGAAAATGACTAGCTACTTGCCCCTCTCTCTGAGCCCCAAATCTGTGGAAGCACATCCACCTGACCTGATCCCCCCTCCTCATAACAGGTGGCTGGTGGCACCTTAATTGGGGAGGATGGGCTCATAGTAATGGCTGGAACGGAGTAAATAGAATGGTATCAAATGCATCAAACCCATGGGTTCCATGTGTTTTAATACCATTCCATTTACACCATTCCAGATATTATTATAAGCCGTCCTCCCCTCACCAGCCTCCTGTGCTCCTTACACGTTCAGTTCACCCCCCCTCCACCCCCCACTCCCCCTCCTCTGAGAACATGAACTCGATCGCTTCTTTTTTTTTATACAAAGAGTATATTGGGATTTTTTTCCCCAATACACTGAATGTTGATATGGTCATGAAAAGCTTTAATACTGTTATTATTGTTGTTATTGTTTGTTGTTGTTATTATTATTACTTTGTTTGTTATCTGCATTATCATCCTAGGCCCTTTTTATGTGATTGATGAAAAATGCATTCTATTCTCGAGCATTCTATTCCATGCTTTCTAGAGCCCATGCATTAAAGACTCATGCATTCTAGAGTCCATGCATTCTAGATACATTCTATTGAGACAGTCCATGCTGAGAGTTTTTGTTTCAAGAGGTCATCTTCAATTAGAGCCTGTCTGCAGAATTAATGTTTACAGATGCAGAGTGGATTAATAATTATGATTAATAATTTGTTGTTATTATTTTTCTGCCCTAAGAAGGTATTGCCATGACAGTAAGGCTGTCTGGATCTGTGTGTAACTAGTCTTGCTGCTCACCTCCTGTGGTGCTAGTCAGCTGGCAGTTGTTTGCTATACATTTGCCTTGTGAGAATACATACTTATTGAATACTCAATTAAACACTGGTTGTAATGTTAACTCTGGCTCGGCTAATCTGTTGCTAATGTGCTCACTGTTTGTCCTATTCACTGGGTTAACGGTGGGGGATTTCAATGCATGATCTATCATATTTACTGCTGTTCTATGGTCATTAAAATATTAATATTATACACCCATTTTAGATGATTTATGTTATTTTCTCATGTCACATTTTAAAGCTCCACTGTCATGAACATTTCCTTTTTATGATCAGTGATGAAAGTTAAAGCTACTGTTTGTTCAAGTTCAAAACGCTCATCTTGTCTCGTGTCTATTCATGAGAAGTTTAAAAGCTCTTTGATAGCTGGCTGGCTGCCTCAAATACAGAGCTCTATTGAAGGATCTACTGCACGCACACACACAAACACTGAAACACACAAACACAGTTTCCACATACAGATGCCCTTAGAATGATTCTACAGTTCCGACTAGTAAAACTACCCCAGTTTAGTTCCTGACATTCCAGTCCCAAAATGTAGGACCCCCCTGCAACGGAATAGAACATCTGGATGCATGTCTTCACTAATATGTTGCAGGTTTTCATGAAAGGATCCAGTCTGTCTGTGGAACAGCACCTGGAATACTGAACCCTGTGCAGCCTTGGCATTCCAAATGAACCAAATGAAATGTTTGGTTTTGTGCAAATTATTTATTAGTTAAGAGTTAATTCATTATTAATTAGGCAGCAATGCTGCTTCTTATTGCTAATTATGACAATGGCCTCTCAGTCATTGTAGGCCTATTCCAACATGAACAAGCACCACATCCTCCCTCTTGCACATGGATTGCTCATCCCTCGCTAGAGAGACTGTAGCAGCATTAGTGGTGAGAAGAGAACTGATCCAGGTTGAATTAGTATAATCATTGCCTTTTCACAGATAGTGTGGACAGGAGTGGAGTCAGGCCTTAACATTCTGTGTTCTGCTGCTGTAAATGATTTGGTGTAGGTTGGATCCTAATTCTTATCAGGCAAAGAGAAGCGGCAAAGTGGAGAGACACCAGCGGAGGGATGCAATTATTGTTGACAGGCAGGGAACGGAAGGGGGACGTGGACCTCTACCTCCCCCATCTCTACCCCACAGTGAGAAGAAGAAAGATTATTGTTTTTGGTGCAAAGCCTCACAACCTCACTGGTTCTCTTCCTCAACCCCCAGCTTGTCCTAAGAGAGCAGGGCAGGGGTGAATGGTTGGTAAAGACGTAACGTGTCTCTAAAAAACAATTGAAATGGAGAGGTCAGTGCAAGACAATACCACTTAAAGTCTAATATCTAAACCTCTTTTCTGAGAGGCTGGCTGCCGGTATGGTGTGTTCTTCTTCCTTTGAGGACAGTAAATCCCTCAGGTTGATGGTGTTGGTCAATGGGTTAAGGTTAGGCTCAATCAGACCCTCTGACTGGAGAGGTTGACTGTTTGCCCTGTAGCCTGCTGAACTCAAATGAACCCTTTTAAGACCAATATTGGTAATGAATACATTCAAAATGCAGCTCAATGGACTTTGTATTGACTGCCATCATCATTTACATTTACATCATTTAGCAGACGCTCTTATCCAGAGCGACTTACAAATTGGTGCATTCAACTTATGATAGCCAGTGGGACAACCACTTGTTTCTTTTTTTATGGGTGGGGGAGGGGGTAGAAGGATTACTTTATACTATTCCAGGTATTCACATTGAAGAAGCCATCCCATGTGGTGAAGCAACTACACCAGGTGAGTTCTGAGTGTATAAAGCAGTAGCCTACATGTACCTGCAAGTTAGCCTCTTCCACTAGGTTATCCATTAGCCTACATGGTCCATTGCTACCTGCAATAAGAGGATGCAAGCCAATTTTGCAGGAATACTTTGACATGCAGGAAACTTCATGAAGCCTAATATGACCATCATAAAGAAGAGATAATAACATCTCATCTCTCTGTGTCACCCTCTGCTGATTATTGGGAGTGTAGGTTGACTTCACTTTTTCATGATGTATTGATAACATTATATATACTGTATGTATCCACAATGGTCAGAATCAGCTCACACCTTTCTGTTGCCCCCCTTTCCAATTTTAGAGCGGTGCTCAGCTAGCTCTCTCAATTTGACATTGTCATCGAGTGTGCCCAACCGAGACGGAATCCATTGCCCAGGATAACTCGAGCTTCGTCTGCTACTGCCTCTGCTTTTGCACCCACACTTCCGCTCCGCGAGAGGCAGAAGACACGCGTCCAGGCGACGGAGGCACTCACAGACACAAAGAAAGGTGGGCCTATCTAACACTAAATGCTTTTAAAATATCGAGAAATATGTATCCATATTGTATTGTTTGGCGCGTCTGAGGGGTCGACATTTGGATCTCCACAGTGGATAGATTCTAGCCGTTGGGGTTGAAATTGAGGAAAATGGTCTGTCCTAAAGACTGGACTGAGATCAGCTTTAGCTGCCTATCGAGGGATAAAGATGCCATTATAAAATCTAATTGTAAAACACATTGGCTTCGGTCTACAGATTCAACTAGTTTGGCAAACATGTTAGGCATATTTTCTTATGTGTGTTTGATTGAAGAACATCTGATTTCAAAGTGAAAGTTTCATCAAGTCAGTGAATGCTCAGTGGGAATGAAGAAGGTTTCCTAAACGAATGCGACATCGCCCAATCAATTTTAGGCTACTTGGGCTATTTAATCAATTGAGGAAATGAAGCTATAGGCTACCCCCTCGTCGTTCTTATTTGGCTGTAATGAAATGTAACCATTTCGCAATAAGAGCTGAGTGTGTTCCTTTGTTGTAGCACAACCCAGCTAAAATAACGCTTCAGTGCAAACATTAATTTGAGGTCAGTAGGCTGATCTGTTAGAGCGTTATGAAAAAATGGGGGTAATGGTTTGACGATAAGCAGGATAAATTCATATTGAATTGTGTGTGTAAACCTATGAACACGTCGTTGGTTGGAGCCTAACAACAGTTAGGCTAAAGGTCGCATTGATGGCGCTGGTTATTGATCGCCTACATTGAATATTTGCAGTGCAGTTGAACTGGGGGGGGGGTGGATCTTAGGTGTGTTTGTTGTTTTTCTGTAGCCTGAATGTTTATTTTTGTTTTTGTCTGTACAGATCGGTATGTCGGATGAGGATTCGCGTGCCAGCATTAGTTCTTCTTCCTCAACTCATCAGCAGTTAGAAAAAAACACGCCTAAGAAACGAGAAGAAAGCAAAGCCAGCATGAACAAGACTTCCAAGCTCCTCTCCACCAGCGCCAAAAGGTAAGGCTGATTGTGGCTGTCAAAGAAAGGCAATTTTGTAATACCGTGGCTCATTCGCCGCCACTGTTGTTACAATATATCGTCTTATCATTGACTGGCGCGTGTCACTATAGTGTTTCATTTACAGTGGACCATTTTCTGAATTCGGTTCTGTTTAGATAAATATGAACTTTCGAATAATGTTTCAAATTTTTTATTTTAACCGTTTTTAATATGTTCTTAACCATCTAAGTGTATTTTTGTATTTTTTGTATTTTTAGTCATTTAGCAGACGCTCTTATCCAGAGCGATTTACAGGAGCAATTAGGGTTAAGTGCTTTGCTCAAGGGCACATCGACAGATTTGTCACCTAGTCGGCTCGGGGATTAGAACCAGCGACCTTTCGGTTACTGGCACAACACTCTTAACCACTACGCTACCTGCCGCCCCTTAGTGCACAGTTGTCAAACTGGAAATAGCCTATGATTCAATGGATGACTAACTTATTTGCATATTAACTTTAAGTGTTTATTGTGAAATTGTGGTAAGAGGAAATCAAAACATATCTGGCACAATGCGGTCTATGTATAGTTATATTTGTCCTCATCCTGTTTTACTAGCTGCCTTGATCCTTTGGTAAAATTATCCTTCTGGATATTTTGAGTGTCTGCCATGACAATGTATCTTGTTCCCTATTATTAATCTTCTGT